AGAATTTTCGGGCAGGCTTTCGAAAGTCCCCCATCCCACTTGTCACCCTGTCCCACGATGCCCTTTCCTTTTTTCATACTGTGAAGCCCTATGTGGAACTGCTTTGTTTCTTGCTCATGTGTTAACATGGGCCTACATTTTTCTTCCCCTTGTAAAATAGGACATAGAAGGATGAAGATGTTCTCTGTCCTGTTCTCCTAGCATCTCTTCTGTTGAATGAGTAAATGAGTTTCCAGTCTGTGGCTGAACTTTTGGAAACAGCAGAACTCCTCAGAATCAGCTTGGGAGCACCGTGTGTTTAAGAGGAATAATGTTTTTGGGGAAGCACAGTACAAAGGAAAAGCAACAAAGAAATGGGTCTTTGATTTTTTCACACCTGACTCCAACTGGTGTCAGAGGCAGTTTCAAACCAGAATATTTACTCTGTGCGTTTGACTGAGAGTGCACATTTTTGAATGGTTTTTGAAAACTGCAGTAAAATTCGCATACAGTGAGTGAAATATACTCCTCTTAGGTACACAGTTGCATGAGTTTTAACAGACAGATGCGCCCTGTGTACCTCATACTCCAATCAAGATATAGAACATTTGCTGTTCCAGAAAGTTCCCTGTTGCCTCCTGCCGCACAGTCCCGGCCGCCCAGACACCACTGCTGTTCTCATGTAGAACCCCGTGGATCTGTTTGCCTTGCTTCCCTGCAGACCTCTCTCTATTCTCATAACCAGTCTTTCTGACGGAAGTGTTTGCCCCCTTTTCCTACCTCAGACCAAAGGGACAGTGTCCCTCGGATGTGTTCCCCATGGAGCCGTCCGTCCTGCTTCCTTTGTTCTCTCGGCTGGGGACGGAGCTTCTTTTCTGAGGCATTTCTCTTCTGTGTCCGGGTCAGGAAAATAAGGACTGATAGGGATGTCAGCGGAGCCAGGGGAAGTGTGCGTGTGTGCAGAAATGCGGAACAACACTCCTCTGAGTTCTGACAGGTCTAGGAATTTTGAAAGTCGTCAATATCCAAGGATACCTTCACTTGCAGTCCAGGATCACAGGGTTCATTCCGGTGCTTTCCCTGTCTGTGCTTGTAACCCCCTTCTGTGACGGGAAGGAACCTGGCTTTCGCCATTCCCAGCATATTTCCATGTTCAGCCCAGTCCCCGATGAGTAACCAGGCTCGTAGGCCACAGCCATTCTCGCTGGGACAGCCCCCGTCAGCCCGCCGTCCCCGCTCCAGGTCCTGTGTGTGGACCCCGCCTCCTCCTCCTGTGGAGGCTCCGATGCCCCATATGGGTCCCCCACCCATAGGGGTAAATGCCCGCCTTCTCGCCTGGCCCCGTGCAGTGCCCTCCCACCACCTGGGCTTACGCCTGCGTGGCCCTGTCCCACCTTGTGGCCCTGGGCTTGGTTGTTCAGGACGGGAAGCAGAGGGGCCAAGATACATCTCTTGTCTCCCATTCCCTAACATTTTCCTTTTTTCAATCTTCCTGTAGCAAAAAATACTTCTGTCCACTCATCTACCTAAGCTCAAGGTCTAAATACCCTGGAATATTTGCCCTTCGTCCCCGTACTCACGGCTCTTCCCAGCTAAATCATGAGCAACTGCAGTGGATTCAGAATCTGTCTCACTTCTTTTTATCTCTATTTTCACTGCACCTCTTAGTCTCCTCGATGATGCTCTCTTTCTGCTCTTTCTTACTTCCCATAAGTTACTCCTACAGAGCAACTCGTGCGACCTTTTAAAAGCATAAGGCGTGATGTCCTTTCGAACCCGCCCTGGCTTCCCACCGTGCTTAGAATAAGCCAGCATTCCTCTAGGGTGGATGATACCTGTATATATGGCAATCGATGCATGTTAGCATCAGCAGGGGAATTTAGAAGCCCTAAGCCTGGGCCTCACCCACGTCCAGTTAAATCAGACTGTTTGGAGAGGTGGTCCGGCATCCGTACTTTTTAACGTTCCCTGGTGAGTCTAACTGTCGGTCAGGCTCTGGAGTCTTGCCTCATGCCCCGCCCCCCGCCCCCTACCCCACCCGCCTCCAAGCTCCGTTCTTCCCTTTCCTGATTGGCGCCATTTGGCTTCCTAGAGGGGCCTTTCCTTGACCACCTGTCTGAGGGTGCGTCCCACCTCCCCAGCCATCCTCGGCCGTGTTCCCCTTTTTGAGCACTTATTAGCGTTGTCATCTGAGGTCATCTTCTGTATCCTTTCTTTAGCATTAGAGTGTGGTCTTCGTGATAACGCTTGCTCTCCACCACGCCTTGGTGCCTAAACTGGTGCCTCGTGACTGTTTGTGTGTAGAGGGGAGGGGAGCCCAGAGAGGGGCCTGTCAAGCGGGAGCCGGGCAGGGAGGGAGGCCCAGGACGGGGAGGTGAGGCGGAGCAGACTGACGCAGGTGGTCAGAGGAACCAGGTGACCTAAGCAACTTGACCCATGGAATTAGGAGCCCTCTGCTATTGCAAATCAAAGGGGACAGCATTTTTCTTTTCTGAATTAGTGCAGTCCCAGGAAAACAGAAATAACTGGTTTCCTGATGGAAGAGCAGGCTATATGATAGAGTCACTTTTGTTGTTCCCCGTGGTTGCTCTAAACGTTTGGAGACTGTCATTTCACCTAAACGTCGGTAAGAGCAGCCCTCTGGACTCAGCCGCCGCCCCCCCTTCAGTTACCCACTAACCTAAGGGAGCATCTGGGATGCCTGCCTGTCCTGCACTCCTTTGGTCCTGGCTGCTGACATGCCTCCGCTACCTCTTTGCATCGTGATGCATTCAGAGAAGCCTAATCGCATTACCATCTTAGCTGTGATTATCTCGTTCGGAATATTGGGATTAATTGAGAAATTGTGTTCTTCAGTTATATCACAACCCAGATTCGTAATGGGGACATGAGCAAACGTTCTCTGGAAAAAACTTGAGCCCTACTCCGTGCATATCACTGGAAAAGACAGTGATGCCCCCCCCCACCCCCCGCAAAACAAAAGGAGGAGGAGGAGGAGCAGAAGAAGAAGGCATCGGGGTCCGCAGCAGGGAAGGAGAAGAACGAGTAGGAAGTGGGTTGACTCCATGAAAGAGGCCAGGGCATGTGTCCGCAGGAGCTGCATGGGGCTGCTGAGGGCAGGACTCTGTGACACCACTCCGGCCGGGGATCTCGGGAGTTGGAGCCAACGCAATGGCACGGGACACCTTGGGAACTGCTGTCATAGCCTTGCTGCCATCAGCACCTGCATTTAGGGAGCCTTGATGGTATATGAACAAACCTCCAGGCACAGTGTTCTGCACCTGCCTAATGGCAAGCAAAATGTTCGCTTGTGCAAATGCAGTGTGGGAATTTTATGCCTTTAGGTAGGGGCTTTACACATACCATGACTCCCGAGGAGACTGAGGAGGTCAGATCGGTTTTCAAGAATGACACATTTAGGAAGCATAATTCTGTGATGAATGGCTGTGCAAAAATACCATTTACAAAAGTGGTGGTGAATTCCGTTCTGAGAGGGAAGCAACATGTATTGTAAGAGCTTCGGGAGGTGAGGCCTCCTTGGAAGTCACTGGAGTATTGTTTCCCAGCTCGCCCCGCTCCCCCTTCCCGGATGAGTTTGTCCCGGCCCCCCATCCCAGAGGGGAAGGCCAGGTCGTTGATTCAGGCCACAGTTTTCGGGTGTCAGGAAGTGTGAGCCAATGGTAAAGACGTGAGACGTGGGGGAAGGATTGGGCGTGGTGTCACGTTGGAGCCTCTCGCGCACTTCGTTAATCATTCTAAAGTGGGAGCAGCAGTTCCTGCTCCAGCGTCTCTTTCTCCACCATGGGCCTTGGTGCCGATTTCTGATGATTTTACAGGAGGACACCCCATTTCTCCCTGTGAAAAACAGTAGCAAAACTTGTTACATTTGTGAATAGTGACAGTTTACAATTTTTGAAATGTTTAAATCTATGCACAAAGAAGGTATATTCAACTTTCTACTTCTAATATGTCCAATATAGAATATGTGTCTATTTTCTGGGCGATTTTATGTAGAACAAATTACAAGGAAGATCTAGAACCCTATTAGCAATTGCCTAACATTTTAATTACAGCTGGTATCTGTTCACTGTATGTGTACAGCTGCTTTACACACATGCTTCTCCCACATTAGGGTGCCTGATGGGCGTGGGAAATGAGGGAGATTATTACAGCCAATTACCTATAGTAGGTGGGCAGTAAATGTTTAATATAAAATACGGACGGATTAGGTTGTATAATCTCTCTACAAGATAGAGAAGGTAGGTAAGTATCCATACGTATGTGGTATTTATTAGAATTTTGAAAAGGAAGTTAACTTTTCTTAAAGCCTCATCAAGCAAACACATAAAGTCTTCCTACTGTGGGGGGTGCTTATAGCATTGCCAAGAATTATTTGAAGTGTTGTTTTCTTATTTGTTTAAATTTTTTAGGTGCAAATATTTGTGTATGTAAGATTTGCTATTCCAGTTTAAAGTCGTTCCAGAATAATAGTGCTTGGAACTTAGAAAGGAGAGGAGAGGAAGAGGGAGAAGAAAGAGAGGGAGAGGAAGGGGGAAGGGAGGGAGGGAGAAAGGGAGAGAGAAAATAGAGTGGGGGGTTGAAGATAGAGATATATATAAGTTATTTTAAAATATGTTTTAATAGTGTCAGGTGACTTGTAGAATGTACAATATGTGGACGGAAGTCCAGATTCATTCATATAAAAGCACAGATGACTGTTAGGGGTTAGTCAGGAGCTAGGGGGCCGGGCTGCCTTCTCTCTTGGTTTCTGGTCTATCCTTTCTCCAAAGGAGCAGAGGGGAAGTGTGGCTTTAAATCCTTTAGTGGTTAAGAGAATAAAAACAGTTGATCTGGATTTTTATTGTTTAATGAACCAAAGTGTGCACACACTAACGTAGAGTGTGCAAACGGTCTCTCAAGTCACATCCCAGTGCTCTGACAATATAAGGATGCGTATTGCTTTTATCTCGATATTATCCCAGATAACACAAAAGATTCTGTGTTCTCTTGTACCTTGACAGGTTGGTTCCGAGGATATACCCTCCAAAATAAATCTAAGAAGGTACGGCTATTACTCAGTTTTTGTATTTGGATCCTGTCCGCTAGCTCTGTGCTGTGCTGCCTGATGCATATCTGCTCTGTGCTTTCTCTGGACCTAGTTTGCTTTCTCTCTGACGGCTGTTGTTTAGATGTGAAAGCAGATTCCCTGACCTCGCTCCTCCAGCAGCACAGTGCAGAGCCCAGCAACCAGCTCCCCATCACCTGCTCAGGGCAGAGGCCCGGAGGGCAGTTCCCAGGCCAGGCCGGGCCCCTGCAGGCTTCTTGCTCCTGTCCCTCTAGCTAAGCAGTGTGGTGGCACAGTGACCTTTTATCCTTGGGCTCTGTCTTTTGTTGGGGGGCCTGCTGCTTTTCCCCTGCAGTCCCAGTGCTAACTCCTGGCCCTAAGCCCCCGCGCCCGCGCCCCGCAATCCTGTCCTGCACTGTACAACGGACCAGCCAGAGCTGCAGTCTCCGCCTTGTGCCCCTGACATGAAATCAGTTCACTGGCTATAACTGCTATTTTCTGAAAAACAAAACTGAAAAATAGAAAAGAATGGAATGCCACGGTAAGTATTATTTCAGGAAACTTTTGTTTCAGTCCACATTTTTACATACGTATGTTAAATTGCACTGTGTGTATAGTAAGTACTGGGTGGCCATAAAAATGTATCACATCATGGGCCCAGGGTGAAAAATACTGACTCCGGTGGGTTCCTTTTCCCCGTGCCAAGACCGCTGACCAACCAGTGAAAGAAAATGAATTAGTGGAGTTAAACCGCCCCCGTGCCCCCGCCATTTAGGCCAGGTCAGCTCTTTGCCGTGGACGCTGGGGTCCCGCCCAACACCGCATGTCCGCGTTCTCTGCTGACAGCCTCCTTGGTAGGGCTGCATTATTTCACAGTTAGTTCACGTGTAAAATAGAGAATGAGCAATGGGGTGGGGGCAACATTTCAGAATTTATCAAGAGGTGACTTAAAAAAGAAAAAAGAAACAACCCACAGCTCTTATCTAGAGATGGAAGAAATCCTTGCCCACAGCTTCCTTCCCAAGGGCCCAGGGCCCGGAAAAACACCTTTCCGCAGGTGCGGGCCGTTAAACCCCAGGCCTGCCCCGGGCAAGCTTCCCGCCTGTGGAAGCTCCAGTCCCGCTCAGCGTGTGCACTTGGCTGCTTACACGCACACACTTTGTTAACTTTGATGATTTGCTAAGCTACCAAAATAAAGGAGGGTTTGCTAGTGATACAAACATCGGCTCCCACAGTTTTGGTCCTTTAATTTCTCCCTAAATCCTGATGCTGAATTTTTCTACCCACAGATCGTCGCTTGTACCATGTGTCTTCATTTCCAGCTTAATGATTTTCACTTAGTGCCTGCCGATTTTCATTTCCCCAGCCTTCAAGTGGGGACCCGGATGGCACAGCCTAGGGTGGTGGCCTTTTGGTAGCGGTGCTGGTTAGACGAGCGGGCCTGGCACTTAACAGCGCTGCCGCTCCGCGGTTCGGGCCTAACCCTGTCAGTGTCTATTTTACTCATAATGATGGAAGTGTAGGTATTTCAAAGTATGATTAGAGTTAATTATTTGGAAGTTCTCTATTTATTAACGCACAAGAGTAGTCATGTCACTTAATTCCCTATCGTTTAAAAGGTGAATTTTAAAAACGCACAACATAAGATCACCCGCAGATAAAATCATATGAACTTAAAGGACAAACAAATTTTTGGTGTTTAACTGGTAACTGTGAATCATGTTGAAACAGGGTCCCAGACCACAGCTTTCCCTTTCACAGGGTCTAGCATGTGAGGATCCTTTGCCAGCACAGACGCCCTTGGTTCCTCGGGTGTCCCACGGCTTCCGAATGCAGCAGAGCATCGGGCTCCTGCCCCCGCGGGCTGCTTGGGAAAGTGGGTGGACAGGGCGCCCCGCTAAGAGTGGAGGCCAAGTTCTGAACGGGTTTTCATTTTTTTGTACTTTTTTAAAACTTGTATTTAAACTTTAAATCTCAGCTTTTAGAAGAACTGTTTCAGTAAGAGCTTCTCTTAGTTCTTGATAATTAAACTTTGTAATTCAGCAATATGATAATACAAACAAGGGCCCTCCATGCATTTACGTGTTGGTTTTTAAGTTGAAGTATCCTTTTTGTGGGACATCAGGGAAAAATACAGGGAATTGAAAGTCAGTTGTCATGAATTACGCTCTGCTTTTGACACTCTTCATTAACTAAGAGATCCAGCCTTTTTGAAATGCTCTGCTATTGTTGTTTTCTTCATTTGCCAGGCGTTAGGGGAAGAGCCATTTGAAAGGCCTATTATTTTAATGGAAATTTTTGGTGTCATTTATGAGCAGACATAGCCATTTAGAGTGGCAATAAAAGGAGCTAGTGGTTTTACAAATTGAAGAAGTCAAGAGCTTTGCAGAAACTGATATTGATCCTTGCAGGATTGTGGATAAGGGCAATATCTAGAAAACATTAGTTATTATTATTTTTTAATCAAGTGAGTAAGTAGGTTACATTGAGAAAGGAAAAGCAAAATTGAGAGAGAGGCTGTAAATCAGAAATATGTGACCCAGGTTCCTTCTAGCTTTCCGTGTGTCCTAGTGGCATAGGGAAAGTTCCACAAGCCTCTAATTTACCAGAGCAGTCCCAAGTCTGCCAAGGGATTTATACCATCATGGAAGGATGATGCCTACAAATAACATGGTGGTAATGCAACAAAAAACATACTGTTAATATGGAAATCATCATAGCTGTCCACCCCGTGTAACTTACCTGCTTAGGTGTCACCACATAGGTCAAATGCTTCTATCTCGGGTTTTTCCTGGTTGTTAAGAGGAGACCAATTATCAGATTATGAATGCATGACAATTTTAACTGGCCCTCTGCCTTCTTGGTGTGGAAAATCTCCTGCAAGGACAGCCCTCGGGACTAGCAGCGTTATGTCTTATCGAACCTCCCAGTGTGCCTCTGTGTAACTGCCACTTCCGGGGGTTCATCCTTATCCAACACGATGCCTTTTTTTTATGAGCACTGGACATTTATTATAAAATATACTTAACATAAAACTCTTTTTTTAATCATTTCAAAAATGTATGGTTCAGGGGTATTAAGTACATTCACATTGTTATACCATCATCTCTACCATCCATCCCCAGAACTTTTCCACCTTGTGAAACTAAAACTCTGTCCCCACTAAACACGGGCTCCCCACCCGCCCCTCCCCTCAGCCCCTGGCAGCCCCCATCGTACGTCTGTCTGTGTGAATTTGGCTGCGCCAGATAACGCGTAGAAGTGGGATCCTCCGGCATTTCTCTCTTCTTTCGTGTCTGGCTTATTTCACTTAGCAGCGCGTCCTCAGGCTGAGCCTTGGACAGCCTCGCCTTGTTCCCCACACAGATGGTCGTCAGTGCAACATGTACGTAGCGTCTCAGAAGGAACCCCCCAGTTCCTCAGGCACCCCGCACATGGCACAGGAAAAGGAGGCTTCCGCACCCCAGAAATCAGGCTCGAATGGAATTATACACACGTTGTATTTTCGTTTGTTTCTAAATGATAATTTTTCCAAAATCACTCTGAACCCTGTCCCTCTAATGAGAGAGGCCACGTTACCTCACCTAGGTGTCTGTCCTGGGTCTTATAAAGAGTGGGGACAGGGTAGTGACTTCTCATGCATGCACCCTGCCCCGTCCCTTCCCAGAGCAAGGAGAGGAAGGCGTGCACTCTTCTGGGGTTCTCTGTGCCTGGGGGCAAAGCATGGCCATTTCGCTTCTCTCTCAGCAGTGACAGGATCCCCCCGCTATTACCAATGCTGGATGCTGTCCAATCGCAAACTTGCTTGCCACTTCCTGTTTCTGTGGCAAAGGGTTAAAGGAGAAAGAAGACTATTGTATGGATAAATATAGCACTCAAAACTAGACACACACAGACTCAGGCTGAAATTCCCTCGCATTCTGTCTCTCAGTGGATCAAGGGTCTTTGGGCACACAGGCGTCTCTGGCCCCACCCTCCAGGCAGCAGGTGTCCCTCTCCCCTCTTTGTGGCAAGCCACCCTGACATGGAACGTGCACAGGGTCATGCTAACTTTTCCAGCTGAGCCCATGGTGCCTCTTAAACAGGTTCTTCTCTTACTTCTGCTGGCCTGGCGTGCAGAGTCCCGTAAAACAAAGAACCACCATGCCATTCCCAGACAGCATTTTCTCTGGTTATCAGTGACTGCATCTCACACTTAAGCAACAGAAGCTTTTGGCATTTAAGAAAACTGACATCCTTGACTTACTTCCTGTTGGTTAGATCTGGCCGTCACTTCTTTGGTTTCTGCTGACCAGTCTCCAGTCTTCCTTTTAGGTCTTTGTGTCCTTTAGTTTCTCCCTGGGCAGTGTCCCAATACCAATGTAAAATTGCCTCGTAAGTTTATAAAATGGAGAGCAAATTGAGACTGGGAAGTACTAAAAATAACCAGCTAACCAGTACTAATTTGGGGCACATTGGGTTAAAGTGAAAGTACTAAAGCGAAAGTAGAAAATCACTCCAACTTCATGGTCTGCGAAGTACAAGCCCCCCATTTCAATGACTGTGTGACGCCCTTGAAAGGGAATCATCTCACGGCCAGCAGGATCTGAAGGGGTTAAATCCCCCCCCGCCCCCCAGCTCCAGACTTACTGGGACGTGTTTGCCTGTTCATGTACCGAGCATTTATCTCAAGCTCTGTGCACCTGACTCTTATTTTATACCTTCCCGTGTGCAGCCGCGAGCTCAGCACGGGGGCCCCGTGAGTTCTCCGATGCCCTGCGGGCCTGGCTGCGGACGGTGGCTGTGGCCGGGCATCCTTTCTCCCCTCCGGGCGTCCTCGCTGCTGCCCATGCTCTTCCCTTTGGGCTGAGATTTCACGGCCGTGTAACCAAGTTCTTCTCTTTGTAGGGTATTTTCCCTGAAACGTATATCCATTTGAAAGAGGCAACTGTGGAAGACCGAGGGTAAGTTCCATTCGGGGAAGACTCCTAAAAAATGACGAAGACATAAAATTATTGAGGAATGCCTGATGCCTGATTTCTTTCAACTCATTAATTCCACTCCTTAAATGGGAGAGGAATAAATACAGACATTTTCCTAGCACGATTCTGTCTTCTGTCTTCTCTTTTGATAATGTTCCTCCCTGGCACCTGTCCCCAGGACAGCAAAGGCAGGTGATGGAAGAAGAGGGGGTCTTTACCTTCCTCTTGCACCGCCTGTTCACCAGTGGTATGCACACCTGTGTGCACGTACATGAACCTGTGACACTCTTTTGCTGGTAAGACCTGAGACCTCTGCGTGGGAACTCTGGGAGACAGAGGAGCAGGCCGGGTCCTGCACGAATCAGCCCTGAACCTTGGACAGGTCAGCTAGCCTCAGGCCACTTCGGGCTTGGAAAACAAATCTGGCCCGTCGTTTGTCATGAGCTAGATGAGAAATGATGAAAGGAGGTGTGTGAACCTGCTCTGCAGATAAACTTCATTGTGCTGTGGATATTTTCTTGTTCACCTTAACCATTTGTCCTGGGAAGCACCGCGTCAGTGGCAGCTAACAGGAATGAGACACGGCCTGGAGTGGGAGAGAGGCTGCGTGGTCCGGGAGCCCAGGGCCAGGGGAGTTAAGGACAGAATAAGGAGCTCCCGGGGCCGGACTGGAGTCCCAGGCTGATCACGAGTGGAGTGGGTCATGGCCTCTAAGCTGCCAAAGGCATTTTCGGTCACACGTCCCGCCCCCTTGTTTGAGAACAGGAGGTAGAGACACGCCCACATTCACAAGGCTCCTTGGAAGCGCAATCAGGTGGGATAACCGGCCTCCTGGAGAACCTTCCAGGGGGCCATCCCAGGCGCCCCGCGGGGTCGCCAGCCCCAGCACAAAGGTGGGAAGCAAGGGTGGGTGGCACACTCCCGCTGCTCGGAGTTGCCACATAAAATGCAGGATGCCCTGATGAGTTTAAGTTTCGGATAATTCCACGTAATGTTTTACAGTATGTCCCTGATACTGTGTGAGACATACCATAAAATTACTGCATTTACCTGAAATCCAGACCTAATTGGCTATCCTGTGCTTTTGCATAAGTCTGGCAATCTTAACCACCAATCCCCACTCCTTTGCTTGCTCTCGCGCTCTCTTTTTTTTAATCATAAAAATACCAGCAAGGATTTATGTGACTAAATGTCGAGTCTGCCTCGTTTGGAGTCTCCTGTGAGCAGGGGAGGAATTTGGCCTGTACAGCCTCTGCTGAAGGTAGCAGATGAGAAGAAAACCCAGCTCCATTCCAGAAGCTGGCACAGCCTCCGTCCCCCCAGTGCTTGGTGTGAGATGGCGAACCTCAGGACCTGTGCACATGTACTTCTCCCCCCACTCACCCCCAAGAAGCAGATGCTTGGCAGGCCCAGCTGCAGCACTGGATTTTGGCGTCCATGCCTGGGAATCGCTGAAGCCAGCCTGCCTCAGTAACTGAGGCTCCCACAGAGATGCCGAATGGAGAAGTTGAGGCTGTGCTATGAGCCCATCACTTTGCAGAAAATGAAATCATTTTAAGAACTGTGGTGTTCTCAGCTCCTTCCCTTTTCTCAGATGATTAGATATGATGAAAATCTCCTTCATAGCTCTCCCTCTTCCAGTGGGCAAGTTTTGCTTTGTCTCAGGGCCAGCCAGCCCCATTTCCATCTTCGAGCTTTGGGGAATCCAGCCTCTGTCATGAAAAGCAGCAGCGGCCAACCTGGAATAATGCAGGCCCCTGTCTGGCTCTCTCTAGGCAGAACGAGACGGTGATCCCCGGGGAGCTCCCGCTGGTGCAGGAGCTCACGTCCACGCTGCGAGAATGGGCCGTCATCTGGCGCAAGCTCTACGTGGTGAGTTCTCCCCTGGGGCTCGGAGCCGAGGCGTCGTTCCTGGGTGCTCGGTCTGTGCTGCTGCAGAGCCGTCCTCTGCAGGGGTTGGCCACTGGGGTGGGTGCGCCTCACCTGGGCCTTACAGTGGCTGGTAACCAGCAGTTGCTCATTCCCCGGTGTAGGATCATGGCCGATGGGGGCGGTGGAGGAAGCAGATGTAATCGTTAGTTCAGCCTTTTCCCAGCTGACGGCAATGCTGATTGTAGAGTAATAAAGAAAACAACTGCAAATACTCACATAGTCCTTACTAAGTTCCCGGAACTATCATTAAACCTACAATACTCTGATAAAGTAAGTGCAGTTATTACCAGTTCACCAGGGAAAAAACGCTGGGACATTCTGTTAACCTCTACATGTATTGAACACGGCGGGTAACCATCTTGCAAGAGGCTGAAAATGTTCACGGTCCGTGGGCATCAAGCTTGTACCTGTGTCCATTTTAGGAAGCTCTTTTCACGACACTGGGACATACCCACAGTGTTTTCTAAAGCTCCCTCTTTCCTGGAGGCCTTGTGTGGCAGCGTCGCTCAGTCTGGCCTCTGGGAGCTTCTGCCAGGCCTCGTGGCGGCCGGGAGCACCTGTGCGGGTGCCTTCGCTTGTTCTCTGCGCGAAGGAATTCAGTGAGGGAACAGGCTCGGCTCGCTGGCCTGGGAGGGAGCCAGTCTCCTCCCTGTACGGGGTTTTGTTTTTCTAGGAGGTTTTTCAGTCTTCACTCTAGACCCAAATGTAAAAAACAATAACAATCATCAAAACTCATTCTGGCATAAGTTAAGAATTCATGTAAGATACTTCCTTTCCATCCAGGCTGTTGTTTCCCAGGATGGGTCACAGCAGAAGGCACCAACGCCTTTGGTGGAGAAGTGCATGGCTTTTTTCTTCCGCCTGCCCATCCTTCAAGGCCAAGTTTAAGCCCTTTCTCCTTTGTAATGGGTCTTCTAAAGACCTTAATTCATGATGCTTCCTTCTGGCCTCTAGGAGCACTAACAGCCGACCCCATCATCTGGTCCTGGGGGCATAGTGCCCTGTCATGTGAGGGATCTTTTGATCTCTTTATGTTTAGTTGCAGAGAGAGCTAACCTGTGAGTTCCTAAATCACAAGCTCCAGGAGGACAGAGATGCTGTTTTAAGCCCTCTGGCTGACAGCCAAGGTCTTGTATTTCTGCTGAAAGCACTCTCTGGTTCTTAATTGATTGGTTAGTGGTGGATGGGACCAGTCTGATGGATGAGGAATGACGTATACATGAGTTAGCTCCTTAACGTAGTCTTTCTGGAAATGGGTGAGTGGTGAAATGTATTTGATGATAAGTACTGGGGAGAGGACTTCTTTTTAAAGGTATAATGTACAAGAATGGAGAGTAGGAACGAGGCTGACTTTTCCGTGTGCTAAGACGTGACTCTTAGGCTGAGTTTATCACCTCTGCCCTCCACACATCCACAGGTAATTGTGCCAAGTCTGCTATCGAATAGAAATGAGAAGTAAGTGCACCAGGGAGGAAGAGGTAGGGTTGATTACTTGGGCTTCCACATGCCTTAGCAGTTAGATGATGAGCTTAGGTTTGCGATTTCTTCTGTGGGTGTTCCACTGTTTAGTAACAGAATTGAGTGCTAAGTTAAAAAAAAAAATCCATCCCCTCTCAGAGGGCAGGACATTTTTCATCTTAATTTTGACATCTAATAAAATAATTATTTTGTTCTTTGTGAATATTTAAACATGTCTTAGAGCTGTTGCTGGTTGACTAAGATACATCCCCTGTGGGAACCGCAGCCTTCTGATCGGGCGAGCAGTCTGCTTCTGCTTCGGCCTGTGATACATGATCTCCCATTAAGGAACAGTCCACCTCAAATGGGTTTGTTGTCAGTCGTGGCTTTCTCCTCTTTGTCTGCCACCCCCGTCCCTTGCTAAACCATGGCGGTTTACTTCAGACAGACTTTCTGAACTTCTTTCTCAAAAAGCTGTGTGTCAGAGAAGAGAACCTCAAATAGTATGCTTCACTGGGGAGGGGGGAAAGTAAAAGGAACCAGAGTCTATAGCGTTTACCCCCAGCAGCCCTCTCACCGCGCATACCTTTTCTGGTGTCTTTGTTTTCTGATCCTGTGTAAGTTCCTTTGGTCTGTGTAAGGCAAATGCCGATTCTTCTCAGCTACGCCAGCCCTTTAGCTTATTTGTCCTGTGCGTTTCCTGCCACAGATGATGCACCCAGGGGCTCCGTTTGATGTCTTTAATGGCACCTGTGCTATCTCAGAGCCTCCACAGTCTGAGTTCTGTTCAAAGTCTAAGTTCACAAGAAATTTATGTTGTAGACCTGGAGAGCCTTTTAAAAAATTTTTTTAATTATTTATTTATTTTTAGAAAGACGGGGAAAGGAGGGAAAAGCAGAGGGAGAGAAACATCCATTGGTTGCCTCCAGGGACTGAACCTGCAGCCTAGACCTGTGCCCTGACCAGCAATCGACCCCACGACCCTTCACTTTGTGGGACAACATCCAACGCACTGAGCCACACCAGTCAGGGCTGGACTTATATGAGAGGAAAACTCAGTCTGCTGAACAGACACAGCCTAGCTGTGTAGACACGATTATGCTAGACAGGAGAGAGACTTGTATAGCTATGATTTGTTTTTAGCAGTTATGCTTTAACCTCTTGAAATAACCATAAATATGTCTTAAAAGGGAGGGAGTTCCTTATGCTGAAGAGAGGGGAACCTACTCATCCAGAGTGGAAAGAAGAAAGTTCCATCCGCTGCTAACCAAGGAACCTCATGCTCCTTTTGTTCCTTTTTGTTATATTAGTATTATTTTTTCCACTTAGTTATCTTTTCTGGTGGATGTTGGCCACGATGTAGGAGATAGCCACTGCACTAGAAATTCGGAAGCTCCGTTTTTCATCCAGGCCCAACGGTAACTGGCTTTGTGGCCTTGGGCAGGCCACCTGAGGTCTTCAGGTGTCTGCTAGGTTTTGCTCCTCTATAAAAATGATATCCAATCTACTCTGTTTACTCCACGGACTTTGAGGGTGTGAAAAGAGACGGTGGCTGCGAAGTCACTGTGTAGGCAGATCGAGGACGCCACAGATGTGAGCACGTGACCCTCGAGGCTGGCTTAGCTGGACACAGTAGTCCCTCTGGCCATCCTCCCTCGGGGTGGCCTTGGAGACTCCGAAGCTCCCTTGTGTCACCTCCCCTTATCCAAGGGCACTTGTTATCATCTTTGGCGGAATGACCTTGAGCACGCAGTAACCACAGACAGTGAGCCTCCTTAGTGTGGGGTCACGTCCTGGAGGCACTGACCACTTCAGAAAGGAACACCGGGTGCAGATTCACAACGGTTGCTGGCAAGTTTGCCTGCACTGTTCACTCTCGGTTGGAGCCTGTTTCCGTGGTTGATCAGGAATGGAGGAAATGCTGTGAATGAGGAGGTGGCCGCCTCGTGAAATGGCCACACTGTGGGCCTTGGGGTCACACGGGGGGCCAGCTCTCAATTCTGGCTTCTCCCTTGCTCAGTCTGTACTGTGAATAGTCACAAAAAGGAGCAAGCCAGTAACAGTAACTGCAAATGAGCAGAGCACGCAGAAAGAACACAGACTCTGCAGGCAGGGGTCTGGTTCAGGGTTTGCCCTGAACTGCATGATTCCATGGCCTGAGAGAGCCCTTTGACCTCCCTAGTTAATTACCTCAATTCAATGGGTAATTATATATAGTGTGTGTCTTGCTGGTTTGCTGTAAGGATTCAATAGGATAATCCACGGAAAGCTCCCGGGACAGTGCCTGGCACGCTGTCTTCAAGACGGGGCAGCCTCCGGTCGCCCCCTTACAGCACCGCTTCACAGGTGCTGATGAATGACGACAAGTGTTGGGAGACTGTGCTGGCGCCGTGGGGTTTTGCCCTGAAGTCGGCTACGGGTGGGCCCTCCAGCTTGGGGCTGAGGAGGTGGGCTCCCTTCCAGTCCTGTAGGGACTTAACTTCTCTGACTAGATAGTTGTAAGTAGGCATCCATTTTCCTCTGCTGCCTCTCAGGAGTTTTCGCTTTTCCTAGCCTTGGAAAAGAGATCCAACGAGCTGAACTGGGCCTCTTTTCTTTCTAGCAGCACGTCCTCTTTCTGTGAGTTCCCCAGCTGGAAGGGCAGGTGCCTGCGCATCAGTTTAGGCACGACTGGACTGATGTAATAAAACCTTTTCAGCAGCAGCCCTGTTATACCTCCTGAATGTGCACAGATCCACATCCCACCTCGTACCATATTTTCTCAGTTAGAAATCAGGTCTTGAAAACTGACAAGTTAGAGTTTCTTTGGGGGAACATGGGGACCGGAGTTTTTGAAAGAGGGACTCTCCTGGAAACTGGAGATGCTTTGCGGGCCATAAACATGCTCCGCAGCGGCGCATGCAGAGATTCAGCTCAGCGCTGCTGCCCGTCTCCAGCCGGGACGTGGTTCGGTGAGGTTTGGTCAGCCAGCCCGTTTTATCCCTGTCAGATTGGGAGACGGAATGACATCGTAGCTCCTACGGCAGAGAGACGGGAGAAGAGCCCAGTGTGTGAGAAGGTGGTTGATACATACTGTTGAATTACGTGTATTTATTTATTTGCTAAAATGTAGTTCATAAACAGGACTGATCTCCTTTCATTTAAAATGTGCCAGCAAGTACAGCTTTGTGCAATTCTGTGGTTCTGTAAAAATTTGGAGCAGAGAAAGTGCCCGAAACTGAGGCGGGGGTGGGGGAACTTGCCCACCACAGGGAATCGCCCTTTCTTCTCATCGTTGTATCCGGAGGATTAGAGCTCCGCAAGTCTCCTTCCCTGAACTGGTGGTTATTGCTGACGGCTGGGACGTCGGCTCTGAAGTGTCACTCAGCTGGTCTCATGGTTTGAAACCACCACCTGACCTCTTACTACCAAGGACAGGACATTCCCACAGATGACTTGGTCCTGTTGTCCGGGCATTTTTTTTATTGGAGCGGCCAGCCCCTCCCCTGCCCCCGCCCCGCCCTGCTGGCATAGCTCTCGGGGAGGCACAATGAGACGATGTGACCAGGCAGGGCAGGGGTGGCGCTTTGGGTGTTTTCCTGGTTCTGTTTTTCTCCCGTGGTGGTGCCTGGCTTTCAGGATTTCTCATACTCCTTCCAGAGGCAAAAAACTGTCCTTTGCTGGACCCTTAAAAATCAAGCATTTGCTAGTCAGGCAGAGCCTTGTGCTATCAGAGAAAAGGCACTAGTATGGATAGCGAGAACGGGAGAGGGGCCACGTGGGCTCCCTTCTTCCCTGAGGACACAGAGGAACCAGGACACTGGTCCAGACTCCCGGGGTTACAGATCCTAAGAAAAGACATGAGATTGATTGCAGAGAGCTCTGTGCGAGTCAAATTGGATAGAGGGCCGACCAAGTGGGCGAGGACATCAACCGGGAGATGGTTCCCATCAGATACGGTTAATCAGGAAGCCGCGTGGAGGAGTAAATGAGTTTAAGATCGCAATCTCAGACTTGAAGACGCTTCTCCTTGGGAACGGATCTTAGTGCCAGTCCCTGGATTTTACAGATGGGTGTTTCCCAGGAAGGATAATTTGCCCAAAGTCACTTAGCAATTAACAATAGAATTAGAGATAGAAATGAGGCCCCAGTACATTCAGTTACGTAGTTTTGCCTCTGAGTCCTAAAACCCGCACGGAAAGGACAGGCTGGTGAACAGAGGAAGTGCTGAGTCTCCTGCAGAGGGAGAGGCGCAGGAACAGAGGGCCGGCTTTGGACTGCGGTCCGCGTTGTTGGGGAAGGGGAAGAATTCAGGTTCTGGACACCTCATGAGGGCGGCGGCTGTCTCAGGGACCCGCTGAGTTTCTGAGATACTCAACAGATGGCTTCTGTATTCCTGCTGTCATTGAAGGCAAAGCTCTTTTATTCTTGTGACTTTATTTTCTCACTCCAAATTCTTTTTTTAAAATTGTTTTTTAAAAAGATTATTTAAGAGAAAGGGGAAGGAAGGGAGAAGGAGGGGAAGAGCAACATTGATGTGTAAGAGAAACATTGATCGGCTGCCTCGTACACACCCCCAGCTGGGGACCTGTTTTGTAACCCAGGCTTGTGCCCTGGCTGGGAATCAAACTGGCAGCCTTTGGGTTCGCAGGCCAGCGCTCATTCCACACCAGCCAAGGCTACAAATTCATTTTTGAAAAATCAAGATAGGCGGACATCCAGAATCGAAATGTAAAAGTAAGACCTCAGAGATCTCCAGGTGGAAGAGAGGGTGAAACTGGAACCAAATGCAGACACACCTGCTGTCCAGTATGAAAAACATAGAGCAGTACCTCTTGTTTGGCGCAGGTGACCCTCCAATTGAAACCGGAGTGGGCTCTCACATCGGGGCTGCCGCCAGTTGGTTTTGAGTCCTTCCTATGTCCTGGGACTGTGCTGACTTTTGCAGAGAGGATCAGAGAAATTATTAAATAAATGCCTTACTCCCCCACCCTAGATTTTGTGACAGTAGCTGCTAGTGCAAAAAAGGCAGAGATGGGCAAGTGCCAGGGGTACGCGCGAAGGCACTGCGGCAGGCAGCCTGGGCTGGGTGGGGTTAGGAACGGGGGTGGGAGGGGGGAGACTCTCAGGCCCTGGCTCATGGTCGTGGGTCGGGGGCGCCGCGGTTTCTCCTCTCCTGTCCTCGTGTGCTGCCCTCAAAGTGTCAGGGGGCAGCTATGGCTCAGAACAGCCTACTTAGAACAATCTTAGGAATGTGGCAACAAAATCCATTTCCTTAAAGTAAATGGGGGAATTGCTTCCTTTGGTGTGTTCTAGCTTGCCTATTCAGAATTAACTTGGCAGAGTGAGGCAGAGAAGAATGGCTGTCTTCATCCCCCTTTTGGGGAAGAACTTGGCAAACCAGGCTGATGGGGACAGGCAATAATTAAGTTGCCTTGGATAATGTCTAACATAATTGAGACCAAGAACTTGGGAGCGTGTGTCGCAGAGAGCTGTCTCTCACACAGCCTCCTGGGCCTTTGAGCCCCTTCTTGACCTTATTATGAGACCTAATAGCTTAATTAAAATGAGAAAACATTTTTTAAAAACCTAACTAGGAATAGACAGATAGACAAAAAAGAAAAAGATCCCTCCTCTGCCCAGCAGCTTTGAAAAGCAGATTTTATGGGCTTCATTTCTCCCTTGTTTTCCAGTTTGAAAGGCATTGAGATGGAAACATTTCTTACAGAATTAAGTGAAAAAAGCAGGTTTTATTTTTTTTAACCTTTACTTATTAAAAATGGATTTTAAAAGTCTCATTTTTATGCTTTTCAAAAGATTACCTGATGAGAAAGAGACAATTCAGGAAACACTAAAGGCCTAAAACGCAGGGAGTTTCAGCATTTGCAGCAGGCATGGCGGTCTGTGATTTTCAGAGCCACGGTGTTAGAAGGTGAACTGCAGCCACCGACAGGTTCTTGTCTCCTCCCTGGGGTTCTCACGGAATCTGAATTTCTTTTCTGGCCTGATCACACTCCGCAAAACCCGCTGCCGCCTCCCGCTGCCCCGGTTCTAGGCCGAGGGCTCCAGGCCGAGGGCTCCAGGCCGAGGGCTCCTCCCCGCACGGCTACACTTGGTGCAGGAGGGTCGCGGATGTTTTCAGCCCTGACTCTGGGCGACAGCTTGCACTGCCCCTGGGACTGTTGCGGAAGAACATCCTTGCAGAACGTGCCGTACAGCCGCTGGCAGCTTGTGCGTGTATGCGTGTCAGCATTGGTTTTGTAGCAGATAACGTTTCCTGTAATGTTAGAAGTGTATGGTTATGTACATGTACTACAATTTTTCACTGTAAATAGAAGAGAAGTGGTCTTACAGTATACCTTGGGTACATGGAACTGTATAGGCTTTCACTTGAAAAACATATTTCTGAAGTGATACACAGAACATTCTTCCCTCACCCTCTATCTAAACTGGCCCCTTTCCCCATGTGCACCCTACCTTATAGCTCTGTTTATTTATTTTCCTTCTCATACCTTTTAAAATTTAGTTTATTGGGGTGACATTGCTTAATAACATGACGTAAGTTTCAGGTGCACAGTTCAAGACTGCATCGGCTGCATATTGCATTGTGTGTTCACCCCCAAAGCCTCGAGTCCTTTCATCGCTGTATGTTCGGCCCCCTCTGCCCTCTCCGGCCTCCCCCCGCCCCGCTTCCTCTCTGGGGACCCCCATGCTGTGGTCCGCGTCTCTGAGCTTTTGCTGTTTGGTTTGTTTGTTTGTTTGTTGCTTTCTGTTTTGTATCACACATACGAATGAAATCTTATGTTCTTGTCCTTTTCCGTCTGGCTTATTTCACTTAGCATGACACTTCTTGCACTTTTCAAAGTCTGAAATGATCTTGTATGTGTATATGTGTATATGTAAATATTATGTATAAAGATATATAGTTTACTTTTTGCTGCCTTTCCTCCTCTAGGATGTGGCAGGAACTTTATTTCCAACACCTAGTAGATGCTCTTGAATTTATTTTAATGCAATGAATCAATCAATCATTTAGCTAGAACAAAGGTCATAATGGCTCAGACATCAAGTATTTGACTCTTCAAATAATTGAATCACAAATAATCAGTTGGTTGTCAGTTTAGTCTGCTTATAGGAAGCTTTTGTTGTTTTTTGTTTTTTTTTAGGATTTTATTTATTTATTTATTTATTGAGGGGGAGGAAAGTAGGGAGAAAGAGAAGGAGAGAAACATCTGACATGTGAGAGATACATCAATCGGTTTGCCTCTCACACACCCCCAACTGGGGACTTGACCCACAACCCAGGCACGTGCCCTGCCTGGGTATAGAACTGGCAACTTTTTGATTCTCAGGCCAGCACTCAGTCCACGGAGCTGTACCAGCCAGGGCTGGTTATAGGAGGTTCTTACTGAAGCTCAGGGTAATGGTTTAATTATTCTAAATCTAACAATTTTCTGGCCGGTATAATGGCTTTGTGGGGAGTCTGCATTTTACATTTTATTTTCCGTCATCCCTTATCTCTGAAGTTACAGTTCTTGCTCCCTCCATAATTGGCTCCCAGGGATGCCAGCATGAACACGCTCCTTGCTCTGGGGGCACTTACTGTTCAGATGGAGAGAAAGACACCCCGGCTGAGGCCGGGGTCCCTGTGCTAATTCCAGGCACTGGGAGCGGGACAGTGAGCCCGGAGTTCAGGTTGCAGGAAGAGACTTCTGGCTTCAAGCTGAAGCCGAAAAGGCAAGAGTCAGCAGTTGGCAGGGGGCGTAGTGGGAGAGATTGGGGGGTGAGCATGGGAGTCAGTGCCGGGGGAGGAGTAAAGTGGGTCCAAGGAGAGGAAGTGACCTGTTAAAGGGTCTGCAGCACCGGGAGAGCTGGACAGAGCTCTGCATGGGAGGAGCGTGGCTGTTTGAGGTAGAGATTGGGGTAAAACACAGCTGGGAAGGGGGCAGGAGCCGGGATCGCGGGTTTCCCATGTGACGCACTGTGGCTGCCGGCAGTGGATGTCCCCGGAGTGTTTCAAACAGGAGCAGCATGTCCAGAATCCTAGGGTGCATGGCTGATTTGTTATGCTGATAATTTAGGACCAGCTGTGGATCCTCCAGTTGCTTACCTGTATCTAACGTCGTAATAGGGGAGAGAGGGGGTGGCTTAGGGCAAAAGATACCCCCTCAAAGTGCTCAGCTCTCTCTGTGGCACAATTAATTGGGTGAATACCACCTCGTAAAGAATCAAGTCAAAAGGTCAAAAGACATTTTCATCCTGCATCACGCTTCTTTTCTTCGGCCCCTCCCTCCCCCTCATTTTCCCGTCCAGGACAACAAGGTCACACTCTTCCGCCAGCTGCAGCAGATGACGTACAGCCTGATCGAATGGCGGTCCCAAATCCTGTCTGGAACACTCCCCAAGGACGAACTGGCAGAGCTCAAGAAGAAGGTCACAGCCAAAATCGATCATGGCAACAGGTAAGCCAGGGGTGACATTTCACTGAGGACTTGGAAAAACATGGACACACGCATGCTAAGGACACAGCTCAGCCTGAGCTGTTGGCCTTGGAGTTGCCAAAGAGGAATGCTTACTGCTCTCTTTTTGCCTTGGAAAACAGTTTTGTTGAAAAAAAAATTGTCAGTGCTCTTGATGGGCCAGCCCCTGTGCTGGGTCTCCGAACTAAAGGAGGTGACGGAGGAGCAGGACAGTGGGGCTCGGAGCTCGGTGACTCCACCCCCGGCCACACGGGACAGGCAGAGGCCAGCAGTTTTGCAGACCTGAGACACTCTCTGTTGCGATCTTAACAATGGATTTTAAATCAGTATCAGACTCAGTTTCTCTCCGTCTTCCCGTAAGTGGAAGATACAGCGTAGGAAAACCAGACTTGCCAGAACAGTAAAGCATGTTTTTAGCCTGTTGGTTATGTTTGCAAAGTTAACCGCTTCATCAGTTGTCTGAGCAGCTCAGGCAGGTGCTTAGGTTCTAGATCTCACTGCCTTGTAGAAAATGGGAGATTCAGTCAGTCCGTCAGTATTGATGGTGCCCTAGGACTCACCGCTCCTAACCAGCTCTTTTTAAAAGGCCAGTTTGGTCTCCCATGTTTTTTTGTTGATGATTGATGTGATATTGGTCTCATTTTCTAAATTTCTGCAACTTGTGCATTTGATTTTATTTCCCCTCCTTCTTTGCCCTACTTCTTCAACCTCATGGCTCTTGGAAATGCTTCAGAGACCTGTTAAAATAGAGCTCATTGCCCTCCCCAAGTAGATGTTGAGGACGCTGACAGCTGGATTCAGAAAGTGCTAGAGTGAACACGGCACAGAAGATCTGGGTTCAGCCACTGTTTGTGCAGTCTGCCCTGTGTGCCCTCCACACAGCCTGCCTAACTGTGGCTCTGCGAGGTAGCTGCTGTGCCCATTTATGGTTCCAAGTGAGCTCAAGCAATTTGCTTCCAAGTCACAAAGATAATAAGAGGAAAACTTACATTGAACCCATGACTTTTGGATTCCACGTCTAAAGCTCCCTCCTTTAGGTTTAAGAATGAACAGCCCCTCCCTCGTCCCGTGTCCCCTCGTAGGACTACGCACAGGGGTCTCAGTGCCAGTCGTGTCATGCCAGGGATCTCTTTAGAATCAGCAGCATTGGAACAAGGCCGCTGCCCCTCGCACATAGGCCACCTCTGTACCTCTGGGCGTTGGCCCCGGGCCCCGATCTCTGGCATAGGCTGGTCACGTCCCGCAAGCAGTAGAACATGCCCGCCCTGCCGTGCCAGGCCTTGGAAGCAGCCCCAGAAGCTACACGGCTCCAGCAGTGCATCCGCCACCAAGGCCCCTTGCTTCTGAGTCTGGGTGGCCTGTGGGCCTGGCTTCCATGGAGGAGAAGCTGCCAGATTAGATCAGTTGATGGAGTTGCTATAAAACACAGAGGAGGCAAAGCAGGCATTTTCCTTCCTTCCCAAAGACTTGGCACTTTCCACTGTTATCCCTGAGCTCGCCTGCTGTTTGGACACTCCTGTTCCCGAACGGCCGGTGCTGGGAATGTGCATTGGGCATTCAGATAGCAGTATCCTGTTTCCACCACAGCCACCCACTGGTTGGAACTAAGTAACATTTTTTTCTGCTTCTGCGTGTGCACTGGGCATGAAAGCCTTCCTGGGGATCCTGCCTTGCACGGGCCACGTGGCCCCGACTTTCTTGTGCATTACTCAGAATTCTGCCTTAACGCAGTCAGGTGCTTTCCTGTGCCAGTTGCCACAATAAAAGCTCAAATGTATTGAATGCACGCTATACGCTATACGCTAGACACTGTGTTTTGTGCTTTATATGTGTTATCGCATTAAATTCTACCAAAACCCTGAAGAGTTGGGGAATAGTTACAGATGAGGAGATCAGGGCTTTGCAAAATCAACGAAAGCACCCAGAGTCACCCTGCTGGCACGTGTGAAAGCCAAGATTTAGGTTCTGGTCTGCCTGACACCGGAGCCCGTGCTCTGAAGTGGGGTAAGAGGTACCAACCGCCGGGGCTCACGCCACTGATCTGCTTTAAGACCCTGCTGAGTTCGTACTGCCCCCAGGCACCTACCTTGAAGGCAAGCCCTGGAGATCTGTGCGCTGGTGTTTCAGCATCCCTGTCCAAACAGCAGAAGACATGGGGGCAGGGGCGTTGGTCAGAGTCGGTGCCGGTTTTGCCTTTCCTGGTGAGGTTCTGTGGACCCAGTTATTTTGCATATCGTTATATGAGCTTGGTTACTGTGATCCTACGTGTTCTGACAGTGTCGTGATGTGGAAAGGAGATGGGAATTGGAAGGAGAAAAGTCAGTGAGCGCATCTGGACTTGTCCCGCTCCTGAGCCTCTTCACTCTGGATGCTCTGGGCCCTCCGATGACGGGTCCGCTCCTTGGGGGACCAGCTGACCACTCCTTTCTTTCTAGAATGCTTGGTTTAGATCTGGTCGTGCGGGACGACAACGGAAACATCTTGGACCCAGAGGAGACCAGCACGATAGCCCTCTTCAAGGCCCACGAAGTGGCCTCGAAAAGGATTGAGGAGAGGATTCAAGAAGAAAAGGTACCTTTTCCCAAATATTCAGACTTTGGCCCCTGAGGTTCTGTCTTCTCATGTTTTTAATGAGAGAAAGGAGGTCATTGACCACAGAGGTAGAAATGTTATTTAAAAAATCCTTTTAAAAGCAAAACAGAAAAAGAACGAGGCAGCTCTGTGTCATGTTCTGATATGGAAGATGCCAAGATAAATATGAAGTAAAGGAGCAAGATGCAGAACTGTGTATGGAGTAATATTATTTATGTTTCAAAAAAGAATATACATCTGTGCTTGCTTATGTGCCGGCTAACTCTGGAGTCATGGACAAGAAACGGATCGTTACCAGCTGCCTTCAGAGGGAAGCTGGGGGCAGGGAGCCTTTTTACTGTGTGACCCGCCGTGTTCAGTGCATGTATTATGATTTCCAAAATAAATTAAATAAGATGAAGAAATAAAGCATTTGAAAGTAGGAACTGGATATTAAATAAAAATTAGGAAGGTACAGAAAAAGAGAAAAAAATTCACCTATGTTATAACTGCCTAACCATCTTGATATTTTGGTATATGGTCTTCAGTCTTTCTGTTCTAATGACGCAAGACTTCTGTTTGTTTTCTTGTTTCTTAGTTTGTAGGTTTTACTACTTTAGCACAGTTGTGATACTACTTGTGTTCCTGGCTTTAACAGCTCACGTGCCTGAGGGTAAAGCCTTTCCAGTGGAATCTGTTGTTTGCTTTGAGGGTTATTCCCCAAAAGAAGGATAATGAATCATGATTTTTATGCTTTGGGGGTTCATCCCAAAGCAATTGCGAGACAAAGACTTGTTGAAGCTACTAAAATCCTGAATTACCACCTTTTGACAGCTGTTGAATTACGTGGGTTCAGGGCCCTGTGCAGGATAGCCTGACTGTGTCAGTGATGGTCGCGTTGCACTCGGCTCACTTGGTTATTTGTCCACTTACGTAATACGTGTAAGTGCTGCTCCTCTTGGTCGGTGATTATATTTGGTCCCCACTTTTGAAACTAGGCTGCTTTTCTCTCCTGTGCTCTGTGTTCAGTCAGCCCGGCAGAACCTGGACTTGCGGGGACAGACCATCTTCAGTGCCACCCATACCTACGGCCTCTACGTCAACTTCAAGAACTTTGTCTGCAACATCGGGGAAGACGCGGAGCTGTTCATGGCCCTCTATGACCCGGACCAGTCCATTTTCATCAGGTAGTGGACCCCCAGTCATCTGCTGTCGAGCCTGGAAAAGCACCCAGCCTTCGCCTGCTGCCTGCCTGGGTTCTGGGCTCAGTTTGAGCAGGGAGGACAGAGAGGACAGGGAGGATTTCCGGGCAGGAGAAAACAAAACCCTTCCGGCTCCTAAGCCTTTTGTCTGGCCGCTGAGACAGGCCAGTAGCAGTCTGTGGACTCTGTGGGTCTTTCAGATGACCTAAAACTCATCAGAACACAGAGGCAGGAGCAAAGAGTTCAAAAGATAACAGGGGAGGGGTGGGGGCGGGGTGCACCTGCAGAGCACAGAGGATGTAGGGCACTGAAACTCATCTGCGTGATACTACACGGTGGGCGCATGCCACTGAACGCTTGTCCAAACCCGTGGAATGTGCACGACCAGGAGTGAACCCTCACGTAAACTGTGGACTTCGAGGGATAATGATGTGGCAGTGTCAGTACCACTCTGGTGGGGGGTGCTGTTTATGGGGGAGACTGTGGCGGGGCGGGGGTGTATGGGGATTCTCTGTACTTTCTGTTCACCTTTGCTGTGAGCCTCAAACTGCTCTAAAACATAAAGGCTATGAAAAAATTGTAATGACTGTAGGGAACGATAATTGGCTTTGTTTAACCCTACGGTGGCATTACCGCTAAGCAGCTAAGCAAGCAGATGTATTTTGGAGAAGACGGTTAGAAGTGATTACTGACAGGCTGCTTATTTCTAAAATAGAAATTGTATTTGAGTGTGGTGATGCGGATTTCAGGGGATGGATTTAGAACGATTATCATAAAGTTGTATTCTTGATTCAGCAAAGCTGAAACTTTTAGATGGGAATTTGAGGTGAAGAAAGACCCCCAGACAGAATCTGGCAGAATCGCTGTGTGTGTGTCATCGTGAGCAGTATGCGTCATGGGTCCTACTGGGCACGCCTCACGGAGCGGGGCTACGGCAGGCACCTGTCTCCAGAACCGGGCCGGACGAATTTAACTGAGCTTGACTGGGCCTTTCTTACAGTCTGCACTGTGGGCAGCTCCCCCTCCCCCCCAGGGAACCCCTCAGTAAGAATCGGTTTTTTCTTCCCCAGTGAGAACTACCTAATTCGTTGGGGCAGTAATGGGATGCCCAAGGAAATCGAGAAGCTGAATAACCTTCAGGCGGTCTTCACCGTAAGTCCTCACTTACGTTAAATCATTTTGTCTGGGGGTGAGCGGATGCATGTGGTAAGTATGTGGAAAGCATAAAAAATGAAACGGTGAATATACAAGTCAACCAAAAAAGTCATCATAATCCTCCCCGCAGGACTAACCCGCTCATTTATTCCACAAATACTTGTCGAGCACGTGTTAGATGCCAGGCACTGAGCTGGGCACTTGAGCTCCATCAGCAAACACGTCGGAGAAAACATCTGTTTGCTCAAGATGCTTTTGTCTGAATGGACAGTAATAAACAATAATTGAATAAGTGAGCCAGCTGTGTAGAATGTCAGAAATTCTAAGTGCTTTAGCAGGGATTGGATGTTTCTGGTCTGGGAGCAGGTTGCCATTTAAATAGGGGGTCAGGGCAGAACTCAGGGATGCAGCCTTTGAACACGAACTCACAGTCGAGGCGGTGGTTAAGGGGACCATCGTTTTGGGACGAGGTCACAGCTCAGGCAGAGGTGGGATCCAGACTGTTTTTTGTGCATATATGGCCTTTGTCCTCCCTTCGTCCCCATCTCCGGGTGTGAGAAGTGACGCTGTCACACATCAGGAGCAAGGACATTTACTGGGCGCCAGCGGGGGGCGTGGTGGCTCTGCCTTGCAGGCTGAGAACTTTCTTGGGGCCCCCTCACATTTTATAATGCCGGTGCTCAAAATGTCCCAGAGCTGCGGCCCACTGCTTGGAGAAGCCTGAGAAGGTGGGTGTCCCAGCTCCCAGGAGTCCCGAAGGGGATGCTCCCTTCGGTTTCCCTTTGCTCCCTCAGCCACACCCATATTTTCGCTCCATGCCCTAAGGCAAGGCGAGCAGAGTCCAAGGTAGAGGCCAAATGAAGTGATAGGAAGGAGCCGTGGTTCCAGGGTGGGCTTTCCGTCCGTCTGTCCGTCCGTCCATCCATCCATCCATCCATCCATCCATCCATTCGTCTCTCCTTAGAACCGTTCATCCCTTCTGTCAACATCCCACCCCTAGGACAGGCCTGGTTTGATGACTGTCCCTGCACTGACCCATCTATAGCTTCACCACCTGGTAAATGTAGACAAAAAGGCGCTTAGAACTCACTCTTCCCGAAACCTGCCCCGAACACATAGAGTGTTTCCTCATTGCTGAGATAGGTGAGTTTTTTTCCCTTCAAATTAAAAGGCATTTACCAGTCAGTGTGTCATTAAAAAGCAAACACGTTTAAAGAAGACATTATTGAATCTTTGCTCTATCTTCTAATCAATACTGTGGAGCCACAGCTCATCCCCTCCCCCACTCTTCCCACCGATTAGGATCTTCTTGTATGTACCTTTCGTGCCCAGCTTTTTTACTTAAATAAAATGTAATGACCATTTCCTGGGCCATAAAACCTTTTTCAAAAACTTCATTTATCAATGAGTACATATTATTAAATAATAACAGGGTGCCTCAGTTTATCTAACTGGCCATGTGGAGCCTTCATCTCTCTCTTAACAGAAGCCTCACAAAACCTAGAGTAGAAATTCAAGGTTGATGTTATCATTGGTCTGTAGTCTTACTTTGGAGATATAAATTACAGAGGATGGATTTGGAGCGATTGTTTAAAAGGTAATTCTTGATTCAGTGAAGAGGCCTTGAACAGCTGTTTCATGAAAAGAATCTGAGATGCAATTAAATTGTTTGATGTTAAAGGGAATGAGATACGTGAGCTCCTCCATGGGTTTACTCACCCATCCTTACAGATACAAGCAAACGTAGACCGTGAGCCACAAAAAAACAGATATTTCATCCATGCATCACTTAATTAATCAACATACACCCAGAAGCTCCCAGTGGATGCTTCTCCTAAAACACATGAATGGTTACAGAAATCAGGGCATGTAAATTTCTCTGTTATAATTGCCTCACAGGATTATTTGGCAGATGAATTGAAACCAGCATGTGTGGATACCCAACAAATGTCAATATCATACAAGTTTTAATTTCATTTGACACTGAAACGCATCCTGTACTCAGATGTGTCATGGCGATATTATAAAGTAGCAATGACAAGTGTCCTGATTTTTAGATACCCTGCTTGAATAGATGAACTAGAGACTTTAGATTAAATATGATCTGATTTATGCATTTGAAGTAGGAGCTGGGGAATAAAATTTTCTACTGGTTTGAATCCAGCCCTTTTTCTCTGGTGCCATGGCAGTTCTTGGGTGCGTGGGGAGAAGAGAGGAGCCACTCTGGCCTTTCAGCATCAGGAAATAGAGGTGGCAGGGTGACAGAGAGGGACCCCTTTACACGCTCTCTGCTTCTTTAGGACCTCAGCAGCACAGACCTCATCCGGCCCCGCATCAGCCTCGTGTGCCAGATTGTCCGGGTGGGCCACATGGAGCTGAAGGAGGGCAAAAAGCACACCTGTGGGCTCCGCAGGCCCTTCGGAGTTGCAGGTATGGAAAGACCCAGAGACAAAGGTAAAATGACGCAGTCACTGTGACCAACGGGGGCAGGTTCTCAAAAACGTTAGACCTAGGACTGTGGTCAGCGGTCCTGCGTGTGGTCGTGTCTGCTGAAGAATTAAAACCAGGGTGTCAGAGAAATAATTGTGCATCCTGTGCTCTTAGCTGCTTTATTCACAACAGCCAAAAGGTAGAAGCAGCCCAGGTAGGAGTCCCGCAATGGATGAGCGGGGTAAACATAGGGGGTCCGTCCATACAATGGCATGTCACTCAGCCGTAAGAGGGAGGAAATTCTGACACCTGCCACCATAGGGATCGTCCTTGAGGACACTCTATGAAGTGAAATAAGCCAGTCACAAAAAGATGACTACTGTAGGATTCCACTGATGCGAGGTGTGTAGAGAATGGTTGGGTTCATAGAAACAGGAAGTAGATGGTGGTTGCCAGGGGCCAGGGAAGACAGGCAGAGCAGTTAGTGTTGAATAGGGACAGGGCTTCAGTTTGGGAGGATGAAAACTCTGTGGGGTGGACGGTGGGGATGGCTGGGGACAGTGAATGTGCTTTAACGCCACAGAACTGACCACTTAAAAACGGCTACAGTGGTAGATTTATTTTATGTGTATTTTATCACAGTAAAAAAAATTAATGAAAAATAGAGGCGGTGGGGGAGGGATCAGAGCCATGGACTGTGCTAGATGACTTCCGCCGCCAGTGTTTGTACCTTTCCGGGGCTCTGTGTCCCCCACAGGGACCCTCCTGTGCAGTGTCCCCCACAGCGCCCAGCATAGCGTCTTCCACTCAGCAGGCCCACGGCGATGCCTCAGGTGTGACTTCTGGAATATCCTCCCTGCCTGCAGCCACATATTGATTACTGATTGCACTCAAGTAAAATTCTCCCTGGACAGCATTTGCCTGCCTAGGAAATTTACTCTTCAAAGGCACCAGCACTGAGTTTGTAGCTGCTTTCAGAGAGAATCCTTGGCTTCAGTCAAACCCTACAACCTTCCAGGGGGCCCTTCCTTTTCCTGTGTAGCATGTTAAATGGAGGAAATACATTTTCAGTCTCAGGTTGAAATTTTGGTCACTAAGTAGTTTTGAAAGCCATCGGCGAAATGTCGTCATTTTGCTCCTGGAACAAGGGCAGAGAAACCCCGTGTTGTCAGGGTCGCGTGGATAACGAGGTGGCCTCTGTATCCCATGAGCCTGGATGTCCTGCCTCCCTTGAACAGCCCTGCCCCCAGCCTGCTTCACAGGGGCCGAAGGCCTGTGGCCGGAGGGCTGCCCATCACTTCCTGATTGAGAGACTAAGTAGATTCTCGGAAGAGGCGAGAGCCCTGACAGCCTTAGCTGCCTGCAGGATAACCTATTGATCTAAGGGGTTAAAGCCTGTTAGAGGCCGTTGTCATTCCGAATAAGCCACAGAAACTGGAAGAACATCAGGCTGTAACTTTTGCTTGCTCTTCTACTTCAGAGCGTGTGTGAGCGCAGGGCACCGAGTATGATGGGAACAAGGCAGAGACTTCTTTCCTCGGACCCTGGAGGCCGAGCACCAGCAGAGCTTAGGGCTGTGGAGTTGTGGCAAGGACAAATGAATGGCCTGCTGTTCTTTTTTTTACGATTTTATTTTCAGAGAGAGGAGAAGGGAGGGGAAAAGAGAGGGAGAGAAACACAAATTGGTTGCTTCCTGCTCACCCCCAACCAGGGACCTGGCCTGCAACCCAGGCATGTGCTCTGACAGGGAATTGAATTGGCGACCTTTCAGTTTGCAGGCCGGTGCTCAATCCATTGAGCCACACCAGCCCAGGCTGCCTATTTTTTTGGGTGGGGGAGGGGGTGTCAAATATAAGTTTTGCAGGGTTGTATTTTTTGTTAATTTTTGCAGGGTTCCATGGAAGGCTGGCAGCAAGTTGATGCCATGCCCTGCTTCCTACAGCCTCCTTCCGCCAACATTTTTGATTCCCAAGCCTGACACTGTGTGGTTTGAGTTATTGTGAGAAGACATTTCTTTCCTTACCCTAGGTTTCTCATATGAGAATTGTCTCATATCTCAGTATTCATTTTAAATCTCCAAACAGGCTGTCTGCGGATAGACCCCCAGCGAGGGTTTATGGCCAAGTTGTCATTTATTAACTGAGGGATTGCCTCTTGCCTGGGGCCCTGCCTCACTGCAGCCCATTTACTACTTCTGCAGGCAGCGGGGGGAGTCAGGTCCAATGATTTAGCCCTGTGACCACTTCCAGGTCCATGCCCTGGCTTCAGCACTTAATGCTTGTGGCCTGGCCGAGTCACTCACCTTTGCTGCGCTCAGTTTCCTCATCTCTCACAGTACAGCTAATAGCGCCTGTGTTAATAAGATGATATATATGCAGGAGGCTTAGAACAGGACTTTAATTGCTCTCCTTGCCCGTGAGAAAGCAGACTACTCTGGGGTCTTCTCATGCAGGTAGCTGGCGTTCTGGTCTCCCGTTGTTTACGTGTAAATCAAGAGAAGATGTCAAATCAGAGACAGAGGGTCACTTCAAGTCCTGTGCATCTCTCCATCTGTTGTTCTGTTGACACTTAGACCAAAAATGTGTGTTCTGTGGGTCTTTGCATGCAGACTCACAAAGAAGTGGCCTGGCTGTCAAGTTTCCCAAGAATGTTGCAGCTTGTCTTGCAACAAGGTAGCAGCCTGCAGGGTTACCTGGCAGGCAGCCCCAGCCCTGCAGGAGGGGCTCCCAGGGAATCGCTCTGCAGCCCAGCCGGGCTGGCAGTGGGGATCCTGCCGGCAAAGGGCAGAGCGCCTCGTCGGTGGTATCTCCCTTTCCCTGGTGTTCTGTGTTGCTGATACTCTTAATCTTCGTGGTAACTCACCGAGGCCTGAAGTAATTAGTTTCTTTAATTAAGTTTATCTTCTTCCTAGTGATGGATATTACTGATATCGTGCACGGGAAGGTGGACGATGAAGAAAAGCAGCATTTTATTCCCTGTCAGCAGTAAGTACTTTGGCATTTGTCCCGGGTGACTTGAGACCTGGATTAGCACTTGGAACAGGGTGTTCATGCAGAGCCAGGTGCTGGAAACTTGTGTCTTGTTAGGGAAGACAGGCTGTCCAGCTGGAAGATGGTCCGAGAGGAGCTGACTGAGGACTTTATTCCAAGTCCTTTATATTGAGCTCCAGTGGCAGAGGGTAAACTGAGCTTTTCTGATGCCACTGAAATGACTGAAGGAATATAAGGGGCGAATATATGTCTGTACTAGAGACCAGAGGAGGGTGCCGTGGGAGGGCAGAAATGCCGAAGGATGTCTGTACTTTGTCACCTGGAGCAGGTGTCGCGGAAGACAAGGACTCATGTACAGCAGCACAGGTTTCTTAAATGGGCACATGCATATGCACGACCTGGGGCCTTGTTGGAACGCGGACCGTGGCCCAGTAGGTCTGGAGGGTCCATCTCTCGAGCTCCCAGAGGATGCTCGTGCTGCTGGTCCGGGGGCCGCCCTGGGTAGCAAGGGCTCAGGGGGTGTGAGAGGGAAGGCCGACGAGCCCATGGGATCCCGCAGAGGCGGGGAGAGCCAGCCCTGGGAGGACGTGCAGGGAGTCCCTGAAGGGCTCGGCTAGAGGAGACCTCGCCTCCATGCGGAGCTCGGAGCCGCTGGGAGCTGCTGGCGAGCAAGCGTCCATGCCTGTCCCTCAGAGGGAGGCGGCCTCTGTGGGATCTCACGACTGGCTGTGGCAGCCAGGCTCCGCGCGCAGGTGGCGGTGGCCCAGGGAGGCGAGGGCGTTGCTGGGACTGACTCCTGACGGCGTCGTCCTGTCAGTGACAGAAGGTGGTTGTGCAGGCCAGCTTGTCGCCGTGCCAACACATCCATCTGACACACTGAGAGTTACAGAAGCCAGCCCAAGGAGATCTGAATTAATAAGTACTTTATTCATAATAAATAATAATTATTTTAAATTATTTTGGAATAAAAATAAACCAGTGGAGGGAGACAGATTATGCAAAAGACTGAGAAAATTAGCTAACCATTTAAGAAACATAAAGCAGAACCTTGTCTCGCAACCTGCATCGTTGTAAACACCTGATGATGAAACACAGTGAAATATGTCAGGAAAATAGAAGTTTTACGTAATAGTGAAATATGGGAGGACTTTCTGAGTCAGACACCAAAGATTTGACTAAAAAAGGAGATTGATAGGTTTAGCCACCCAAGAATTTTAAACAACTTACACATAAAAAAAATTTAATAAAATCTTCGGAATGTCTATGAAAGAAATACGCGTACACACAAAGAAAAGGCCTATAAATTCATTGGGAATCAATGAAATACAAATTAAACAGTGAGGTTTAGTTTTTGGCTTGACCAAGTTTTAAAAATATATGCACTATCTAGTATTTGGTGGGTGTAAGGAGCATGTGTTACTTACAGGAATACAGGGGTGGACAACAGCAGCTGCAGAGTTGTTCGTATGGAAGAACACGTGCAGGTTGTGATTATTGCAGCTGCTTTATTAACTCTGTTTTGTGTGCTCACAACTGTAAACCTACTTTTGCCCACCCCTGTAAATTATTACAATATAGTAAAAGCCTTAAAATGTAGATAGTCCCAAGAATGTACTCCATAATTAACAATGATTATTTCTGTTGGTGTAACTATAGGTGATTTTGCCCCTCTTTTTATTAAATCCTGTTTTCTAAATATTTTTCTACAATATATATTACATGTAACTTAATTAAAAATACAAAAAAATCTCTATCTTTTAATTTAAAGTCCAGTACCTTTGGACCAGTTTCTAAATATAATGGTACAAATAGCCCATGCTAAGTAATACTTCCCTCCTTTATCCAGATGCTGCTATTTATACTTTTTTAAAATACAGGGTGGGGCAAAAGTAGGTTTATAGTTGTTCGTTGTTCGTATAGAAAAATAATACAATAATTATTAATACAAGAATAAGCTCTGTTTTACATACCCACAACCGGAAACTGACCTTTGCCCCCCCCTCCATGCATTTATCTGGTCCCCGTACCCCCTACCCCCGATCCCCCGGAAACACAGGAGGTCAGCCTTCCATCGAGCTTAGTGCTAATTTGAATTATGAGATAATTTTCAATTTCATGAATGCTGCTCCCAATAGAAATAGCTACTTATATTTAAGTATATTAAATAGATATATTAAATTTAATAAATAAAATATGTTAAAGTATGTTACAATTTTATATTAATACATTAAATGTATTACAATAGTAAATCAACTATATTAATATCTTATATAATCAATAAATATTAAATAAAATATGTAAATGAGTATGTTTAAATATAAAAACAATTTATTAATATATTAAATATGCACAAATATTTTTGATAAATACAACTTTTTATCCATGAATGTTCTTATACATATATAATATTATTGTACATTATTATTATATATGCATTGTGTATATACATAATAGATGCAACATTCATGGCTGTGAATGTGACATGAAATATATAATAATGTGCCCTGGCTGGTGTGACTCAGTGGATTTAGTGCCTGCCTGCGAACCGAAAGGTCGCTGGTTCGATGCCAAGTCAGGGCACCTGCCTGGGTTGCAGGCCAGGTCCCCGGCTGGGGGGGTGTAGGAGGCAACCAAAACATTAATTTTTCTCTCCATCTCTTTCTCCTTCCCTTCCCCTCTTTCTAAAAGTAAATAAATAAAATCTTAAAATATATATATATAATAACGTGACATAGTATATTATATATATGTAAGTAACAGGGACAGTATTCATGGAAATGAAAGTTATTCTGCTCCATATAATAACATTGTAAGTACATCTAAAATCGGGGTGGCGCTGTAGCTCTGAAGGTCGCCGTCAGTGTATTTCTCTGCACCCGTGTCACCTGGGAGGGGCTTCTTTCTTTGGTTGTGTGCCTCCCTGCTGCCTTTCTGTACAGCTCCCGCCGGGCACACACAGTGAGACAGCACACCTGAGATTGTCCCCACCGTGTCCTGATGCTGAGAGGACACCAGCCCTGACTTGATTGCCCCACCGCAAAGCCCTCACAATGCAAATCACAGCCTCCAGCGTCTGACTCCCACGCTGATGGCAGACGCCTCCGTAACTGCCTCAGAAGCTGTGGGGGGGCATTAGAAGAGAGTTTTTTGGCCAGTCCACCGAGAGAGTCCTTTGTAAACAGCTCGGGTGGGTGACAGCAAGTCCATTGTGCAGTGGTACTGACAATCCCCAGGTTGTCAGGGCGCAGCTCTGAGCCCCTCAGAGGAAGCTGGTCTGGCCAGTGGGCCCATGAACAGCCCCTCAGCCGAGAAGGCTGGGGACTATTGGGCTGCACCGGGCAACCCGCAGTGCCTGCTGCCACCGCGCTGGCAGCGGGATGGGACTGTGCTGGTTCTGTGGCCACACTGCCCAGTTTCGGCCTGAGGCGATCAGTGAAGGAGGCTCGTTCGCTGGCGCCTGCGCTGGCGCAGCCCTAATTGTCCGGTAGTTTGTCATCACGTGGTACTCTGACCACACCCTGCGAAGCTCCTGCACGCACGCTGCACTTGTACAGAGTGTTGGCACTACTTGGCGGCCTTCAAGGCAGTGGCCATGCCCGTCTCCTTAGAGAGGAGGCGGCGGAGGCCCCGAGGGGACCCTGGTGGAACGCACTGCCAAGCAGAGCCAAAACGGGAGGCGGGTCCCCTGCCCCCTCCTGGCCCCGCTTCAGTTCCAGGACAGCAGCCTCTCACGCTCACCAAGAGCATCAAGTGTTGCCTGTGGTTTTACTTGTTAATGTTTGGCCATCAGTTTTGATTGTTCTTGGGGTTTTGTTTTTCCTTATTTGCCTCTAGTCATTTTCAAGATGAATTTGGTGTCTAAGATAGGCACCCAATGGAAAAATAAGAAAAGATAGAAAGAGTCCTCCAGTTAGGTGGTTTAGTGTTTGTATTCCTACCAACGGACCCACCACTACCTGAGCCCGTGCTACAGAGATGTCTCTTTTTTTCTTACCTCTCATTTCTGACTTTCCTAGAATTGCCATGGAAACCTATATCCGGCAGAGGCAGCTAATCATGTCGCCCCTGATAACATCCCACGTGATTGCGGAAAATGAGCCACTCACTTCGGTCTTGAATAAAGTGATAGCAGCGAAGGAAGTGAACCACAAAGGACAAGGTGCACAGCCTGGCACGCAGCTGGGAAGGGGTGGGGGCCTTCAGAACTGGGCTGTGGACTCCGGCCCCTTCCTTGCCTTCCCCTGGCATAAGACACGCCCTGCTGGGCACTGCCCATCTCAGCTTCCTGCCGCAGGCAGTTAGGGCTGAGGCGCGCCCAGGGTGCACCCGGCACTGAATTGGGTCACAGCTGCACTTTGTAAATTCTATGGAACAAATTTTTATCCCATGACTCTTCCCTCACTTTGTTTATCCCACAACCCCTGACTCTTAAGTTAATGCACAAAGACAGAGAATTCTGAGGGTAATTATGTTAAACTCTCTGAGTATGGTTATCCCATTACTTTTCCTAAAATTGAGAGGAAGGAGACCAAAGCAATACACAAGATTATGTATTAATATAAAAAATGGGCTCTCTAGCAAAAAGGACTTACTTGTTTTTAGTATCTCATGTAGGATTCTGTTGATATCATTTGAACCCAGAGGAGTTCTGTTTGTTGAAACTGCATTTTAAGTTCAAAGTAATCAAGGAAAATAGTTCAAATTTTTACATTTAAATGCCATGATGGTGATGTTTTTGGATAATTTTAAAGATTGAGTTACTTTTTTCTTAACAACCCTATAACTGTCTTCTAAAGTGGATGCAATCAGAAAACACTTTATTTTCAGCATATTTAGTTTTCTGTGTTTTAACAATTATGCTGAGTGCGGGGGACAGGTGAGGAGTCATTAAAGAATTAAACAACTAAATATATTTCTGTTGTTTTAGAATGTTAACAAAACTGAAAAAAGATCATTTATTCTCTTGCTGCTTAACAAAACAAGCACTTTTTAAATGTCTTTATGCTCTTCACAAATGTTTTTTGTAGCTGCATAATATTCCATTGCATGAATTTCAGAAAATGAAATCCCCTAAGTAAAGCGTTTTCTAATATGTCGCCATTATAAATTTAAATAACTCTACTATGACTATCTTTATAAATGCGGCTTTTCCCATAGTTAGACCTGCCTCCCAAGAAAATTCCCCGAAGTAGGATTTTTGGATCAAATGATGGTAACACGCTGAGATCTGGACACATGGCTACAGATGTCTGCCAGTGAGCGCCAATTACCACCTTGCCCCCTTTGCAAACTGATACTTAAAAAACTTTACCCGTTGAGAGGTAGAAAGTAGACTTCCATATAGTTCTCTTGAATTTAAAAAAACAAAACAAAACTACTCTTCATGAATTATCTAGCCTTCATATGTATTTGTGAGTTTTCTGAAGTTTTCCCTCTGAGTTTTTATGAGCACTTTATATAATAAAGATAACTTGTCTTATTTAGGACACATATTTTTCCAGTTTTGATTTACCGAATAGTTATAAACTTCCTGTACTTCTTTATGAATTGGGTATGTCTTATTTATTTGTGAGGACTTTAATGTTTTTCTTCTAATGAGTAATATAAATTCATAATTACTTATAAGTATTTTACCACTTTATAGTATACTTCTTATTTTTAATGAATATCAAAACTTTCAGTTTATATACATGTTTTTACAATTTCATTTGTTTCTATATTTAGAAAATGGTTCATTATCAGAGATTTAGTAAGAATACCTTTATTTATTCTTTTAATTTCCTGTCTGTTTTTATATTAGGAATCTATTTTAATGAAAATGTGAAGTAAGAAATTACATAGATTCTAAGTAGCAGGAAATTATCCTAGAACATTTATGAAATTATTGGTTTTTTCCATGATTTGTTGTGCCTCTTTTGCTATATATTAAATTGCTATATATTATAGTACTTAATCTCATTGTTCCCATTGATTCATGTAACTTTTTTTTTTTTACCATTAATATTATACATTGCTACAGCTCTACAGCATTTTGGTGTCTCAGAGGGGCTATATTTACACCTTTTTTCCCCCAAAACAAACATGTGTTCACATCTCCGTCGATCTTCAAGTTCTGATAGAGTGTCATGGAAATGGTAAATTAACCAGCAGAGAATGTTCATCCTATAATACTGTATCTGTATATCAATACAACAGATTTTTCTCTGTGTTGGTGCGTGTTACTATCTAGATTACACAGAGAGCTAAACGTTTATCCTTCATGTCTTTAAAGGACTTTGGGTATCCTTGAAGCTGTTGCCAGGCGACCTCACACAAGTTCAGAAGAATTTTTCACACTTGGTGGATAGATCAACAGCAATTGCCCGAAAAATGGGCTTTCCTGAAATAATACTTCCAGGTAAAACACTTTGCTTGAGTCACCTGTCTGCCTCCTCTAGGACCTCCTTCCTGAAGTAGTTACTTCTAACCCACAACAGAAACAGCACTGACCCGTCGAGTCCGTCGTCTGCACTCAGCGGTGCCGAGACCGCGGGCGATACCGGCGGGGTTGCGTGCAGCGCCTCTGGGAGCTCCCCAGGGCGCAAGGCCAAGGCAGCGCTTCTGGATGCAGCTCGGAACTCTCTGTCCGCCCTCTCGCTGGCTGAGAGACACGCGGCCTCTGGAATGCTCTCGGGGCCATCGTTAAGTTGACCTGCATGGCACAGGGTCTCTGTGTCATTCGCACGTACCTTTTCTCACGATGGCACCTCCAGCCATGTGGGCTCCTTGCTGGGACGCTCCAGCGAGGTGCCTGCGGAGCTCAGTCCCAGTGGGACCCTGTGCGTCTTTGCTTCAGCTCCAGCTGTGTGGTTGGCTGTCCCCAAACTCGTGGTGACACAAATGTAAACGTTTTGCGGTTTCTCACTTCAGTGTCATCTTCTTTGCCACCACATGCTGGTGATCTGCATGTGTTTGTTGTATTCACTAATTTACCCCATTTAGCTTCTTAATCTTCATATCAGTAAAAGGAAATCATTTCCTCAAGGAACTTTGTATAATATATAAAATTTCCATTTTCTTGTATTACACAAATATTGTATATAAAGTGCATAGTTATAAATGAATATTAAAATATGAATATATGACATGTATTTTATAGGTAGATAAAACAGAAAAGTAAATAATTTTTGGCATATCAGAAACATTCTAGCAAACCGAGCTCTTACCTATTACGTAAAACTTCCAGTTCTTTTAAAGTAACACAAGGTTTTATTTCTCCTTTGAGAGATTAATGAGTAGTAATAATTTGCTGCTACGCACATTGTCTGCACATAGTAGGTATTTAAAGAATATTTGTGGAATGACTGAAGAAAAGAGCTATAAAATAGAAATTATCTTTTTTTATGAAAGAAGATAGTTTTTCACCTGCCTTCCAGACCCTTCTACCCTCACACATATTCATCAACATTCTGGGAAAATGTATTTGTCTTACTGTTATTTGAAAACATAAGTATTGGTAATGTTCTTATGACTGAAGGCAGTTTTATTGCTACAGCAATACAGAAATCTGAAAAAAATAGAGTATTTTTTGGACAAAGGGAATTTATCTTGGAAATCTGCCTGGAGAGGTTCTTTATATCCATAGGATTGGGCCGTAGACTACCAGGACAATAGCAGGCTTTAAAACCATCGAGGCTGATGCTTCCCAAATGCTAGTCTTTGAATCAGCAAATCAGGATCACCTGGGAAACATCAACATACAGATTCCCAGACTTTTCCAGAAACTCTGATTCAGCTTGTCAGGCCCGGGCTCCCAGGTGATTCTAGCGATCAGCCAGGTTTGGGAGAGACACTAGATCTTAGCCTATGTCCCCTGCCCGGTAGCTCCTTCTCGTCGCCACTCATCAGCTTCAGATGTGCCGAACTCTTCCCGCGGCCCCTCTTTCCCCTCTTAACCCTTGTCTTCACAGCTCGGTTCTCGGCAGCCGTTACACTCTCTCTCTCTCTTTTCACACCTGCCAGTCACCCTCCAGCTGCTCCCGAATGGCCGTCACCACAGTCACCAAAGATTGCAGAGTCATGAAATCCAAAGGACAGTTTTTAGCATAATGATCCTTTCTGGTCTTTCTGCAGCATGTGACCCTGTTGGTCACTCCCTTCTTGAAGCTCCCCCCCTTCATCATTGGTGACCCACACTTTTCTCTTTCTCCATCTCCTGAGACTCTCGTGGGACCCTGTCCCCCTCCGTCCTCTGCCTCGCCTGTGCGTGCGAGCGCTCCTCAGTATTTGGTTCCCACGCCCTGTGTCAGTTTGCAAGGGCCGCCATAACAAAGTACCATGGACTGGGGCGCTCAAACAACAGAAGTGTATTTTCTCACAGTTCTGGAGGCAGGAAGTCCAAGAAGAAAGCGTCTGCAGTTTCGGTTACTTCTGAGGCCTCTCTCCGTGGCGTACGAACGGCCACCGACCCCGTGTCCTCACGTGGTCGCCCCTTGGCCGGCCTGTTATTGGTGTCCTAATCTCTTATAGGGACACCAGTCCTCTGGGCTTAGGCCCAAACATTTTACCTTAATCGCCCTTTTTAAAGGGCCTCTCTCCAAATATAGTCACCTTTTGAGGTACTGAGGGCTGAGACTTCAACGTGAAAATCTGGGGGACACAATGCAGCCCATAAAAGGCCCGCTGTGTATCCCATCTGTATTCTGTCCCCAGGTGATTTCATCGACACGCTCGCCCTCTGTGTGTTGGTTGCTCCGAGCTCATCGCTCTCACCTCAGGGCCACTCCCCTGAACTTTGTCACCACAGGTGCAACTCTGTCCTGCCTCAGGACGCCCGTGGCGGCTGTCCCCGGCTGGATCCCTCTTCTCCCTCCTCCGTTGCTCAGTCATTACTGAGAATTCCCTGTTGAACCTGTGACCCTGTGCATCTGCGCCTGGATCTTCAGTTTCATCTAAGAGAGTGGCACTCTGTCCGTCCAGCTGCACAGAAAAGAAAGTCACCCTTGTCCCCTCCCTCTTTCTTTCACACCTCACTCAAAATTCATGGATGAGACCATCCAGTCTTACTTTTAAAGGGCCTCTCAAAGCCACACCCTCCTTTCCATCGCCACGACCCGAGTTGCAGCTGCTGTCGTCTCTTCTGTGGGCCACCTCCGTCACTTCCCAACGGGCTTCCCTGTGTCTGCGTGCTCGTGCTTCACTTCCTCTCCTCTCCGCAGCGTGAGTGAGCTTTCCTCAAAGCCCACTTGATTTTGTCCCATACCTCCTGTGCCGAAAACATTCCGATGTTACATTTGGAATGAAAGCACATGTTCTTAGCCTGGCCTGCAAGCCTAGGGAGACTGTCTCTCGTCTGTCATGTCGCAGCAACCGCCACACTGTGAACACTTCCATCATGCCTCCTACCTCTGGGCCTTTGCACGTGCTGCGCTCACGTACTCTCATCCCTCCAGTGCCAGCGCAAAGGAACGGTGCTCGTACGCTCCAGACAAGGTTGGAATGTAGGCTTAGCTTCACAGAGCCTGGCCTGTTCCCTCACTGCTGAGGATGCATTGCATCATGTCATTGTCTGATGCTGCTCCTCTCCCCCACCTGACTGTGGGCCATGTGAGAGTGAGGCCGGTGTGTGCTCACTGTCCTCCCCCAGACGCTCCGGGCAGTGCTTGCACACAGTAGGCGTGGCTCACTGTCCTCCCCCAGGAGCTCCGTGCAGTGCTTGCACACAGTAGGCGTGGCTCACTGTCCTCCCCCAGACGCTCCGGGCAGTGCTTGCACACAGTAGGCGTGGCTCACTGTCCTCCCCCAGGAGCTCCGGGCAGTGCTTGCACACAGTAGGCGTGGCTCACTGTCCTCCCCCAGGAGCTCTGGGCAGTGCTTGCACACAGTAGGCGTGGCTCACTGTCCTCCCCCAGGAGCTCTGGGCAGTGCTTGCACACAGTAGGCGTGGCTCACTGTCCTCCCCCAGGAGCTCCGGGCAGTGCTTGCACACAGTAGGCGTGGCTTTCCATCTTCTCCCAGACAGTGCAGTGCTTGCACTCTGTCGATGCTCAGTCATTTTTTAAAATGAATACTCCTTTATCTTTTTGCCACCGTTTATTCTACCAGCTATCTATAGTTGGAAGTGGAGAGAGTTTCCAAGGTTTCACTTTCATAGACAATATCACAGTGAGTATCCTTAGGAATAATCATGGCCCACATTTTTAATACTTTGGCCAAATATTATCAGTGAAGTTGCTGTGTCAGTTACGACTTTTGACACAAACTGTCAACCTCTCCGCTGATAAAGAGGATATCAATTAAGATTTCCAACTGTAATATTTAAATAAGCTCCTTTTTATTCACCCTCGCCACTATCTTAACTTCTTCCCAGTCAGATAAGCAATGAAAATGATGTGCTCTGAGTATGCACCCTAAGTGCCGTGCAGCGGTCTGAGATTTCCTTCTTACTCCAGGAGGCAGTTTGATATCGTATAGATTAAATAGACATAAAACTTCTGATTGGTTTCAGAAATAGGATCTATCTCACCAGGTTGTTAAATGGGTTAAATAAATTATTGCATATAAGATACTTTGAACTGTGCCTAGTGCATAGTAAGCACTCAGTAAATACTAGCCTTCACTATTTTCAGACACATTAAAATATCACACTCCCCAAGGCATTAGTGAAAAAAAAATCTTCCACTGCAACCTAATAAAATATACAGTGTACTTATAATTAGCGATTATTAAGTGGAACAAAGGGCTACTATTGAAAAGAGTTCATATTTTCAGAGCTGCACGTCAGAGATGCTTTGCTGCGCAGGGAAAGGCAGAATGAGGTGATCGGAAGAGAACAGCACAAACAGAAGGTGCTGCGTGAACAGCTCGCCATAAAGTCAGAGCTGGCCCCTCCTGGTTTACTTGCAGTTTATCTTATTACATCCTGAAAAGCAACAGCGACCTTCTCAGCACCGTTCACAGGCTGGTTGTCCTGTTACAGGAGATGTCCGCAATGACATTTACATCACCCTGATTCATGGGGAGTTTGACAAAGGGAAAAAGAAGACGCCCAAGAACGTGGAGGTGACCATGTCTGTGTGCGACGAGGAGGGCAACACAGTGGAGGTACGCGCCGTGGCCCCGGGTGGCGTTGCCGCCACGCTGCCTCACAACGCCAGGGCTCCCGCCTGAGGGCGACTGCTCTCCTCGCCAGGGTGTATCCGGTTTTTCATAAGGAAAGCCATGAAACCTGTTAAATTTGTGGTTAGCCATGACCAGTTTTAGTAAGGAACCCATTTAGACTCTTATTTTTATATGTCTCCTGGGCTGAGAAATAGATCAAGCTGCTCCTGATTTCACGTGCACGCTCCCAATACAGAGGTTCTTTGTCATTTTCCAACTATTCAGCCACTTCTAAGCTTGTCCCTTTCCTCGGGGGTTGAGGGAGGTGGCGTGTGCCCAGAGGGCACTGGAAGGCCCGTCTGTCTCCTGCACCGGGCAAGCAGAGCCAAGGTGGGCGTGCCCAGCAGAGCACTGTCTGACTGGCAGCCTCTTGGTCCGAGGTCAGCTAATCAGGATGCCACAGCCCGGAGAGAGTAAGTGATTTTCTCAGGAATCAGGTTAGTGGGGGAGTGGGAAATGGATCCAGGAACCCTGACTCTCCGTCCGGAGCCCTGCAGCCGTCCATGCGGCGGATTCTGACAACAGAGGGAAGGATGTAGACAGGAGGCTTGCCCTGTCTCAGTGACGTCTGGCTCCTCACGGAGGAGCCCTGGTCACCTGCTTTGGAATCCAAGAATCCAGCTGTCGGCGCACTCAGCTCACCGTGTGCCGCGCTGTGTAGGCACTTGAGGGAACCACAGGGCACACGACCCTGTCACCTTCCCTTGGGTATATAATCTTCGAGGGAAACTGTTGACTAGTTGAGCAGCATTCTGCGTCATGGGACAAGCAGAATTCTGTGGGCCATGCCGTGGGAGCGACCCTTTTGTGGTATTGGTAGGCAAGTACACATCTTCTACAAGTCGACCACTCCACAGCTTTGCTAACTAGCTTGGAGGTGCCCCCATGGAAGCTGGTTTTACTAAGTGGCTCATTAGTAGGAAAAGGCACAGCATAAGTTTTGGGGAGCATGCTGTCCCTATACAGCAGGTCCTTAATGTATGGACAGGGCCTTGCAAAGCCGTGGGAGCGACCTGAGTCTGTGCCGCGCTCCTGACTGCCCTCACTAGGCCACTGTTCCCTGGAAGAGGAAATGAGAGGGAAGAAAGAGGACTGTGTGTCTGGTGAGGGAAGAGGGAATAAAAGTTGCAGCAAAGAGGAGTGTTAGGATGGTGCAGGGTCCCTTAGCGATCACCACACTGAGACCCTCAGAGGAAGTTGTAGAAGCTCATTCTTACTCTGCTCTTCGTGTCCCGGGTGTGATCAGTGTATGGCCGCCCGCGACAGGCCTGGGCTGGCCGTGTGGAGGGCAGAGGGCGCATGCGTGGTGTGGGGGGGTACCTTCATTGTTGTAGATAATATTATCCTCTCCTCATTTTTTCTCTCCATCCACAGAAAGCAATTCATCCTGGAGCGGGATACGAAGGCATTTCAGAGTACAAGTCAGTCGTCTATTACCAAGTCAAACAGCCCTGTTGGTATGAGACCGTCAAGGTGAGACTGTATCTCTGGCATATGTTCACCTCGCGTAGGTTCCTTTCTTTTTACCTGCAAGTCGTTCTCACTTTATCCCGAAGTTTTAGGTAGGTCGCCTGTGGTGTACAATACGAAAACTGACTGTTACAGTTCTGCAGAAGAGTATTTATCTTAAAGAAACTCAGATTCCGTCAATGGCATTCTCATTCATTAATGTGTCGAAATTTGAGCAGAGAGACTGGTTGCAATGACGTAATCGGCAGCCACGATGGTCCAAAGCCAAATGGAAATGTTCACACTCTGCAAGTAGTTGCCTAACATTTTTTTCTTCTTGGCCTCTGACCAAGTTTTCTGGGATTCTTTTCAGTTTGACTATGTATGTTACACACTGCAAAGTGCTTTTCAGAGCAGCCACCTCAGGGGAGCCTCTCAGTAGCCCTGCAACTAAACTGTTCAGGGCTGTGATGCGCTCTCTGCTCAGGTGCCTGGGACTCCAAGGACTCAGTGATTCCCAAGACCGTGCAGTGGCCCCGTGTCGGAGCCCGAGTCAGAGCCGCCTCTGAGTCCCAGGCTCCGCCAGCAGGACTCAGAGCTCCCCGAGGACTCAGGGCCTTCCGAGCTCCGTGGGAAGACTCGGGAAAGACACGCTCGTGTTAATATCTCAATACAGAAGTAACTGTTGTCCACAATTTTAGGTGCTTCAGATGTTTTGAATTGTGCTGTTTATACAAATTCATACTGGGCTTTTAAAAACTACTTACCTCGACGCATTAAAGGTATTCAGAAGCGTGTTTTTAGATACTTGTGGAGTATTCCATCATACAGTTGTGCGAGGATTTGCTTCCCTGTGTGTCACAAATTCTGTCCTCTTTTCATTGCCCTGGACTTCAGTTTTTGCTGTCCACCTTTGTTATGTAGGCAGCGAAAGTCTCCCGCGTCCACAGTATATGTCTTTTCCTTCTATTAGGACCCAAATTAATACCATATAAATACACACCTCGCAGTCTGAAAGGTCCTGTATAAACCTCAAAGGGCTGATCTTTTCCCTCTGAAGTATCTCCTCCTTTATATTTGAGAAAACACTAGAAACTCGTAATATCTCCAGTCTCAGACTCTGTGTAAACAGCAAAGATGATCTCCTAAGAGTCTTGCAGCTCGAAAATAGCTCCGTGTCCTTTGAACAAAACCTTCCACCAAATCGCACTTCAGTGCTTTTTGGAATTAGTGCTGTGACCGTACCCTAACATTGAGCCTCATTCTGTAAAATGAGCTATGAGCACAAAGGAACGGATACACGTGAACGAAGAACATCTTGTTATCATGCAGGTGTCCATTGCCATAGAAGAGGTTGCTCACTGCCACGTGAGGTTCACCTTCCGGCACCGATCGTCTCAGGAATGTGAGTATGAAGCAGCGCCGCCACCTCCATAAACGCGTGCTTCCTCTCGCTGGGCGGCGCTTCCATGGGTCCACAGAGCTTGAAGGCTGGAGAGCTGGCACCGTATTTCAGAACGCATGGGTTGGTGCTAAGGAAATCGGAAATTAAATGAATTCTCTGGGGCTTTCAAGATGTGTTGTTATTCTGTATTAGAATTTCCCCAAAATGTGTTCTGTGAATACTAAATTTTTGTGAGATGCTAACAGATGCTCCATGACAAAAACGCTTCTGCCGTCGCCCAGGAACAGGAAGTGCCCTGTGTCTCACCTCCCTCTCAGACGTTCACGCTGTGCGCTGCCGTGTTGCTGAAAAGTGCGCAGCAAGGAAACAGTTTCATATGAAACTGTGTAATCTCTTGTTTTCCCAAATTACTGTTTTTCTCATTTCAAGTCCCAGATTACAGATAATGAAGTGGTTGCCCTAACGTGTGACCGGAAGAAAAAAATGAATTGTTTTCAGATTGATCACAAAACTTCTGCAAGTGTCTTGTAACTCAGCACTGCACGAAAATGCAATTCTTTATTTCAAACTGAATATAGTAGACCCATCTACATACCAGACTGCAGGCCCGGCCCTGGGTCTGTCACCGCTGATGGGACGGGGCCACCGCTCTGAAGGGCCTCGGTGGTCCCCCGAGGAAGACGAGCAGGAGCGCGCGGGGTGGAGTGCAGCACGGCGGCCTGGGCCCCAGCAGCCGTCAGAGCTACGGGGCGCCCAGCGTGCAGCGCCTCGGCCCACTGGGGACTCTGGGGTTTGTGCGTAAGGCTTCTTAAATCTTAGCTGAGACTCGAGGGAGCCCGCCCAAGGGGGACAGTGTCTGGAAACCGGAGTGAGCTCAGCCGGGCTGCAGAGGGAGCGGCGGGAGCAATGGTAATCTTAGGCTGAACACCGTGAAGTGGCCACTTGGTCAATATCAAATAGTCAAACACCAGCATAATAGCAATTATATCAATATATATTGATATAACAACATATACCAATAGCATTTAGAGTGTGCCAGACACTCCATGAAGCTCTGTTTACACCATCACTGGTTTATGTCCACCACAACCTGATAAAGCACATACTGCTCTATCTACGTTTATAATAAAGGAGCCGAGCACAGAGAGGTTAAGTCCGTGGCCACAGTCACACTGCTAGTAAGTGACAGAGCCTGGGTTGGCACCTCTGCGGTCTGGGTCCAGGTGGACTGGAGCCAGGTCGTGGCAGATGAAGGTCCTTTTGAACCATGTTCTGGAGGAGACATTCGAGGCTGTTTTCTCGGGGGTGGGGGTGGGCGTGGTTTGGCATGTGATTTAACAGCCTTGTTCATAATGTCCTCATACTGACCACCGCCCAGGTGGTCATCAGAGTGGGAATGGATAAAGAAGAAGGTCACTGCTTAGCCATTGCGGGGACACGTGAGTCACAGCAAACCTTAGAGCTGTGTCTGTGGTGAGAACAGGCCGCCAGTTCCCCTGGCCTTCGGCGTCTGAGTAGGGGGTGCAGTGAGCTCAGACCTGAAGAGCAGAAATTAGGAGGGGCCTGCCCGCCCCAAGTGCCACAGAGCACACACCCCGCCTCTCCTGGCACTTGGGCTAATACCTAGGAAGGAGGAGGAGAGCAGAAACCTCGTGGAAGTGCTTGGGAGCAGGGTTGTTGACCTGATTAGGTTTGACTTTGGGATCTCTCTCTGGCTGTAGAGCAGAGGAAGCGATGGCTGGAAAGGACTAGAGACAGAGAGACTGGAGAGGGTGGTCCTGTAGAAACAGAGGGAGAAGTGAGGGCGGCCTGCACTTGGGTGGGAGCAGAAGGGAGGGAGGGAGAAGGCACAGGTACCAGGGCATTCAGTGCACGGAGTTGGAATTGACCTGGGGCGGGGTTGGTGTGGACAGGCACATCTCTGATACTGGTAACGGAGTGGGTTGCTGGTCTCACTCACTTGTAAACGTAGAGAGAGGAGCACGCCTGGAGGTACCAGCAGATTTCGGGTTGGGAAACATTTCCTTTAGGGAGCCTGTGGCACACACGGCAGGGATGGATTATTGTAACTCGCTGACCCCTGCTGGTTTCAGCACGGCTGAGTATCACACCTCGGAGCCAAAGGCGAGGTCAGGCGCCGGCGCTGGCGCTCTCGGATAGCTCTCCTGCACTGCTCAGACGCGTTCTTTCTGTCTTTTCAGCCAGAGATAAGTCGGAGCGAGCCTTTGGGGTGGCCTTTGTGAGGCTGATGAACCCGGACGGCACCACCCTGAAGGACGGGAGGCACGACCTGGTCATTTATAAGGTGGTGTGAGCAGGGGGTGCCTGGGGGGTGCGGCGGAAATATGTGCTCTTTCTGAAATGGGTTCTAGAGGTTCCTTTCAGATTCACATGTATAAATGTCCAAAACTCCTCTAGAGCCACGGCGTTTGCCCTGCCCCTTTAAAGAAACTCGGAGGCCTGCGTCCCGCCAGCCGCAGGGCAGGGCAGGGCGTCCCATTCCTTTCTGCCGAGAATGGGTTACATTTCCGAAGGCTGAGTCCCCTGGGTGCCGTGAGTCCCGGGCCTTTCTGCAGAGAGTGTTCTCCTTCCCCTGCAGATGGCGCTCTGGGGAAGGGACCGGTCGGGGCTGCCCCCTGGCCTCCGCGTCCCCTGGGTGGAGCGCCGCCAGCTGCACTGTTGGGCTGGGGCCAAGTGTGCTGCGTGTGGCGGGATGTGGTTTCGTTACCAGCGTGAGCCAGGCACCGGTTCCCTGCCATTGGGCAGTTTCCTTCTCTGACAGTTTTGTCCTCTAACTGTTCCAGAGCTATCGCACCTGCTGAGATTTTTAAGTAGAAGGTAGATGCCAGAAGATCTCATTTACCCAACGGTATCACAGACTTGGCAGCTCTTTGGAGATGTATCTCTCTGATCGACTCTTTCCTTACGAGCTATTATTAGTGCATAAATAGTTTTGGAAGGCATGGCAAACCATTTCTTCCCAACGAAGCCAGTCGATCCAACAACATATAATTGTGACCACTTAGAGGTTTAAGGAGCTCCAACCTTATTCTTTAATATGTCTTTATTTATAGCAGAGCCCTAGATTATTCCTGGTCTAGCTTATAACTTGCTCTATTTTCATTCAATGTTGAAATTGTTTCTGGGCCCTGGCTCTGGGAAGGCATCGCCGTGCCTCTGCGTGGGAAGGGATCTAGGCGTAACTTGATCAAGCCTCATCCCTTACTCTGGAAATGCCCGGTGTCCAGGAGAGATACTCTTTTCATTGGCACGTCAGAGGTTTTGCCCATCGTTTGGCATTGCTGACACGCTGCCTTTTCAGGGAGAGAACAAGAAAATGGAAGATGCCAAGTACTACCTGACCCTGCCTGGCACCAAGGTGGAGCTGGAAGAAAAGGAGCTCCAAGCATCCAGGACCCTGGCTGGCTTCGCCCCGGCCAAGGACAGCACCAGAGACAGCTTTCAGGTTGCCACGGTCATCTGCTCCACCAAGCTCACCCAGAACGGTAGGCGTGGCGACGGCAGGACACCAGACCGCACTTTCTGCTTGGTCCTCCCGGGAGGCTCTGTCAGACTCGGGCCGGGCCAGACGGGGCCGCAGCTCCTCTGCGGGGGTGCTGGGCGCACGGGATTCATGCGATGTCCCGGGACGACCAGGTGTCCTGACCAAACAGCAAGCTCCTTCTGAGGTTTTGTTGTCTATCTTTTAAACAGGGTAGGAAGCACTTTGGGTATGTTCTACATCGTCAAACCTATAAATGTATTTATTGGGACCCACTAAGATTTCTTCTCTGGATTTTATGGCAGTACTTAGCAAATGGAGCCTGAGCATATGGATGAGTCACGTTAGTCCTGGCTGCTACTGTCACAACCTTTGGGCTTCGCTGTGCAAGTCTGTTGACATGCATTGCAAAGTGGCACTTATTGTGCTACAGATTTTTTATAAATTATTTAATTGTTTGCCATTTTGCAGCTTTTGGACTGCAATGAACCCATCCTGTGGAAAAAATAATGGCTTAAAATGTCCTATTCTGGACAAAGGAAATTAAGAATTTAACTTATATAAGATTAGAAAGTCTTATGTTTCTTTCCTTCAAGGCAGCAAAGACCTCTGATAATGTGTCCTGTGTAACATACCCGCCGAGGGATATGGGTGACTGGGAGGACACTGGCAGAGAAGGGCAGCCCGTGTCCTGCGCAGACAGGCCCCACCAGGGGCAGGGGGTTCCGCCCACCCCCCCAGAGAGCTGCCTCCTTCCTGTTTTTTCCCAAGCAGTCAGGGATTTGTTTCCCTATAACCAGCTGAATAGTTAAAATGGGCTTCATTTTGCTCCTCCTTGAAATCTCTACTATCTTTTATAACTTCTCTAGTATATATCATGGCATCTGATAGCCAATAGTCACTTCTACTCATTTAATTTACATAACGCATAGCATCCTACCGAACATGGTGAGCCAGGAATTAGCTGCTCAAGGGGTTCGCCTTAGAGCTCCAGTCGCCCGGTGCTGCGCAGTGGGCGAGCTGCCTTTGGCCTCTGAGAAGCTTGGGAGGGGCTCCTGGCAAGGGCGCCTCCTTAGGGCAGCGCTAGGACGAGACAGTTGAGATGGGAGGCGCAGCCAAGGATCAGAGGTTGGTTATCTGTAGAAGGGTCGATACTGTTTTGATGAATCATAGTTGGCTAGAGAACATGGATAGTACTTCAACTTGGCTGAGTGTCCAGACTTAAAAGAGTGAAGTTAAAGCTGATACCTGTTGGAAAGTAAAAGCACACGCACCAAAACGTAAGCCAGAAAAATGGCAAATCTTTGGAGACGTTATAAAGAACTGTGGTTGCAAAGGACTCTGGGGGAGAGGGGGAGGGGTGAATGGGCAGAGCACAGGGGATTTTAAAGCAGCGTCACTGTGCTGTGTGGTGCTGTAACAGGCACAGGTCATCATACGTTGGTCAAAACGCACGGAATGTACCACCCGAAGCAAACCCTGACGTACACCGTGGACTTCAGTTAGTAAACTGTGTTAATTGTGATAAATGTACCACAGGATGTACGATGTTACCAGGAAACCGGGGAGCAGTGAAGGGATTTGTGGGAATTCTCTGTACTTTCTGCCTCATTTTTCTGTGAAAAACTGCTCCAAGAAAAAAAAATCTATTAAGATAAAAGAAAACCAAAAATTTAAACCAGAAGGCTTTCTGAGTTTCACAGACAACACGACAAACTTGTATCAGTGAATTCTCCTTGCTAGGTAAAATGTAGACATAATAAATTGCGAATATGAGGTGAAATGTTACACTATTTATGGAAGATGATTTAGAAGGTGTATCAAAGATTTAAAATGTGTTCAGACCCTTCGACCTCGTAATTTGACCCCTAGAAATTGAGCCCAAGTGAGCAATGAGAGGTGCGCGCAACGATTAATGTACAAAGCTGTTTCCCTATGATTCATGATGGAAGACAGTGGAAATGTCTAAATGTCCAACACTCAGGATCAGTTTGAATTACGTAGTAGAATTAACTGCCAAGCTATATGCTCCTGCCAAATATATTTTAAAACATATTTAAAGACATGAAAAAATTTTAATATCACGTAGAGTAAAATCTCAGTGTTGTTTAAGTAAGTGCATAAGGACAACTTGGAGCCAGTTGCCTGGGTTCAAATCCCAGCTCTGCCACTTAGCAGCTGTGTCACCTTAGGCAAGTCGTTTGACCCCTCTGTGACTTAGTTTCCTCACCTTTAAAATGGGAGTGATCATAATATGTGTCTCAAAGAGTGAAGTAAATTAAAATAAGTAAAAGCCAAGCAGCAGTGTCTAGTGCCTCATAAACACCATGAATATTAGCTGTTGTTATCGCTGTCATCATCACTGTCATATGTACACAGAAAGAGACAAAGCGGAACAACTGCAAAAGTTTGGACGGTTCTTATTTTCTTTGTTTTTGGTATTTTCCAAATGTTTCTCTATGAAACGTCAAACTGTTACTTTTAAGTCTGGCCGTAGACACTTTGAAGCATCCGTGTGCTTTTGGGACCGTGAAGGGATGTCCGAGAGGGACAGCACTTGTCAGACACCTCGCTGACTGTCCTTCCCAGAGACTAGAGTTCAAAGAAAAGAAGTAATGAACACCTGAAGGTTAACTCCTAAGGCCAAGCAAAAGGCGTTTCCGTTGGAGATGCCTGTGCTGTTATGGGCGTCTCAGCGCCAGGCCAGCGTTCAGGGCGCCCAGCGCCGGGCAGCAGCACGTGGACACCGGGCCCGCTGGGGGCCCTTGGCCCAGCTTCTCATGCCCGGGAACTGCGCTGCCTGCCTGTGGCAGCCCCTGGTTTCGCATAGCTCATGACGTTTAATTAGCATTGGATGAGGTTACGACTTCAGTTCCTCCGTCACTCAGGCCGTTCCAGGGCCGCAGTAGGTTCGGGCGGCTGGCGGCCTCAGTGTTGGGCAGCACAGGTGTGCCCCGTTCCGCCACCCGCAGGGGTTCCCCTGGGGGCCTGTCCTCTGTCGTCATCTCACTCCTGGTGTTTAGATCTAAGAACAGCTCATCCATCATACCAAAAAGAAGTCGTAAATAATATCCTGTCCCAAAGAGGGTTTAAGGAGGCAAACTGATCTAGACCAGACAGACGTGATCTCCCTTGGCATGGCTGGGGGTAGGAAGTAGGGCAGATACAGGAAAGACAGGGAGACCCACGGGCCGCCGCGAGCATCCGAGAAAGCACAGCACTCGGGTTGTTCTTGGAGCTGCTTTCCTCTAGCTTGATGTAAAAGATAAAGAACCAAGGTCATTTATTTTGAGAAAGAAGAAGCTGGAGAGTGTTAGCACAGCATCCATCTCTGCGGGCCTTTCCTGACCAATAGGGCAGCTGTCCCTCCCGTGGAGACCGTGACCAGACGCATTTTTCCGTAGCCTAGGAGGCCTGTTCAGACTAAGGAGGTTAAAAGCCACCGGCCCTTGTTAGAGACAGAACTTGTAGACTCCTCATTAATTTTTTCAAAACAAGAACAGACCGGTTTCTAGCGGCTCATTTGTTGCTGGGCCCGGACAGAGGGTGAGGATAGATTAGTTGCTGCAGGAAAGGGAGAAGGGAGGTCAGGGGCCTGCGGGGGGACCCCGTGCCGGGCTGTTCCCAGTCAGCCAGGCCCTAGCATGGGCACGGCCCCGGTATTGCCATTACTGAGCTCAGTTTATGGATCGGAAATTTGAGTTAAAGTGCTAAAATAGTTTGCCTAAGGTCATAAGTGGTGGTCAGGGGCCTGCAAATGGACATAAGACTTCAAAGCGTGTGGTTTTTCTCTCTGTCTGCTTTTTTTTTATTAAATGTTACAGTTTCTAATCCTCTCCCAAAGGTATTTCCTGTCCTAGGTTTGGGGACTGTTGTGTAGAGCATCCTGAATTTTCACATACTTCTCCTGGGGATGGAAACTGGGACAACTTGGGGTGACTTGTGAAAATACCTGGTACGGTGTAAGACGGTCATCCCTGCTGATGTGGAAGAATCCCACTCTCGTTTTGTGTCTCAGAGGAGCTACTGCGCCTCGAGACCAGAAGATGTAGAGAATGCTCAGAGCAGAGTTGTTTGTGATAGCAAAACCCTGGAAACCACCCAGATGTTCACCGGAGTAGAATGCATAAGCAGTCACGGTACATTTATCCAAGGCGATGGATGAGCTAGAGCAGCGTGCATCAGCCCGGTGGGCCACAGAAGTGCAGCAGCCCAGGCCTGTCTCCGCAGTGCTGTGCCACCGCTGTTCCGGCCCCAAGACCTGGGATCTGGCAGATGACAGATGCGTTCCTACTAGGAGCAGTGATGGGGCATGCGAATGTCTTAGGGAATAAACGTCTGGGCCTGTCGATGGGTGCTTTGCAGATGCTTAAAGCTCCTGGGTGACTGTAGAGTCTGCATCCTTCTTCTCAGGCAGCAGTGAGTGAAGTGCAGTAAGAAGGGGGTGGCGCCTTCGCTGCCCTGCTGCGGAAGTAGAGATGAGGGCCGGAGGTGGGCCATGCCGTGGGCGGCCCGGCGCGGTGCCTGTTACTAAGTGGTGAAGGAGTGAATGAACTGAAGAATCGTATTGAGCACATGACAGCTTCCCAGGGCTACTGGTTCTCTTTTCATCCATCCTTTCATCCATGGACTCAGGCCTTCACCACACATGTACTGAGCGCCTACTAGATACCTAGCAGCATGGGAGGGTTATAAGAATGAAAGCAATATGGTTCCTGCCTGAAGTGGCTCAAATCTATGGGAAGAGCGCAAGAGACACCAAGTGTGTCTTTATTATTTGTTATTTTCTGGACATATATGTGTATGTATGCCCCGGAAGGAGTGCCCACAGCAGAGAATGATTGGGAAGTTTTCCTCAGAGGGAATAAAGGTTGAGATGGGCCTTGAAATTTAAGTAGGAGCTCATAGATCCTTAGTAGTTAGGTGCATTTCAGGCAAAGAGAAGAATACATGCAAAACCAGGGAGCGGTTTCAGAGCCTGCTGTCGCGTGGGGGCCTGGCTGCTGGGGATAAAAAGAGGACGGTGGCCAGTGGGGCTGGCAGGAGGGCCGCGGGGGTCCTCCCTCCCTTCCGTGAGTGGCTTGGGGACTTCATTCTGCTCACAATGGGAGTCTGCCGGCACTGGGTCTTGGAGACTTGTGAGGGACCAGACAACGTGCATGCCAATAAAACAAATACCCCTGTGACACAAACGGACTATTCTAATGAACAGTATGTGTTTTCCACTACTTATATATATATGTGCGTGTGTATCTATCCATTAATTAAAAACTATGTATTGCTGCTTTTACTAGATACATCTCTGTTAATAGTAGTAGTTACTTGATACACTGAACAAAACATTAAAGTAGTAACAGCCTAGGCACCTGCTGTATTTCCTTGAGACACTTTAGTAGCTCAGCATTCATTAAAGCTGTAAGTGGCTTGAAAATTTGAAATTCTGCATTTTAAATGCAGAGTCATCTCAAGACTTTTGCCCCAGACTTACCCGAAGGGCCGTGAATCTGTTCAGCCTCTTAGCGGCTTGCCCGAGCTGCTTGTCCGTCCCTGCGGGTGCCGGGGAGCAGGCTGTCCAGGCAGCAGCGGCACAGCTGGTTGGAATCAGATCAGTCTATAATTAAGTTCCTTCCCTGGCAGCTGTGTGACTGAAGGCAGGGACTTCAGTTTCACAAAGCCTCAGTTTCCTCATCTCAAAAAAGGAAAAAAATCAGATCTGGTCTACAGTGTGGATGTGATGTTTAAATGAATTAATGCATGTATCTAAGTTCCCTTTTCACTCAGTCCACCGAGACACAGGTATTGACAGGGAGGAGCTAAGCAGGTGCAGCGGATTGTAGGCAGGAAGGCATGAGCTGGGCATCAGCAGGTGTCTGCTGTGTGGCTGGGTGGCATTATTGCAAAATGTGAGTTGTATTCAGGTATTGTTTTACGTTCCTGACCATAAGTGGTTAATTTCTTTTGTCTTTGAAAAATGAAAGAAGACCACAAGGTTTTCCTCTGACTTAGATAGGATGCAGTAAAGAATACGTAAGGTATCGGCCACCATTAAGAGCCGTTGTCTTTCCTAGAGAGCTCTGTAGCTCTACCCAGAAATGGTCCGCGTTGCTCTTCCTCATCGGCGCCTAATGTTTATGATTTGTGTTCATTCCTTGTAGTTGACCTGTTAGGCTTGTTAAATTGGCGTTCGAACTCCCAGAACATTCAGCACAACTTAATGAAGTTAAAGGACGTGGAAGGAGCAGAGATTGTTAAGGTATGTTTATATAGTCATACTTAGAAATATACCCACTGTATCATGACTTCAACATTGTAAATGAAACCTACCCCATTGTAAATGTGAAACTTGGTAGCTACATTGAGAAGCAAGTGTGTGATTTTTAAGAAAACGCTATTTTTAAACCTATGCCGTTGAAACTTCATTATCCTCAAATTTCTGCAGTATGTAGCTGGACCAAAAGCACAAATAACCTTTCTATTTTTCTTTCCTCAGTTTTTGCAAGATACACTAGATGCACTTTTTAACATAATGATGGAAATGTCAGACAATGAAACATACGACTTTCTTGTGTTTGATGCACTGGTAAGCAATTAAACATATTAACTAGTGCTTATTCTCTCACCTGTTAGTTATTCATCTATTATAAATAATTGTGATAAATAGACTCCTACATAAATATTTGTATAACATCTGTACTATTTCTTTTTTTAAAATTTTATTTAAAAAAATTTTTTATTAGTTTATTTTTAGAGAGAACAGAAGGGAGGGAGAAGGAGAGGGAGGGAAACATCAGTATGTGGTTGCCTCTCACATGGCCCTACTGGAGACCTGGCCCGCAACCTAACTGGGAATCGAACACGCAACCCTTTGGTTCGCAGGCCGGCACTCAATCCACTGAGCCACACCAGCCAGGGCTTGACTATTTCTTGAGGCTAAATTTCTGAAAGTAAAATCAGAAGCATTTGACTTACATTCAAATACTTTCTTTTTTCTATTTCCTGTTAGATCTCAGTTTTGACGTGCTTTCTCTTTCTCATGGGGGAAAACAAGGTTATATGACATTAGAAATCAGGAATCACTTTAACTCACGTGAAAGCTGTCTGGTCAAGAACCAGGAGAAGCCATTAACCAAGACGCTTGTGGCTCGTTGTGTGTGTGTCCATGCAAGGGAGACTGATTTTACAAGTCCAAGATGAGTCTTCACCTCATATACGTACGAAACGCAGCCCTGCAGACAATTAAATTTCTCATGCAAAGTGATTAGCACACCGTCTGCTCCAAGAACTGATATCTCAACTGGGGGAGGTGACCTGGAGGCGGTGGAGGGGAGACGCTGACACATCCGAGCCAAGTTGTGTTTTTCTCATTGTCGGGGCTTCGGTTCAGTGCAGATTTACCTGACCGTCACAGCAAAGGAGGAAGGCACATCGAAGCTTTAGGTCATCAGCAGCTTGGAGAAACTGGCCCATTGGGGCAGCAGCCAGGGCTTGGAAGGCAGGGGTGTCGGATGAAGACAGGCAGTGCCTCCGGCTCAGGTCACGCCCGGTCGGGTTTCCGGGAGGGAGAAACCGTGGCTCTGAGCTCTGTGCCATGAGGCCTGGAGACACCTTCCAGCGGGACAGGCAGGGCATACTTGGGGGTCTCAGGGGCTCCTTCTTTTGTGCTCCTCTGTCCTGAGTAGGTGCCAAGAGGCCACTTGTAGATTATGCTCCTGGTGGAGATACGAGGATGAGGGTCCTGGGGCACTCACACACCTGCATGAGGAGAAACTCATGGAATGTTTCACTGGCTGCACCCTGGGTCAGAGGGCATTCGCCCCACAGGAAGCCCTGCCCCCGGCCCCCCCATCACACTTTCTCCCCTGACTTGCATTGCTGTGTGCTGGACGGACTCTCTTGGAGATGGTCAGCGCCCTGGGGCCAGGGCGGCTTTTGGTGGCCACACAGCTTCCAGCTCAGCGCCGGACACTTAATAGTGGTTACTGTTCATGTTCAATAAAACGACACCCAAGGCTGGACTTCAGCTCTGGAAGAGTAAAGTGAGATTGTTACAGACCTGATAAAGAAGCAAACCAACGTTAAAGTCCAGTTTGCTGCCCTGACCAGTGTGGCTCAGTTGCTTGGAGAGTCATCTTGTAACTGAAAGGTTGTGGGTTCAAGACCCGGTCAGGGCACATACCTAGGTTGCAGGTTTGATCCCTGGTCTTGGGCACATATGGGAGGCAACCGGTTGAAGCGCCTCTCTTGCATCAATGTTTCTCTCTCCCTTCCTTCCTCTCTAAAACCAATGAAAAAAAATAATGTCCTTGGGTGAGGATTAATAAAATAAAATAAAAGTCCGGTTTGCTGACAGCATACCTAGGGCTCGTGCAGTGGTACTATTTATTTATCTCACCTTTGGCAGGTATTTATTATTTCAGTGATAGGAGACATCAAGTTCCAGCATTTCAACCCTGTCCTGGAAACCTACATTTACAAGCACTTCAGTGCCACTTTGGCATACGTGTAAGTATGAGGCAAGGGAGCAGCCCGTTCGTGGCCGGGTTGTGGAATTTGCACCTGTAGCTGGGACGGTTGTTGAGAAACGAGAGGGTCGTAGGCTGTGTAAACCTGGCTCCACTCCAAGGCAGAGACTTGTTCCGAGCTCCCTGGTGGAAAGAGGGGCCATGCGAGTGCTGTAGCCCTGGACGGGTGTGACGTCCAGGCTCTGCCCTCTGGGAAGTGACACAAGAGAAACGGCTGTGTGGCTTTCAGAAGGCAGACCATATAGGTGAGGAGGTGAAGCCACAGAGCAAGAGGAAGGACAGGCGGCCAGACCCAGGGCCTTAGGAACTAGGTGTCAGTGAGACTAGCATGAGGCCCCCGAGGGAGCCAGCAGTGGATTAAGCAAAACCACATCTGAGAGAATTGTTATTTACAGGACAGGAGAAGAGCTCGTTTTCCTTATTTTGCCTGAGAGGGAATGGTCTCTTCCGTTTCGTAGTGTAGCCGTCCTGGGTTTGGTGCATGCGCCCCGGCTAAGGGAGCAGCCCAGCTCACTCCACTCTCCACCCACCAGCACCCAGCCCTTCACGGGTGCTGTGTGGCCTGTCACGCCACCTCCTCGCACCCCAGCTACTGTGCAGAGCAGCGTGGTCAGTGGCGACAGCAATGGAGTAGAGATTGGCAAAGATCTTTCTGACAGTGGCTTTTGCCGGATTGTGGCATTTGCTTCTGGCTGATATTTAGATCGAATCATTCATCTCTTGTGCCTTTTCTGAATTGTACAGGAAAGTTCTTGGTTTTATTTGCATGAAAGCCCCTAAATGTAATAAAACAGAAAAAGTGACATAGCAGAGCTCTCCTGCAGCGTAGGCACCGACTAACGCAAGCATGGAATGCCCACTGGGCTGCGGGAAGCAGCGCGCGCTGTGCCAGAGGTCGGGGTTTGTAGCCCGCGGCCTGACCCCCCACACAGCAGCAGCCAGGGCGAGGTGATCCGGCTCCAGATCTCCATCGCACAGAGCCCGATGCAGCCCCTCACCGGGCAGTAATCTGGATTTGGTCTGTCGTACATGCACCTGCAGGCTTTTTCTTAGAAACTCATAGATCCCCGAAGGAGAGCCCCAAATATGAGTGCCCTGCCGGGTGTGAATTGGCAGGAGGTTAGGACAGTGCCTCGTCTGAAGGCGCTAGAAAGACAAAAAGAGCCATCCGTGGCCGCGGAGCAGGGCTCTCTGTTGGGAGCGCGGAGCCAGGGCTGCTGTTCTCCCCGCCACGCAACGATCCTCCGCCTGCCTTCACGTTTATGGGTGCCGCCGGGTTTGGGCCCATCCGAGGGAACAGACATCTTTTAAGGCTGCTACCTCAGGCAGTCAATCTCTCCTTTGCAAGGAAGATATCTCCCATCTAGAAATTTCTGGATAACATACCAGAGGCTAACATAGCTTCAGGATTTGAATTTTCAACCCTTTCATTTCTTCATCCTGTTTTAAAATCCTACAAAGGGAAAGAGACCACCCCCTTTTTCTAAGCAGAAGGGAAGCCCCAAATCTAGACTGTGGGGAGGAAGCTAAATTGCAAAGGAGTCAATTTCCCCTTTGGGGACGTGGTCGAGAAAAGATCGTGATTGCAGTGACCCTGTCCCCAGGATGCCAAGCCCCCACTCTGTGGACACCCCAAACCTCTGAGGACCACTCTGCCCCACTGACATTGTTTCCTTTCTCACCCTTTTAAGGAAACTCTCCAAGGTACTGAACTTTTATGTGGCTAATGCAGAGGACTCCAGCAAGACGAAGTTGCTGTTTCTTGCTTTGAAAGCCTTAAAGTACTTGTTTAGATTCATCGTCCAATCCAGAGTGCTCTACCTGAGGTAATGGTCGCTGCAATAAAATGTGACACCATCCCTTCTCTTCACAGCGCGTTCCCTAATCCCGGGCTCGTGGGTCACGCAGGGGCCAGCAGCGTTCAGAACCGCAGGGCCGGAGGCGGAGGGGGCTGGGCAACCCTTAGAGGAGGTCCTTGCGAAGTCCTTCGGGTCGGCGGAGCTTCCGGGACAGCAATGACAGAGGACTGAGGCGTGCAGTTGGCTGGAAGCCTTAGTGGTGACAGCAGCTCCAGGGACGCGCACCCGTGGCAGGATTTCCTGCTGCCGGGGGCCCCATGACGGTGCGGGGCGTGCGGACCTAGACTGCGAGCTGCTGCTGGTAATGGAGGGGAAATGGCAGTAGTTGTTTGGCGCGATGTTTCCCGAGGGGTGAGTTTCTTTGCTGACACCATGCTCAGCTGCCTGGCGAAACTAAGCCACAGAGAGAGGAGAATTCCCAGCCTGGAGTCCTGGAATTCCAGATGCATCAAAAAGAGACGAAATCAAGGAACACGAAGCCCTTTCCTGGGGGTGCTCACAGCTGAATGCCGTCCCTCACTTTTAGTAACAGCTGGGTTTCTAAACTGTTAAAATGTATCTATAAGGCAGAAGGGAAAGGTCTGTAGATTCAAGCATGTGTATGTTTAAAATTTGTATATTTAAAAACTACAAGCAAAGACTAACAAGCAATCTAAAGAAAAAAAGCTTGTGACATATAGTACAGATCAAAGAATAGCTTTACTGATAAAAGGCTTTTATAAATCAAGAAATGAATGACAGATATCTCTAAACAATAAAAAAGTAGATAATTTGCAAAAGGAAAATTCAAGTGGTTGATTAAATTTTAAAACATATACATTATCAAAACACAATACACATACCCTATCTTCACCTTTAAATGTTATAAAGTTTAAAATAGAAATATAAATTCTTAAGGACAGAAATTTGTCACTGAATAAAAAGCAAAAAAGAAAGGAAGGAAGGGAGAGAGAGAGAGAGAGAGAAAGAAAATGTCACATTTGTCCTGTGATACTTACTGATGCGGAAGAACCAGCTTTTCAGTTGACGGACACGTCTTGACGACAAGCAGAGGACTTTAATCACACAAGCACGCGTCAGCGAAGACCTGGGTGCCCTGGATCCGGGGAGGCCCCTTGCAGAGCAGGCCATCACCCGCATGGCCACTTCATGGATGGAATGGCATGGATTTGCAGACCGGGCTGGGCTCAGAACGCTTCTGGGTTAAGAAGCTTTTCTGCCCATGGTCTGGAATGTCAGCAGCTCAGATGATCAGGGCTTGAGTAGATAAGACGGAATGATTTGAGTGGCACAGAATGGGAGTTTTGGGGAAGCTCTGCCTGACCAGCTGATCGTGGTGGGCCAGCTGGAGAAATCTGTGGTAGGACATCGCATACAGCTGGCTCCTGGCGGTAATGTCAGGTGGCAGCATCCTCTCTGCCTCCTGGGCTCCTCTCGGAACCACCTCGGCACCCCCCGTGACGGCGCCTCATGCAGTTGGAAGCGGTGGCCCAGGAGGCTGGGCCTCCAGCGCCGTTTGGGCAGCAGATAGACCTGACCGTTTCTTTAAAAGACGGAAAGCCTGACTACTTTTCCCTTTTTCCTATTAAGATTTTATGGCCAAAGTGAAGATGGAGATGAATTTAATAACTCAATCCGCCAGTTATTCTTCTCTTTCAACACACTAATGGACAGGTCTCTGGAGGAAGCAGTCAAGATCAAGGTCAGAATGGCTTCATGGGTAACTTGATGCTTTTCGTGAGGATGCCCTGGGACAAAATAGAACTAGCTTTGGTGGGAGACAAACAAGATAAATCATCATTCATGGAGAGCTTGTGAATTTTAGTATGGCTTACAGAAAACGGGGAAAACCTGTGTTTTAAGTTTATTGCACCTTTATATTCACAGGTGTCATTTTGCCAAATACAAGCTACCCTTTTAGACATCCCTCAAATGACTTTGGTGGCCCCGTGAATTCAGCCCAGTGATTGTGATGTTATAAGCAACGGGTTTTTATACTTAGTTCTTCTATTTTTTCCGGAAGGCCAGAGTAACCATCATTTTCATCATTATCAATTTTTTTTAATATAAAATACATAACGTTTAAAGACTCAGGTTTAAACTTTATTATTCTTTGTTATGGCAGCGTTGTGAGGGAGAGGCCAAGGTTCTAATTACCTTCTTAGACAGAAGAAGGGGTCCCCATGGGTGATTTCTTGTTGATAGTGAAGCCAGAAAGCTGTGCCTCCTGACTTTTCAGGAAAAAGATCTTAGGGTGTCCAACCCTTTGGTGTCTCTGGGCCACACCAGAAGAAGAGTTGTCACGGGCCACACATTAAATACATTGTGACACGTAATCACAAAAATATCTCATAATTTTTAAAGTAATTTTACAATTTTGTGTTGGGCCGTGTTCTCAGCCATCCGGGGACGCGTGCGGCCCGCGGGCTACGGGTTGGACCGCCCTGTTAGGAGACTGCGTGTTACCTCGGCTTCCCTCTTCATTGCAAGAACATCTCTGCCCCATTCCCTGTTTAAGACCCAAACCTTTTCTTCCTGGGGTCAAGCAGTAAATTCTATATTTGTCCTGCTCGGCAACGGAACCTGCCTTTGGTGTTTTTCTTACAGGGTGCAGCTTTGAAGTACCTTCCGAGCATAATTAATGACGTCAAACTTGTGTTTGATCCTGTTGAGCTCAGGTAAATGGCAAAAAACATTTGTTTCTTGACTTTAACGGAAAAGCGGTCCCTCTGCTTGGCTGGGGCTTGGGCTGCGGCTGGGCTGTTATTCTTCAAACACGTATTAGCTGCACACCTTTCTGTGCTCAGTTCTGGGGAGAATACAAAAGAAGACACAACGCCTGCTTCTGAAGAGGTCTGCACTTTCTCTGGGGAACTAAAACACGCAGGCCTGAAATTAACTACATAATAACATGCTTCCAGGCCTATACCTAAGCACCCCAGGAATGCAGAGTCAGATGGCAACAGGCACTGGGAGGGGGTTAGCAAAGAGCAGTCTGCCGGGTGGGGCGCTGGGGCAGGTCTGGCCAGCACTTGGGGGCCTGGGCGCGCTCTGGCAGCTCGAGCCGGGTCGGCGCTGAGGCTGAGCCCTGTAGTGAGCCAGGAACACAGCCTGTCTCTCCTTCGCTTGCTAGAGACAGACTTCTTGGGTTACTGGGGAGAGATTTCCAGGTGACCATGCCACATCCTGATCCCGGGGCAGAGGAGAAAAGTGGGACGATACCTTGAACGTGGCACCATGAAAACGCTAACCACCGGGGCTTCTCTTCCAGTGTGCTCTTCTGCAAGTTCATTCAGAGCATTCCCGACAACCAGTTAGTTCGCCAGAAGCTTAACTGCATGTCCAAGATAGTAGAGAGCAATCTGTTTCGGCAATCGGGTGAGTCTCCACCAAAAACAGCTACCTGCTGAAAGTCTAGTCTTGTCTGGCTGCTTCAGCCAGCACTGGCCCTTTTTTAAATGTCCCGGATGCCCTCGCCAGGTGTTTGTTGGCACTTGAGGCCCTCCTGGGAAACCAGCTTTAAGGGGAAGGTGGCGTCAGTTCAGTATTTCCAATAGTTCCTAAAAGAGCAAAATGATGTCTTTCTTAATGAGAACAGTCAAGTGTTTCATTAATTAGAGAGTATTGTCCATGAAACAGGAACCCCAGGAAGTAACAGGCAAGTGTGAAAGATGGTCCTTTTAAATAGTTGCTTCTTCTTTGATGTGTTCTTAGTATATCCCTAAAGACTGGGGCGGGGGTCAGCAGGGTGCTGGGTGCCACCAGCCCGGGACAGCTGATTATGTACATCTGCTCTCAACTCCACGCTCAGTCGTGTCACATGAGTAGTACAAATTGACCACGGTGGAAATATTTACAGCACGGAAATTGGCAAGCACTATAAATCAAAGGATTGTTGTGGGGGTGGGGCAGCTATTACTAGTGTACTGGTGGGAGGCGGGTGGCGGTAGAGGAGAGAAAACACTGCTGCTGATAAAACACTTGATTTTGTACTTAGAGTCAAGCCCATAGCCATTGAGTCTAAATCCTTTTGCTCCCATCCCAAAGCTAATACGGGCAGGAGGTCTGACACCTGGTCTTTCCCCTAATAAGCCCAGGACTGGCAGCTGTGGCAACTTCTTTTGCATCTCCCACAAGGTCGAGATGCACCGAGGGTTATTTGCATTGCCTGGGGGTATGAGGACCAGCAGGACCCCCTCAGAGGGAGGAGAGTGGAGTATGTGGTGGCAAGAAAACCCCTCGGGCTTGCTCCTGGCTGGTCGTGTGACTCTGGACCAATGATGACCTTCTCCAAATCTGGCTTCAGTTTCTCTGGCAGGAAGGACTTGAACCAGAACAAATGAGAAGCCTCTTTGACTCTGATATTTTCTAACCCTATGAATGTGTGCGTAGAGATTCTAACTGTTGCAAGGACCCAGTTGGAAGTAGTATAAAAAGCTAGTGAGTGCTCTGAAGTGGAACGTGTAATATTACTAAACATCTTAATACCCATGATCATCTCTTCCTCTGAGGGTGCAGAGCGGGTAAACGAGCCAGGAGGGGCAGGTGTTGGTGCACTAGAGCGGCGTCCACCGATTGGGTCCATTTAGAGGAAGTGTTCTCACTCTTAGCAGTCATTTCTGTGAGTGTCCAGAATGCCTGGACTCATCATAGTGATGTTTTATAACCGTGAAGATCCCAAAAGGAAGAACAGGCTTTCCTCTGTGAGGTCCACGTGCCTGCGAAAACGGGGACAGGGCGTTGGGGGAAACACATTAAAGTTGACGAGTGAAGCTAGGCATTTATAAGAATTGTAGAGTAAATTTTCTCCATTAGGTAAAAAATTTCAAAATAAACTTTTTTACATTTTCCCTTTTTAAGTTTTTTTCAGTCACAGTTTACATTCACTACTATTTTGTGTCCGTTTCAGGCGGACAGCACGGTGGTCAGACAGTCAGTCGTGTACTTTACAAATGCACCGACGTTTCCCCTCTGTGCCCGCCTGGCCCCTCTCACACTTACTGTAGTCCCTGTGCTGTACTTGACATCCGGGCCCATCCTGTAACTGCCTTTCTGTACTTCTCAGTCCCTTCGCCTTTTTTACCCAGTTCCCTGTCTCCCTCCCTTCTGGCAACCATCCGTCTGTCCTATCTGTGAGTCTGTTTCTATCAAAACCCTATTTTTTTTTTAACTGTATAACTTGCTTGATTTATTAGTTTCATATAACTTCACTTTCAGTTATCAAGTTGGCATTGTTTTAAATGTTTACGTACTTTAAACATATTGCTGCAGTTACCTACGTTGAGTATAATTTTTTTAGTTTTAATAATTGGGTGGCAGGGCTGAAGTTCATGCCTAAACTCCGGTGGTCCGGGAGGGAGGCCCACCCTGCGTGCGTCAGAGCGGGGGGCTGCAGAACAGCCGAGGGTGTGGGGGTACCCCCAGCCAGCAAGCCACCTCCTCTCCCTTCTCAGAGTGCAGGGACGTGCTCCTGCCCCTGCTGATAGACCAGCTCAGCGGCCAGTTGGACGACAACTCCACCAAGCCAGACCACGAGGCAAGCTCGCAGCTGCTAAGTGACATCCTGGAAGTGCTGGACAGGAAAGACGTGGTGAGTTGGCATGTCGCCGATGCACACTGCACGCACACGCTCCTGGGGCTCAGGGCGGGAGTCAGCCCTGGCCTTCCTGGTCTTGGGGCTTGGCCCTGGCCACTGAGAATCTGGGTGCTGGGGCAGGCTGTGCCCTTTCCAGAGACGGTCAGACAGCCTCCCCTTCTAGGGCTGCTCTGCCGGCCTCGGTCCCGACAGGCCCGCCCGCTGCCGGGGCCGGGCCGGGCCCGGGCCCGGGCCCAGCCTCCGTCCCCTGCCTCTTCATCTCCGCCATCCCGGGGAGCCCCCTCAGAGCCAGAGCCCTGCTCAGACCTTTTCTTTTTACGCTGGAACCTGGGCCCTCTTTTACCTCTGATACTTGACAACCCCACTAGATATTCCTGAGCTGCTTAGAAGGTCTCACTTTAATGGTCTCTGACACTGATCCTGCAGAGCCCGGCGGAAAGTATTTTTTCTTATCTGGCCTCGTCAGTGTGAGCCAGACACCTGCACCCCAACACCCGCGGACCAAGTCTGCCTGGCGTCACCGTGTCCGAGGGCAGGGCCAGCACCGCCCTCAGGCCCAGGCGTGGCCTCCGCTCAGCAGGCGGGAGAGCGGTGCAGAATGTGTCCGTGGGGCACAGACCCTGCCCCTCCTGCCCCAGTGGCCACGTGGCACTGACGACCCCATCAGCCGGGGAAGCAGTGCTGGTTTTGCCCAGGCCCAGTCTCCTGCGATGTCTTCCCATTCAGTTCTCCTGAGGGACAGGAAGAACCCTGTCCCTCTTCCCATAGGCGACTCCTCAGTTCACCTTTCAAGGTCCGCCCAGCTCGTCCATAGCCCAGCTCACCTGCTGGTCATCACATGGGCGTGTCTGCGTTTCTGGTCGTTAAGGCCTCACAGAAGTGATGGGGGTGGGGGGACACCGCTGCTCCCTCCTGCCTGTCCCTTCCCCTCCCCAAGCCCGGGAGCCCACCTTACCAATTGTACTATTTAATTTTTCCTAATACAGGTCAGCCTCCCTTTTTCTTTCTTTTCTTTTTTTTTTACTTACATGTGTTGTTAGAAACCACATTATGAAATTGAATAAATTTTCCCCAAGGAATTTTGTGATTGGGGATTTGATTCTTAACCAAGGACTTCGAACAATTAAATAAATGTGATCCCTCCTGTCACAACGACAATATCATTTTTTAAAAGTAACTCTTATGACCCAGTAATTAAAATGCTGAAACGAAGCTCAGAGCGCGCTAACGCTGACAACAGTGTACTGGGCCCTCTGGTTCAGTCCGGGCTGCAATGTCCTATGAAGCATGTGTGTGTGCGAGGTGCTGAATTAACTTGGAGCATAGGAATCAGGTAGCCCCAGTACTACCGCCCCGCAGCTCCTTATCCTTAGACAGACCTTATGGGGCCTCGTTTTCCCTTTCAGTGTGATGTAGGCATTTTTCCAGATCACTTGGTGGGTTTCCTCTGCTCCTGAGCCTGTTCTTTAACAAATACGTAGTATCGCTGTCCACCTTCTCACTGCACAGAATGACTCTTCAGAAATGACTTGAATGTATTTACGTCCTGTGCTGGGAGATTGAATTGGCTTAAAAATTTATTTTTGTCTTCCTGATAATGTTCCCTCTAATGAGCAGAGGCATTCAAAATTATGGGCCTTGAAGCTCTGTGAAAGGAGCAAGTCCAGTAACTTTTTTGTTGGCAGTGATGGTATGTTGTTGTTTTTTTCCCCACCATAAGCGTTTTAAAATGTACGTTCTAAGTTCATGCATCTTCCTTTCCTGTAGTCTCTCATCTTCTCAGTTAATTCTAGGCTCTAATTAGTGACACTCATTCCTATGCCTTTTTTATGGCCCATGATCCCCCCTCTGTTCCCAAAGCTTTATCTCCTAATTGTTCTTATTCTTCAAAGTCCAGCTCTGCAATAAACACCTCCAAGAAGTTGCTCCTGGTGCAGTCCGCCCAAACTCCCCGCCTAGTTCCCTTCATCCCTCCTCCCTATGTTGCTTTTAAGGAGATTATCTGTTCATACCTACAGTTATGAACTCAGTGCACAGACACTTAGAGAACAGCCCCCAGGCTCCGGGCACTGACAGATCCAAGGATACAGCAGCGAACGAGAGAGGCGAGCGCCCGCCCTCGTGGAGGCGGCCTCCCTGTGGGAGCTGGTGTTTGCTCACTTATACCCCGTCCCCACTCTCCTGCAGCTGAGCGGATCTCTTGAGGGCTCCGAGGGTGCCCACTTCCTTTTCGTGCCGGCACCCGAGGCCCTTCCGTGACTTACTCACCTAGTCAGGTCTGCAGGCGGCACTGCTGGGTCGTGGGAGGTGAGAGTAGCATCCCCAGCAGAGGTGGGTCTTAGGAGTCACTTCCATTCAGAGACATGGGAAGCAAGTAAATAAGTAATAGAAAGCAAGGAAGGAGGGATTTAGTTATTTGAAGCATTGATTTAGTTATTTGAAATATTAACCAGGAGTTTGAAAATATCTGTTATGAAGCAAGAATGGAGAAAGGCTTTGAAAAGTCAAGTTGCATATTGATAAGTTGAAAGTGAATGAATGTAACACCAAATCACCAAAAAAAAAAAAAAGGGGGGGGGGGGGAGAAGGAAAAATAAAAAAATAAACACTATGAGGCATTGAAGCTCAACAAAGTTAAATAATTGTGAAAGTCATGCGTGACAGAGTCAAACCATTAAATCCCTGTTAGTCTGTTAGGCTGCCAGCCCAGACAGCCCAATTAAAACGGGGGCCAAGGACCCGAACAGACACTTCTCCAAAGAGGACACACAGAGGGCCCAGGGACCTACGAAAAGATGCTCAGCGTCACTAATGATCAGAGAAATGCAAATTAAAACCACAATGAGATAAAATCTCACACCTCTCAGAATGTCTGTCATCAATAAATCAGTCGGCCAGCACATGGAAAAAGGAGAACCTTGTGCACTGTTGGTGGGAATGCAGACCGGTGCAGCCGCTGTGGAGAGAAGTGTGGAGATACCTCAGAAAGTTAAAAATGGAACTGCCTTATGACCCAGCAATTCCGCTTCTGGACTATATCAGAAGAAACCCAAAATACTGATTCAAAAGAATATATGCACCCTTATGTTCATTGCAGGATTATTTACAACAGCCAAGATCTGGGACAGCCTAAGTGCCCATCAGTAGGTGAGTGGATAAAAGCGCTGTGGTGCATTTACACAGCGGAACACTACCCAGCGGTGAGAGAGAAGGAAATCTCACCTTTTGCAACAGCGTGGAGAACATGGAGAACATTATCTAAGTGAAATAAGCCAGCTGGTCAAGGACAAATATCACGTGATCTCACTTACATGTGGAATCTAATGAACAAATGAAGAAACAAACAAAATAGAAAAAGACTCACAGGAACAGAAAACAGACTGACAGCTGTCAGAGAGGAAGGGGGGCTGAGTGGAAAAGGTGAGGGAATTAAGCAAAAAAAAAAAACAAAACTCATAGACACAGACAACAGTATGATGATGACCAGTGGGAAGGGGGTCTCTGGGGAGGTAGGAGACAGTAAAGGGGGGGTCAGTGGTGATGGAAGGAGACTTGACCGTGGGTGGTGAACACATAATACAATATACAGGTGATGTACTATGGAATGGTACACATGAAACCTATAAAATTAACTAATATCAACCCAATGAATTAAAAAATGTTAAAAACCAGCCAGTCCTCGCCTAACATCATTGATAGGCTCTGGGACTCTAAGTAAAACCACATATAATGACAATTTACCAGGGGCTGGTTGAGAGAAACGAGAGAAGTTTCCATGACATCTCATCAACCTTGCAATGCAACCATGTTATCTGGGCACCCACTGTACAGTAGCCTGGGTGTCTTACATAACGTGGATCATTTGAGCCCTGGAGGCTGGAGGCCCGAGGCCAAGGGGCCAGGATGGCCGGGTCCCTAGTGAGGGCTCCTCCCTGAGTGCAGGGGCTCAGTCCGCGCGTGGCCTTCCCTCCGTGCCCGTGAATAGGGCGAGCGAACAGGCGAGCCCTCCAGGGGCACTTCTGACATGGGCGCTAACCCACCGGACCGGGGCCTTGCCCCCAAAGGCCCGTGTCCAGTCGCGTCACTGTAGGGGTCAGGGTTTCAACAGAAGAATTTTGAGTATAATCACTCAGTTCATAACCATCTCCTTGACTTGAATTTCTGGGTTTGTTTTGGGTTTGTTTTGTTTGTTTGTTTGTTGTTGTTGTTACACAGAAGGAGGCAGGAACTTTGTATTACTGCCTTTCACTTCCTGTGCATGTGCCTATTGTCCCGGGCACCCTGGCCTGCTCAGAATCGGCAGAACAGGCGCCCCTCCGAACGGGGGCGCGCCAGGGGCCGCAGGGAGCTGTCCGCGAACCTGGGCGGCCTGGGGGATCAGGCCGCATTCCTCCCCTGCGTCCCAGTGCTCACCTTTTAAATGTTAGACCGGATTATTTCACCTTAGTCACAGTATTACCTGTTATTCTGTGAATCCGTTAATCCCTTTTGGATAAATGACTGCCTGGTAGGGAAGAGGCAGAATGCGATTTATGGCATCCCAGGCTTCCGGAAGAGGTGAAGCTGAGTCAGGAGTGGTCTCAACCCTGTGTCCCCTGCAGGGCCCCACCGTGCCCCACATACAGCTGATCATGCAGCGGCTGCTGAGGAGGATCAATCGGACCGTCATCGGGATGAGCCGACAGTCTCCCCACATTGTGAGTAACCCTCCAGGGGACCCGCCGCTGCTGCTTCTCAGGGTCCCATCTGCCCATCTCGGGGGGCGCTCGGGACCAGAGTCTTGAGACCAGATTCCCACGGGCCCCTCCCAGTCCAGTGTGCACCTGTCTGCACACTGCACTGCACGTCTCCCTGGGAGAGGAATGGAATCTAGAACTTTCCAAGCTCCTGTAATAGGTGACCCTTGGTTATCACTGAGAGCAGATCTTAATTCTGACACTGACTTTCTCTTGAGGGAAGACGATCCAGAAGAGCAGGGAGGTCCCCGGGGAAGCGTTATGCTGGATTCCCTAAGTAGGAGGCATGCGGACCCGTTCTTGAGGAGTCTTGCTCACGTGGACTGTCAAACCAAAGCCTCCCATAAGACACTAAAGCAGGGGCCCATTGAGGCACGCAGGCACCCTAGGTCGACTGATACCTCAAATGCTAAGCATTTAATATTTGATTCAAGGAAAATAGGAGTCTCGCTGAGCAGAAGAGGAAGGGTTCTGGTAGCTGCATTCAGCATTTCCTCTATTATCTCAACTAATTTAGTTCTAAATCTCAATTTATGCACGTTTTGCTTTGTCTGGATCCACCTCGTTAGGCTGATAATAGTAATAGTGCTGGTACTTCCAGTGGCGGTGACGCTGATGGTAGTAGCCATTAGCTGATTACTTCTGTGTGCCAGGAACTGTTTAAAGCACTTCAGATTTCGTTGAAGGTTGCCTCTGTCCTGTTAGGAAGTTTTCTCATTAGCTCCATTTTTCTAATGAGGAAACATGCCCAGAGTGGCTAAGCGGTCTGCTGAGGTCCCATACCGACCGGAGGGTCGAGCTGGGGTCTGGGCTCGGGCAGCCAGCCCGGCTGCAGAGCGAGTATGCGTTGTCACCCAGCCTGCACCCCAAGCAGCTGGTACCAGGCTCTGTTCCCAGCGGTGTCCTGTGGGTGCTGTGGGAGGAGGTCTGAGAAGTTTAGTTGGTGCCCTGTGGCATCATCCAGTGCGCTTGCTTCAAAAGAAAAACAAACATTTTGTGGAACTTCTAATGAGCATCTTTTAGGAGCACCTGAGTTGCCCTGGCCTCATTCTCCATCCGCTGTGTCTGCGAGACCGCGGGTAACTACTGAAAGCCAGGTTGCGTCATCACTGAAATGCGGCATCTTTTACTTGTGATATTAAAAGAAACAACTAGATTTTAATTAGAGGACATAGTAAGAAAGCTCTCCCAAATTGCCATTTATTTTGCTATCCCAAAAAACCATTTATTTATTCAGCATGTGTTAAGGAGCTGCTGTAAGCCAGGTGCCGTCCTGGACACTGGAGACACATCAGGGGACAGACCCGACAGAAACCAGGACTTGAGCAAAGCTTGCGTTCCAGCGATAGCAATGACCAAAGATAAAGTACCTCGTGTTAGGGCGTACGCGCTGTGGAGAACACAATGAGCAGGATAAGGGAAGTCAGGGTGGGAGAATTATACCTTTAAACAAGGTGGTTAAGGATGGCTCCCCCGAGAGGGTAGAATTTGGACAAAGGTTTCAAGAAGGTGCTGGCGGGCTGTGCAGGTGTGTGAGGAAGGGCCTTCCCGCCAGAGGCAGTGACAAGGCAGAAATCCTGAGTCCCTCATAAGATGCACATGTGGCTGACGGAGGTGATCCAAATAGGAATCTAGAGAAATGATTGCAAGCAAAACCTTGCCTTTCTGCTAGATCAAAACTCAGGGTGATCCAAAACTTATTATAAGAGGATTCAGGTCTTATGATGAAGGCATCAATACTGGCTAGATACGCTTTCATTGCTGTTGCCAAGCCATTTCTGCCATGTGTATAAAAAATAGAGAAAGAAAGGCAGATTGGTAACTATATTATTTAGGAAAGCGTATATTGATACAGATAATGATGCAGAAAATATGTCTGAGTTTAAATCTGTCTGTTCAGCTTCTTTTAGGAGATAAGTCATCCATTATCTTATCTTGTTTAACTCAAGAGCGTTGGCTCAGTGTGTTTGAAGAGCAGGGTGAGGATGTGAAGGCAGAACTGGCAGAACGGCTGCTGTGTGTCTGTTAAAACAAGGTGACGAGTGGGACACGGCTGAGACAGGGAGGGATGCAGACGCCAGGGGCCCAGTGCGAACGCTTGAGAAAGATAAACATCAGAGGGGAAAAGCGAGGGAAAGGCACACAGAGGCAGAGAGACAGTCACAAAGAGAAATACACACATACACACTCTGTATATATTACGTATGCACGTACACACATACACACTCTGTATATATTACATATGCACGTACACACACACACTGTATGTATTATACACATACACTATATATGATATGCATGTACACAAACTATACATTATACACATACACTATATATTCTACATACATAGGCACATATACACTATGTATATATCATTTTCATAACTATATATATGGCTTAATGTAGTTTAAACAGGTGTCAAGAATAGTTAAATATTAAAGGATCCATTAATAAAACATATCACTTCAATAAAAGGAAAGAAGTTTCCTGACTCCACAGATGCCAAATACATGTGATAGATATAATATCTGTTCCAAACTAAGAACAGGAGGAGTTTTTAACATGCTGTTACCAGGCAACATATTACTTGATGCTCATAAAAAAGGAGAATCAAGATTCTCCTGTAAATTCTGTCCAATATAATAAGACAAAAAAAAAATACTCTATAAATCTGAAAAAGGAAAAAAAAATTATTTTTAGCTGAAATGACTGCCATATCTACGGAACCCAAGAGAGTTAACTGAAATTTTAATAACTGATGAATAATTTACTAAATTTACTGGTTTCAAAATAAATAAATATTATTCAGTGGCATTTCTATATTACAAAAATAGCTATTTAGAGCTTGGAAAAAATTCCGTTTAATGTAGTCACAAAAATAGGAGAGTAAAAGTAAATAGAAGTAACACAGAAATGAACAGCCAGCCCTGGCTGGTACGGCTGAGCTGGTTGAGCCCCGGCCTGTGAACGGAAAGGTTGGTTCCCGGTCAGGGCACAAGCCTGGGCTGCGGCCAGGTCCCCAGTTGGGGACAAGCAATGGATCAATGTATCTCGCTCACACTGACGTTTCTCTCTCTTTCTCCCTCCCTTCCACTTTCCCTAAAAATGAATAAATAAAATCTTTTTTAAGAAAATGCATGGCCCATGGGAGTAGCAGGGCAGGGCTTGGCCGCCACATCTGAACACGTGATAAGGCTACAATAATTAAAGCGGCGTTAGGCACCGCAACAGAGTGTATGTATTGGCAGAGCAGAATTGAGGGAATTTAAAAAGGGGCTTAAGATTTCATGAACAATTTTACCTTTCTATCAGGAAAGTGAATGTTTTTAATAAACATTATTTGGGAAATATATGAATAATGTGGAAAAATTTGCTTGACTCTTATTTCATGTTATGCCCACAAGAATGAATTCCAGATAGAATGAAGGGTTTAATGTTTTTAAAAAAATTCTAAGGCAGCTAAAAGAAGATATAAATTAATATATGCCTGTTTTTAAGAGAAAAGGGATATATGATTTTTTAAAAATTGAAATGATTCTATAAAAGAAGCAATAGATTTTACTAGGTAAAAAAACTAAACCCCTTATATGTGAAAAATATATATCAGCAAATTAAACTTCAAGCACCAAACTGTAAAAATTATTTGTAAAATATCTGACAGGTGGCTAAAAGCTTTAATATTCAAAGAGCTGTTGCAAGCCACCAAAAAAGACATTTTAATTAAAAATGGGTAAAGAATATGAACAAATAATGGCCTGGCTGACAAGTATATGGACAGAATGTGTCATTCAAAGCAGGAAATGCAAACTAAACAAAAGTCAGATTAAATAAAACTTTAATACCCAGACTAGGCAAAAGCCTGGGGAAACGAACACCATTAGACATGGATGGGAGGGAAGCTCTATGCTAGGTTGCAATATGTACCAGAAGCCTTAGTACAATGAATGCACATTGTGCTATAATGAGAAAAACAAACTTTTTCAAGCAAGGGACTCAGACAGACACGCACGGGGGAGGGGTGCCCGTGAAAGGACTCGCTGTTTTTGTGTCTAGGAGACACCGCCCCCTCCCAAGAGCAGCGGCGTCTTCAGCTGCTCCGTGCCCGGCACGGTTGAATCGGTGTTGTTTCCATGATCATGCACAGAGAGGGGGATATTTGCCTCCAGATACTCGCCCTCTGGCTGGAAGGTTATAATTCAAATACATTTGGACAAGGAGGAAGCTCGTTGACTATGTCATTTCTGACCTCAAAAATAGAACGATTGACCATCTAATTATTCAGTCCCTTTCCTCAAACCAGATGCACAGTCACACGTGTCCCACGCACTGGGAATACCTGGCCACCGGCCTCCAGAGCTGGAGAAGGGACACTGAGACGTCCCGCCAGGGAACTCTCATACCTGCCCTCCTCTGTTCCTCCGCTCTCTGTTCTACTTCCTTTCTTTGTCCTCCTTGCCTTCCTGCAGACTCATACCTGTTTAAATAATCTAACTATCCAGACGTTGCTCTCTGGACTTCTGTCCTGCAGCGCTGTCTCAACGGAAGCTCGAGGGCACAGTTGTCAGAGCTTCGCCAGCAGTCGAGCTGGGGGCTGACGTCAGGGTCCCTTGACCTACAGGACCGCATGGATCTTAGCTGCTCAGTGAAGGGGTGAGGGGCAAGGAAAGCCCTCCATGTGCCTTAACTCAGAGTCAGAAGGAGGTCCTTTGGGGCAGAAACAGCAGGGTGCGTGCCCTTAGGACCTTGGCATGCCTCATGCTTCCAGTTTGGTGTGGTCCCTGCGTAGGAGATTAGGTGGGCAACCCAAAGTCCATGTTCCGTGTGCCCAGGTCTTGTTCTGGCAGCTGGCCTCAGGAGTGGGGATTTGCGTGTTCTTTCTCCTCTCCAGGGCAGTTTTGTGGCGTGCATGATCGCCATCCTGCGACAGATGGACGACAGCCACTACAGCCACTACATCAGCACTTTCAAGACCAAACAAGACATCACTGTAAGTTGTCTTCATCGAGGCCTATAACCCTGAGAACTCTTAGGTTCAGCAAGAAGAGTAACCAAAACTGAGCATCCGGGGCCCCGGGTCTCTCACACCCACCTCCAGCGCCGTGTGGTGGTCCGCAGTGAGGGAGGAAAGGAAATTATCGGTTCTTTCTCCCTGGAATCAGATCTGAAGAGTATAATTTGTATACCAAAGGGTCCTCACTGAACCTCTGAACGTCTTGGATTTAGAGAGAGCCCTTATTTAGAAACATTTGAGAGATCTTTCTTTGCTCTCAAAAGAGGATAGTGCCTTGTCTTCAGGGACAGCAGTCACTCACGCCGTGGCTAGGAGGCTAGGACTTTCAGAGGCAGAGATGTGCAAGGTCTCCTAAGATGTGGTTGAAGTCATCAGTTATAGTATTTCCTGGAAACGGAAACAAGAAGAGGTAACACCTACCCCTGGCAACCCTTGTATCTTCAGTTGAAATATTCTATTCTCATTTTAAACACGAAAATTGTCCTCAGTTGCTCTTTGGCACACAAGCCGAGGTTGCCTGAGCGACTAAGCCGGGTCGGTGGCTGCTCCTCAGGGTTCTTCCTTCAGGGCAGTTTTAGCGGCTGTTAAAGTGTCCCTGATGGTGTCATCTTACTCTGCTGAGGAGTCGGCTGGACACAGATCTGGGTCAGCAATTTGATGTCCCGTGGCACTAGCCTTTGCCCTCGATAACTTCCCATAATCCGTGCATATTCAGTCTGCTGTGCTCCAGATTTTCTGCTTTCTGCCTCTGTCCCACTGATAGCCTGTGGCCAGCGCATTGAGGACCTCCAGCTCCTTCCCTGCCAATCCCCCTCCTTTGGTGAGGCCCCATGGTGGAGAAGCACAGCACGCAAGGATTGGAGGGAAACTGCCTAGTGTTAGTGGTAGCAGCCGGTCCAGTAACGAACTCTCCAAACGCTGTATTGGACCATGTGGCCTAATCTGGGGGCCTACTTGGGACTGCACTTGGGCCGTGTCCTGGCAGGCAGCATGGCAAGGAACCCATAGTGATGTGTAGGTGTGCTGCAGAGGGCGCGCAGGTGTGCCTGCGAGACTGGGCCGGCAGAGGTAAGGGGTGGGGGGGCGGGGCCGACAAGGGAATTAGGCAGAGAGGAGAGGAGGGGAGAGAGGGAGACTTGGGGCAGTGTTGTTTCCCCTGCATAGGCAGGTGGTGTAGTGGGTTTAGGAACACAGGCTTTAGACCACCCAGATCTGGGAATGGGTTCCGGCTCTCCCTCTTCCTTCTGTGAAATTTTGGGCAACCTGTTTAACCTCTCCAAAGCTCAGTTTTCTCATCTGTAAGATCGTCCTTTTCTTGAGGGTTAATGTGAGTATCGATTGAAATAATGCATAGAAAATGACTCGCTTGTGCTTGGCATGTAGTTAATGCCTATGAACACTAGCTATTTATAATAGTAACCTTATTACTATTAAAATGTAAGATAAAATTAATATAAAAATAGGTTTTTTTCCAAATTTCCTTCACAAGTCAGGTAGAATATTGAAGTGGTACTAACTCCAAACTTTTGACAATTTGGCTCCATTACGTAAGTGAAAAACAGGTTTTAATTCATGTTTTCCAGAACAATGGTGAGCTCTTCCCCCTCTACTATTAACTAAGATGATTCTTATCTCCTCGGGGGAATTACAGGCTTCAGCCGCAGGACTACCTGGACAGCTAGATCCTTCGCCTCTCAGTGTGTTGGCCTTCACGCCCGCCTGCCGCTTCTCAATAAGCCACTTGACAGACTTTGGGAAGCGATAGATAAAATGGGGGATTGTCCGTGAATTGCCCCTATTATGCCAGTACTGTTTACAATGAACTTAAATTACCAGGAGTTCAATGTAGAGTCGGTGTCTGAAGTGAATAACTGGCATCTAAATTTAATCCTTGCTCCATAAACCTTGACTTCTGGCTGAATTGAGAGAAAAGGGTTAACAGAAGAATGAATACATTAGCGGGAACACTTCAAACATGATGAAATATTTTAAAAGACATGAATGAAATACGTCTCTGATTTTGAAATTGAGGATAGTAACGTTTGACTCTCCATTGAACTAAAAGGAAGATTCAGGGGCGGCACAGGTCCTAGGGCTGGAGCGGCTCCTGTCCCCTGCCACCTGGCATCGGAAGGGCAGGAAGTTCACCCTGTGACCCCATCTCGCAGGAACGCAGCGAGAGACAGAGCCCAGGCCTCCTGCCCGCGAGTACCGGGCCCTTTCCGCTACGTGATGTCATTCATAAGATGGAGCTGTGTTGTTCCATGCTAGAGAAATTGCACAGGATTGCCATTTCAGGAATCCGAGTGGAAAATGTCTAAATTTAACCAGCTTTTAACCAAGTTCAGGGGTCACTGCACTTGGTTCCGGTAACTAGCCCTCTGACTTTTGTAGAATGTGGGCAGTTTTTCATCCTGTGTTCCTCATCAGAGTGTATGGTATAAAAACCAAATCACATGATAGCTGTGAAAATTGCTTTTTTATCCCCCAAACCTTATTTAAAAGTTAGGCTACTTTTAATAAGTAGAAACACGTTGTAAAGTTTTAGCTTTGATTTGTAGTGCGGTTGCCCTGCCTGCCTTTTTGCTCGCAGCGCCCTGCTGGGTGCCCTCGCTGTTTTGCCGATGCTAGACTTACTTCTTAGTTACTACAGTCGGCGTGATCCACTGCGGTAATTTCTTTTAAGGACCATTTAGCACCTTCTCCCAGACTATACATGGTTACCTTCTGACTCTGCTGCTTATTTATAGCATTTGGGTTCTGTTCTAACAATAATAGAGGAGAACCGGATTCAGTCACTTGAAGTATTTCAGTCAGTTTTCTCACGATTGTTGGGGAGTTTGTGTAAGTGCAGTGGATCCTTTCAGACAACACTTGGCTTTAAATGTAGGGTTCAGAACCCCAAGTTCTTTTCCCAGCTCTTCTGCTTCCTCAGTTCTACAACCTTAAGCAAGTTACTTAATATTTCACAGTCTCAGTTTTATCATTTGTAAAATGTGGGCAGTTTTTCATCCTGTGTTCCTCATCAGAGTGTATGGTATAAAAATCAAATCACATGATAGCTGTGAAAAATGCTTTTTCATCCCCTAAACCTTATTTAAAAGTTAGGCTGCTACAGCGGGACTAGGAATGTCTTGTTCTGTTGTGTTTCTTCTCATCCACGTGCTGGGAAGGGATTTAGGAAATGTAATCCAGTTTTTCTCCAGCCATTCCTTTGTCTCTGCAGGACTTCCTCATGGAAACTTTTATCATGTTTAAAGATCTGATTGGAAAGAATGTCTACGCGAAAGACTGGATGGTCATGAACATGACTCAGAGCAGGTAAGGCTGCCCATGGCTGGGCCCTGAGGCAACTGACCCAATACTGCTGGCCCTTGAACAACGTGGGTTTGAACTGCATGGGTCCACGTATACATGGGTTTTTCCAATAAATACAGTAAATGTGTTTTCTCTTCCTCATGGTTTTCTTAATAACATCTTCTTGCTCTAGCATATTTTTTCGTAAGAATACAGTATATGATACATATAACATACAAAATATGCGTTAGTTGATTGTCTATGTTACTGATAAGGCTTCTGGTCAACAATGGGCTACTAGAATAACCAGGCCTCTGCATCTGCAGTTCCCAACTTCGGGCTGAAAACACTATTTTTGATCCGCAGTTAGTTGAATCCGCCAATGTGAAACTGAAGGTGCAAAGGGCTGCCTGTAGTCAAGTTTTGGGGAGTAAGTTAAATGTGGATTTTTTACTGTGCGGGGCAGGGCAGTGGGGGGTGGTCAGTGCCCCGGTGCCTGTGTTGTTCAGGGGTCACTGTGCTTGGTTCTGGCAACTAGCCCTCTGACGTTTGTGAAGCTGTTAAATCCTGGGCCGCAAATGCATCATCTGTCAATCAAGGATCCTCCCACGTCCATGGGCCTGGTTTACGTGCTCCTCTTCTTGGTTGCGGCACCGCTGCCCTGGCCCCTCTCAGCTGCAGCCTCCTCATTGAATCGTCAGCATCAGCTCTGCCTGGCGTCTGCTGGTGGCACCATATAGTCACTGTCATTCTGACAGCCAAAGACCTGGCACCTTGGCCCACCCTGCGTCTCTAGCCTTGTCTTCCACCCTTTCCCTCTATGTACAACCTGCACTCCACCCATGCGGACGGCTTCCCGGGCCCTGGATGAGTCCGTGTGTGCCCTCCCGCTGCTCTGCCGCCTGCCTGCCTTCCCCTCACCTCTGTGCGTCAGCCTGCCACCCATTCCTTCCTGCCGTCCTCCTCAGATGCCGTCTCCAAAGGAAGCCTCTCTGTCCTGGATGTCATCTTCTCTTCCTTTGATTTCCATCTTTATACCCTCTCATCGAATTTTCCATGTTTTTTTGTCATGGTTGCAAACGACCCCTGCCCAGCTGCAAACATTGTGAGACCAGGAACTCTCTTTCAAGGCAAAACCTAAGCCAGGGCCCTGTCGTTTCTGGCCCACAACAAATACTTGGTGAATGGAAGCAAAGTGAACTAAATACACTTTCCATTAAAAGAGCTTCAGAATTTTTGAAAGAGCTAAATAAAGTAACTCATGATTCTCACTATTTTTGTCAACTCTACAAGGTCCTGATACCTGACTAGAAAAACCCTTCCTGACTATGTGCAGGTGGGGGGACAGAAAAACCCTTCCTGACTATGTGCAGGTGGGGGGACAGGTGCATAGACTTTGAAATGGACGCCTCATGACAGAGTGCAGGGAGCCCTGGTCTGAACCTCAGGAGACGAGGCCTGTCGTCTTGTCTCTCACCCCCGGCTACGCAGGGAAGCAGCCTTGAGTGGTGCTGTCATCAGTTCTAGAAATGGACCTTCAGCGTCCTCTGCAGACTGGGCTCTGTCCTTGGTCGCTAAGGACCGTGAGGGATCTAAAGGTCGTCTGTTGCCAAATCGGGTTTGGTTTGCTGTGGCCTCTAACGCGGGTGGGAGGTGTTTCAGTGGGCACGGAGTTGCTTTTTCAGCCAGTGTGCCCTCCCCCAGGGTGTTCCTGCGTGCCATCAATCAGTTCGCTGAGGTGCTCACGCGGTGCTTCATGGATCAGGCGAGCTTCGAGCTTCAGGTGAGCTTGCCACTCCCCTGGGAGTTCCTTGAGTTCTGAACCCAAGCAAGAGAACAGTTCCTTTTGGAAAACAGTGTAGATTTTATCATTGTCCCATGAAAAAGTGTTCTTGTCCTTTCTTCTTTCCTAAAGCACATCACTCTGTCCTCCACACATAGTAAAACAGGGTTTTTTCTTCTTCCTGGAGAACTAATACATGTGAAAAAAGTAATAGTAGAAAATAAAAATAAGCAGAAAGAAGAAAAGCGAAAGGCAAATAGTGTACCTTCCGCTGCTAACACAACCCACACACATGCACACGTGCTTGCCGACCGGCTCGCAGGCGCTCCTCTACCTGCCTGTGGTGACCTTCCAGACTGGCTCCTATACGCACTTCCTTCAGAGTCCAGAGTGGTAACAAAACAGGTGACCCGTAGCTGCACCTCCATTCATTCACTCGTCCAACAAATACTAGAGTATTTAAATGTACAGAGTACCACCCTAGGCCGTGGGGAGGGAAGACAGGGCCCCGCTCTCGTGGGGCCTAAGTGCCCTTGCACGCTCTGGGCGGGGTTTGCTTTGCTGTATGCCCTTGTGTGTGCCTGTGGGATGTTAAAAGTGGAGAGTCATAAGTAGAGGAGGTAAATAGATGCATCATATATGTATATATGTGTGTATGCATATATGTATATGTGTGTTGTATTTGTATTTGTGTTTGTATGTATATGCAAAAATGAAATTGAACTGTTAAGTTCTTTGATAACCTGTTAATCTACTTTATTTGCTTTTTCTGTGATCTTCTCAATGATATTAAATATTTTCAGTCTTTTTAATAGCTAATATACTCCATTGTATGGTTGGGCCATGATTTATTTAGCCATATTCTTGTGAACATTTAGATTATTTCCATTTTCTGTTAGATGAACTAGCTGTGGCAGGGCCTTCCTTGTTTTAAATATTTTTTAAATACCCATGACTTATTTTTCCAGGATAAAGTCCTAAACTACTTACTAGTTCAAAAGTTTGGCAGAATTTTAGGGCTTTTGATACATATTGCCAAACTATTTACTATAAATAGGTATAGTTCTTGGAAGTAGTTTGCCTTTATCCCAGGAGTATAGACAAATATAACCATTTGGATTTTTTTTAAAGTATAATATTAATATTAAGTGTTAAAACTTTCAGGTGTGAATAATTGAAACACAAGAAAGAGAAAGAAGTGTGGATTTTTTTTATAATTAATCCCTGGCCAGTGACTTGTACCATATGGTACTGTTATATGATGACCCCTTATTAATGTTATTTTCCGTTTCTTTTCACCCACACAATTAATTTTGAACAGCTCTGGAACAATTACTTCCATTTGGCAGTCGCATTTCTCACCCACGAGTCCCTTCAGCTTGAAACCTTCTCTGAAGCCAAGCGCACCAAAATTGTAAAAAAGTAAGTGTCCTCTTAAACTTGCTCAAGATTGAGCAGGTGATTTTCCCATTTCAGAGCAAAATTTGGGGTATCACAAATATTACTGTCCCCTGGCTACCATGTTGTTAGTGAGACAGGTCTTATAATTATTTTGTAGACCTCATATTTCCCCAAATTCACATCTCTTCTCAAGGCCCCACTCATGTTTTCACCACCCATCACGTTCTTTATAGAGAATCTGTACGTGGAAAGGCCTGAAGGCTGGCAGTACTCCCATCTCTGAGAACAGCTGCCCTCTGCTGGCAGCTTGTCCAAATTGCAGGCACAGTGCCTCTATAACCCTTGCTTCTCAAAGCAGGCTGCTTTGGTATCTCTCGGTCACTGCAGTACAGAAGCCAGCACTAAGGCATCACCCAAACATGCTGTGCAGCTTCTTGCTTGGATTGCAAAATGGACTAACGCATAAGTGTGATGAGAGCTAGAGGGGATCTTTCTGTGGCTTTTGTCTCAGGTCTGTTTCAGAGTTCTTCAGGAGCCTGGAAACTCAAAGGCTCTGTGGTTAGAAAGAACTTGAGAAATTGACCATTTAAAAGCCGTGAAATTTTAGTTCTGTTCCCCTTTATGGGATATCTGGGATTCTTGACAAATTATTTAGCATCCCTTTACCTCTAGTTCCTCCCCCAAACACTGAGATGGAGATTTAGTGATTGTGTTCTCAATGATCAAAGTAAAACTTGTTTTATACATTTCTTTGTGGGGAGGGTACCAATAAGATAATTGATTTTTAAGATGGATGCCTTAATGTCACTCTTTATAATATCTTAAATGATGCAATTTCTTTCAAGGATAGATTTGATTTTGGTTGATTAACCATATGTGAAGTTAGTTGACACCAAGTCTGGTGAAGTGGATAGTTAGCATTAATGATTCTGGTTTTGGTCAAAGTGTGACTGTAAGTATAATCCATGTAAAAATACACATGCACAAGGGAAGAGACATACCTGGGGAGCTGACATTTGTATATATTCAGGTTATAGAAATGTGATGGAACATTTCCAAGACTTCTCTTATTTTCAGTAGAAGCACCATCAACAGTATTAATAAACAATAGAAATATTTATTGATTGCCTATTATGAGCCAGATAGTGACCACATACACTTACTTAATTTTAATAATAAAACTAGGTTATGTTGTTTTGTTAAAATGAAATAGTAAGAGGAAATTTTGAATATGATTTTTATACTGGCTCCTGAAGGCGTTTCCAAATGAGGAATCTGAAACGTATGTTCGGCGCAACAGCAGCTCGAGGGGGAAATGCAGAGCCGCCTGTGGGATGGTCGCAGGCCCACGTTAGAGTCCCCCGGGCACGTCTGCAGGCTCTGCTTTGACCCGCCCTGTTTCTAGGTGTCCAAGCCCCGCGCTTCTGACCTGGTACGCAGCGTGGGTGGCCCCAGACGTGTGTGTTCTTTAAGAGCTGTCCCAGGTCATTCTTACTCACCTCCCCCAAAACCACTGTGTATGAGAACCACGTTTCTCACTTTTTTCCCCATTAGTGACTCCTATAGGTAACCTTCTTAGACACCGTTTTTCTAATCACACCTTTGCACTGACAGTAATCCAACAGATGTGTGCATTTAACCTCTTTGTCTGCTGTCTGTATTCCTGTGTTTTATTCATCAAAACAGTAGACGTTTTTTGCCCCCGAGGACCAATTTTCACCCCTTTGGGAACAATATCCCCCCACTGAGAATGTATGTCCAGAGCTTCCCAGTGTGGTATTAGATATGGGCTACTCCAATGTAAATATATAAATCTAGCATGTTTGTTAGACATCAGTTACATTGCTATATAAATCATACCCATGTATCATCCTTTTAAGTAGTGTTTCTGTTTTATTTCTTTGCTTAGCAGCAACCCGCGTGTTACTCACTCTTCTCCCTTTAATCAGTTCGTTGGTCTCAGCTTCTCAGTCATTTTCCATCTACACATGTCCCTCCTTTTGCTGGTGAAGCCCCCCTCCCCTGTGGGGCTCTGTGGATATCAGCTTCATCTCTTAAAGGGACCTTGCCTCAACACCTGCCTGAAAAGTGACCTAGAGGGACACAGGCTATTTTTCCCCCCTATTTTATGATAAGTACTTGTTGCCACTACGAATCATTCTCTTGGTTTATGCTCTTCCTAGATATGGGGACATGAGGAAGGAACTCGGCTTTCGGATCCGCGACATGTGGTACAACCTGGGTGAGTGTGTACCCTTCAGCGAGCCCACGTTTAGCTCCTGGGCCGCGGTGAACTCTGTCTTCATTTTAATTCCAGTAACCCTAAGACCTATTTGTCTGTGAGTCTGGAAGTGAGCGTTGACTCTTGGTAGGCCATCCCCTTGTTATCAAAATACAGTATTTAGTCACTCAGTTCTGAAATGAGTTGGTTTACTCACATAAACTTACTCTTTTCTTAAGGGTTCTGTGGAAGAAGACGGTAACACTGCACTTCCAGTGAATTTATTTTTACATGTCTTCCTTACTTCCATTTCAGGTCCCCACAAAATCAAATTCATCCCTTCCATGGTGGGCCCCATTCTAGAGGTCACTTTGACCCCTGAAGCGGAGCTCCGGAAAGCCACCATCCCCATTTTCTTTGATATGATGCAGTGTGAGTTCAATTTCAGTGGAAACGGCGATTTCCATATGGTAAGAGGTGGTCAGACCTATAATCTTTGTAATGCATGTATAGTCAACTCTTGGTTATTTCCTTTCTATATAGAGCAGCCCTAGCCTGAATAATATGAATCAGAGTTGGTCTAAACATTTTCTTTTACATTTCGCTTTGTCAAGCAATACAGATGGAAGCAGATATTGCCACCAGGGGCAGCTTCCAAGCAGCCCCTTTGCTCAGTGTGCTCCCTGAAGCCGCCCTCTGTGTCTGGGTTCTTAAAATAATGACGTCATGCATTTCTGACCCCGTCTGCTGCGGTGCCGCTCAGAGAGCTGGGCAGAGGATCAAGGGGGCGGCGCAGAGGGCTCTCGTTTCTGACCTCAGCTTGCTTATGTTTTTTCTCTGTTCCGTTTTCCTTATCTATACAGCATATTAATATTGAAAGGAGAGCCTTGCGGCCATGGAGCTCTGCAAAATCAGAACGAAAGCAGTCCCATTGCCAAGATTGAGACAGGAACCAAACATTAGAAAATTAGAATCATTAAGTTATTTTTATATGCCTAGTTGTAATGGTAAATAATGTTTTGGGTAATTTTTTGCTGCGAATGTAAAGCAAAGGCTGAAGAAACATGAGGCTACTTCAGAAAGTTCCTCTGGGGCCTCAGTGCACTGTTAATGGATGATGTTATGTGCGATCTTCCTCTAACTCTGCTGAAAATAATGCACGATTTAGAAGGGGGTTGGGCCAATCTGCAGGGGCTGGCGGGGTGTCTCTCCTGTCCTCCTCTAAGGTGTGACACTGCCCTGTGGACTTCTGACTCTGCTTTCAGTTTGAGAATGAGCTGATCACAAAGCTGGACCAGGAGGTGGAAGGCGGCAGAGGAGACGAACAGTACAAGGTCCTTCTGGAAAAGCTGTGAGTATTTCAGACCCAGAACGTCAGGTGGATGGCATCAGGTAGAGATGGAGAAAAGCGGGTCTGCCCTGCACTTACACAGCCACGGAGGAGCCGCGGCGTCGCCGGGGCCACCCACCACCCACTGCTGGTGCTGGGTTGTCCGATGTGAGTCTGGCCAGCCTGGCCATCCAGCGCAGAGCAGAGGGAAGGAGGGAGGGAGAGGGAGGGACAAGGCATTTTTGCCCAGTGTTCAAATTACTGAACTTCACCAGAAGTGGTAATACCTCTAATTACGGCTTCAAAGCAACAACTTCAAGGACGAGGGAAGACACATTTCAAGGTCCACTTTACATTTGAATATACACTGTGCCCTTAAAGGACCTCTGACACCAGTGGCATCTGCTGCTGTGCGTGGGCTGGTCTTTACACGGCCCCTCTCCCAGTCCAACGTTCACTCCCCCGCTGTGCCCACATTAGCACCCCGCCCCCACCCCACCCCCACCCATCACCCTCAGGTCCTCTTAACTCTCCTTTGCACATAGGTTATTACAGCATAAAAAGAGGGTTAAAAACACTTGCATGTTGAAATAAGAGAGAGATTGAGCTTCAAGTCCTGTTTACTCCACATTCCAGGCCTCTGACTTTGCACACCCATCCGACACCTCTCTTTTTCTGATCCACCATAATAGGATCTGTAGTTTGGTACTGTGGTGAGGATGAATTGAGGTCCTGCTTCTCCTAGTGTCCGTTACAGGTCTGATGCAGAGCAGGTGTTGGCTGCTCTGGCGCGGGCACTGGGCACTGTCTTTATTGTCGTCGCCACGTCCTGCCATCGCCGGGGCTGGAACTGCTCTAGACTATTCGTGTCTTGTGTTTCCTGAACTTCCATGATGTGGACCGACTTGTTGGGGGCGTGCCTGGGTCATTTCATCATTCACCTGCTTCATGGGAACATGTGCAGAGATGGTGCTTGAGGACGAGGCTCCTGACTTTGTTTTGTTTTTTAAGATTTTTAAAACAATGTTTTTATTTTGAGATAGAGGGGAAGGGAGGGAGAAAGAGAGGGAAAGAAACATCCTATCAAAAAAAATGTGCGATTGCCTCTCACACACCCCTACTGGGGACCTGGCCTGCAATCCAGACATGTGGCCTGACTGGGAATCAAACTAATGACCCTTTGGTGCAGGCCGGTGCTCCATCCACTGAGCCACACCAGCCAGGTCTTAAGTTGTTTTTTTTTTTTTAGGGAACCAGCACACTGGGTACTCAGGAATGAGTTGATGACTCATCTGTATCTGAAAGTATCAGAAGTCCTTATGTTTTTAATGGCTGATAAGACCACATGTGGATCTTTTTATCCTGTTTTCATCAGATCTGCCTATTCAAACAGGCCTCAAAACTCCCAGCTTATCACCTTTGCAATTCTGATCTCATACAGGAATTAAATGGAGAAATTACAAGCACATGCAAACACATCCAAAATATCTGCAAATGATAAACTACTCATTTTTTTAGTCCTATAGCTGATTTTTCACATACATATCTTATTTTTTTCTTTATTCTTCCTGGATCACTAGCTCACAAAAATATGATCATGCAAATCTCCCGTGCCCGAGAATAATCCTAGAATCTGGACTAATTCTTTGACCACATTTCTTCCTCTTCTTTTGCTCTTGTTCCCCAAGCTTTCTTCTAATGCTCTAATCTGAGACATTCTGGTAGAAGCTTTGCTCTCTTGGGGCCCCCAGAAAGAAGAAGTAGAGCTGAAGTTTGGCCTCAGACTCGTTTACCGCTGTTCATTTTTTTCTCTGAAAATGACACTTGTGTCTGAGGAGCCACAGGTCCAACTGCATGCCCACGTCCTCAGTTCCTCTCTGGGCGCTCCCGCAGGCCCATCTGGAACGCCCACGGGGGTCCCCACAGGGGTGGTCTCTTTCAGCTTGAGTAGAGTGACCAGAAAGCATAAACAAGCCTTTTGGGCAAAGGTTCCCCTTTTTGTAGTTTCCACAAGAAAACAAAAACCAACAACAACAAAAATACAGAGAGACGTTCAAAGCAGGACCGCTGTGGGCTGGGATTCCCAGTGGCTTGAACCAACGCTGTGAAGAAAGGTGGCGCTTGGGGCCTGTGACAAGCCAGCAAAGGCTGTGTCTCCTCACCTGGCCCCACCTGCTGTTGGGACTGCCCGGCTCCCAGATGGTGTGGGAAGGACGGCTCAGACCAGGCCTGTGTCCCCACTCCTCCCCTCAGGCTCCTGGAACACTGCCGGAAGCACAAGTACCTCTCCAGCTCCGGGGAAGTCTTCGCGCTCCTGGTCAGCAGCCTCTTGGAGAACCTCCTGGACTACAGAACCATCGTCATGCACGACGAGAGCAAGGAGAACCGCATGAGCTGCACCGTGAACGTGCTGGTAGGTGCCGCGGCCCTGGCGCAGCATGGTGGGGGGGGCTGGGGGGGGGCGGGCAGGCCGCCCTGCTCCCACCTCGGTCCGCGCCAAGCCAGCCTCAGGGACGCGAAGGCCCCAGGGGCCCTTCCTGGAGTCTGTCCTGCTGAGTCGTAAGATGCTGGCACCACAGTCCCTGAAGATTAATTTGGGAACAGGGCTGGGAAGTGCAACACGGGCGCTCCCGTGCCTTCTGAAGGCTGTCCTGGGCCGGTCCCTCAGCGCTGCTGGCGGGCAGGCCCTCGCGGCTGGGACTGTTGGGCGCGGGCGGGCAGGCGGGCGGGCAAGAGGAGCCTGCACCGTGAGCCGTGTCACCTGAGCGCCTGGAGCCCTCAGGATGGCGGCCGCCTCAGTCGCCTTTTCAGAGACTTAGCCTCTGGGACCACGGACCTTGGTGCCTCTGCTCACTTACCCGGGAGCCCCCCGCCTTGTTTCCCCGGGAAAGCGCACCATCGGGGGCCTGCGTCAGAGCCAGCTGTCCGCTCCCTTAGAAAGCTCCCCCAAGTTGCTCAGAGGCCTCATCCTAAAAACGCTTCACCTTCTCTCCTCTATAAACTGTCACGTCCTGTCCTTGTGGGCATCTCCGTTAAAGGAAAATAATCAGCTCAGTGGAGAGGGGACGCTGTTGAAAAGCAGAAGTAGCTATTTGGCCATTTTCATGGCAAGCTGGTCAATGGCTCTTAACTTACATTGTTGTTTTGGACTTTTTATAGAATTTCTATAAGGAAAAGAAGAGAGAGGACATATACATAAGGTAAGTCGAAGGCAGTGTCTGCGCTTGCTGTTTACGTCACGGCTTTATTATTTATTTTTCCCGTCAACAAATGCTAAGCCCCAGCCCCGTGCTTGCTGCTCTGAGAGGCTGTGATACCGCTCCCCTGTGAAAGGGCCCCCTCTCTAGACAGAGACAGTAAGGACAGCACAGGGGAGCGCCTAGGGAGGATGGCGTTAGATTCCCAGGAAGGGTGGGAGGTGCTGGCCAACCGATCGGGAAAGTCTGCCCAGGAGAGGCCTGAAAATTCGCCTTCTGTCAAGGCATGTCAGCCTGGAATCCAGGGAACCCTGAACCTGGGACGCGCATGGACATGAATTATGTGCATTTTCTTGGGAAGAGATTCCATAGCTCTTAGGAGCTTCCCAGAGGGCTCCACGGCATAAACGTAAAAGGACACGACTGCCTTCAACAAGAAATGTGGAGCAGAGGAAGTAGGAAAGGCACAGTGGTGGAAAGCAGCACCGAAGGCTAAAGGAATAGGAAGACAGGAGGGAAGAGAGGAGTAGGGGGAGAAGAGAAAAGGAGGGAAGGGAAGGAAAAGGTGGGGAGGCGGGCTGCGGCTCGCTGCGGACTGCCCTCGCGCGCGGAGCGGCCCCCAGCGGCAAACCGCCCGCCCTCCTGTTCCTACCAGGTACTTGTACAAGCTGCGGGATTTGCACCGTGACTGTGAGAACTACACCGAGGCCGCCTGCACACTGCTCCTGCACGCAGAGCTTCTGCAGGTGAGTCAGGCAGCTGCCGATGTCCACGCGGCAGAGGACAGAGCCCAGCCTGTCACTGGCCATCCTAGGGGGCCGAGTCCTGTGTGCTTTGGAATTGTGATGGGAATGATCCTTATTCGGGGGAGAGCCTTGCATCCAAGAGTGTTATTGTACCTTCTACGTGGGCACAGCTAACTTTCAGATCAAGATCGGAAAAATGTCCGTTAGCACTGGATGAATGCATAAAGAAGCGATTCCATAGATTTTAAAATCCTTAGGAAGCAGAGTGCAACTTACAGGCCCCTAGTAACTGACACTGTAATTGAAGAAACAAACATCCATCACTTAATATATATATAAAAAATTTGTAAAACTGCAGAGACGTGAGTCTTAAGTAAATATAATGCCACAGAAGTAGTTTCCTATTTATACTCACTCAGTAAGTAAAATTATAGTGTGTCGTGGGTATAAATACATCTACACGTCATGCATCTCAGATAATTTTTCCTGGCTCTGACGACTCCTCCAAATTCAGATGCACGGATAAACTGTTCTTTCAGCAAACTTCACGCATCAGTAGTAACAAGCTCCAATTTCCCACGGCCGTCTTGGACTTGTTCCTTCCTCTCCTTTCTTTCCATTTTACCACCATCTACCCAGCTACGCAGGCACATACCCATCATCACCTTTTATTCACCCCTCCCACATTTTCCACCAGCAAGGTGCGTGCCCCTCTGTCCTAAGCGTGCCCTTAAGCTCTGCACTTTTTTAAAAGCTGTGATGTAATTGACGTGTAATGCTGTGCACATTTATGGTATGCACATCTTTTGGTACATTTATACATCGCAACGTAATTACCACTGTAGCTAACACCTCTATGATGTCACTTAGTTATCATTTCTTTTTTTGTGGTGGGATTAAGATCTAGTCCCTTAGCAGCTCTGAAGTTTATAAAACGATCCTGTTGCCTGTGTGTTAGATCATCGGGACTGACTGACCTACCGGCGGCAACGCTGTAATCTCTCCTAAGTCCCCTCATTGCCCCCGCTCCGCCCCCTGCCCCAGCCCCGGTAACCACCATTCTGCTCTCTGTTTTCATGAATTTGGCGTTTTTAGATTCCTTGCCATGCAGGACTTGTCTTTCCCTGTCCGACTTGTGTCACTTAGCGTGACGCCCTGCAGCTCCGTCTGTGCTGTCTCAAATGGCAGGGTTTCCTTCTGCCTCGTGGCCGAGTAGTTGCGTTGCGCATGGACAGCATCATCCATCGCGGGCCCTCAGGTGGTTTCCATGTCTTGACTCCTGTGAATGACGCTGCGTGAACACAGGAGCGCAGCTCTGTCCTCCGCACCCTGGCTTCCTGCCTTTTCCATCCACGTTTTCTCAGGCCTCCACTGCCGCCCCCTGGCCCTGCTGCTACATCTCCCTGCCTCCATTCGTGCCCCCAGTGACTTGTTTCTTCTGTAATTTCATTTTTCTTTTACACTAGAATAATACATGCACATTGTTCTACACTTTGTAATTAAACAAAGTCGTCCATGGCCCCGCCACTTCCCCAAGGCAGCCGTTCACGGTTCGTGTTCCGTTTGAGGCACTAAAAGCCTTCCTGTGCGTGGGTTCCAGAGGGCGGCTCATTGACGGTGGGATGGTCCGCAAGGAAGCCTGGTGTCCGTAACCGCGGACCTTTTTATCTGAGCCACTCAGAAACCGAAATTCTCCTCCCCTGGCATAGAAAGGTATGACGTGTGCATACAGCTTTTTTCCCCAGATAGCTACTCTGTAAGGGATGCGTAACACAGTCCATATTTTCTTCGTTGGTATGAGACCCTTTTTTGCTATGTGTAAATCCCTGTATGGGGCAGGGAGAGTCTCTTTTTTGATTTTTATACTTTTGCATGGGGTTCCGTCTGTTCACGCATCAGTACCACACTCTTAATTATTAATCCTTTAGAGTGTGTTTTGTTACCTAGTAGTTAATAAAACTATCTTCATTGCTCTCCTTTTTCCAAGTTTCCTACCTATTTCTATTTGTTTATTTTCCATATGGACTTTGGAATCAATAACTTTAAAATTTTAATTTAGGGAGAATTTTCATATTTATGAAATAGCATTTTCTTATGCCAAAGCATGACATGGCTTTCTGTTTGCCCAAGTCTGCTTTTGTGCCCTTCCTTGGTATGTAAAAGTTTTCTGAAGGGAACTCTTCCATGTTCCTTGCTGTTTTGATTCCTAGATATCTTTTCTTTTTAATTAATTATGGTAAAATACACAAAACATAAAATCAGCCATCTTATCCATTTTTAAGGGTATGGTTCAGTAGCATCAAGTACGTTCACATTGCTGTGCCTGGCTATCTTATCATTTTGGGTTTATTCTTTCTAAACTCACTTCTTCTATTATCTTCGCATGGTTATCTGTTTATGGGCAATCTCTTTTTAAATTATCCCTGAATAGGTCAGGTTTTAATCCCCCTGAGGGACTTCAGCCTCTGTGTCTGGGGTAGTTCTTGGCTGGCGCCCTTTGAGAAGCATAGACTGTGAAGAACACAATCACCATTTGTACATAGTGAGGGTTGTTCCCCCTCCTTTCCACGTTTATACTTCTCATCTTTTTCTCTTATCTGTGTGGCTGTACCTTCAACACAACAGCTGTCACGCTGGCTACGACCCCGCCTCGCTCTTGCCTTCCCTGGGGCTGCCCTGCGTGTGGTCCACGCAGCGTGCCACGGGTTTCAAAGCTGGCATGCAGTATGTCTGTGGGTGCAACTTTTTTGTGTTTACTAAATAATCTAAAATGCAATATGGATGAGGTGCAGATATATGCAAGTATTTCTATGACTTTTTTAAACTAAATGTGTGTTAACCCCCTTTAAGTAATTGAATTAACTGGTGGGTTGCATTGATCTCTTTCGTTTGCTTTCCAGTGGTCTGACAAGCCCTGTGTGCCCCATCTGCTTCAGAGGGACAGCTACTATGTTTATTCCCAGCAAGAGCTGAAAGAGAAGCTGTATCAGGAAATCATATCCTATTTTGACAAAGGCAAAGTGAGTGTTGGGTCGTCCCCTGTGTGTGAGGGGACAGGGGACAATGCCAGCAGTCCTGCAGTGCACTCGGACGCTGACCAGCCAGAGGTAGCACAGGCCTGGGGGTGAAGGACACAGTCCCACACAAGGCAGCCCTGACTGCAGACGCCAGCCACAGTCCCAGGGTCCCCAGGCCGCCCACATGTCTGACCAGTTGACTATACATTTGGGGGAGAGTCCTGTGACCCGCTCAGGATGGGTAATTTGCTAGAACAACTGTGGTTAGGTCACAGTCGTCCCTTAAAGGACACAGATCAGGGCCAGCTGAATGAGGAAGCACACAGGGCAGGGGCGGCGAGGGTCCCAGGGGTAGGGCCCCTGGGCCCTCTCTGTGGATTCCCGGCGCCGGGGCCTCCGGGAGAGCTGACATGCTCCCCACGCGGGGTGCTCACCCGAGCTGCGGCGCAGAGTTTTTATCTGCGTTTTATGACATAGGCTTGGTCGACTGAATCATTGGCCCCGTGAGTGAACTCCGGCTCCAGCCCCCTCCCTCCTTCAGATCTGGCTAATGTCACGTAGCTCCAGGTCTGACCCTCTAATCACACGGGGGATGTTCCTTGCAGGGGCCCCGTGAGTCCCCTCAGAAGTGTAAACTCGGGTGTGGCTGGAGGGTCCACCATGAATAACCAAGACGTTCCTGTCGCTGGGGAAATTCCGAGGGTTTAGCAGCTTCCTCCCGGGACTCTGGACAAAAACCAGACAAATTCTCCATCATACAGCAATGACTCGTGGCTCACTCATTATTTTCCCCGTGCGTACCTTTGAACCCTGGTATTTTTAATGGGCGAGAAAATGAAGAGATAAATTAACATTTGAAAGGCAATAAGATCCATTATTTTGAGGACACTTAACCCAATGGAGAATACAATGGACAGCCTCACTCTCCAGCATAGTAACTCTCCCTCTTAATTATTGCCGAGGGCCAGGAGCTGGTACTGTCCCCGCCAGCGCATTCACTGGAGGGGGTTGCTAACACCTGGCGCCCTGGTACCCAGATCACTCCCTGCCCGTCCCATAGCCTAGGTGCCCCCAGAGCGAGGAGGTCAAGTCAGCATGAGACTGGGCCGGGAAGTTGTGGAGTCTGTGGTCAACTGGAGAACACATGTCCACCTGGAAGGCATTTACATTTAAAATTTGAAAAAAAAAATTTTTTAATGAGAAAAATATACAGAAGAGGTTGGCGAGAAAAGACACACAATGCATCTGCTGTCCAAACAAAACAGACCCCAGGCTTGCGGGCCTCCGAGGCCTGCAGAGTTGCAGTGGGCGGCCCGCCCAGCCACCCTTGCTTTCTCCATCAGGGGAACCTGTTGGCTAAACAAATAAATAAATTAGCCAAATAACCATCGTGATAAAATAGCTACCGTCTGTTTGGTTCCAGTTACTGCTTTGGGTGATTTCCCGACCTTTTTCGTAATGCAATCACCCTAAAACCCCACTAGGCAGATTTTATCCCTGTTTTACAGATGAAGAACTTAAGGCTTAGAGAGCAAATAGATTTATTCAAACATTTTGGTCTCTGCACCTGTTACTTAAAAAACACCAAGAACCCCAAGAGCTTTGTTCACGGGTTGTATCTATGGCTGTTTATCCTCTTAGAAACTAATACAATTTTTAAATATTTACTTACTTTAACAGTGATAGTAAGGAAGCCTGTGACTGGTTAAGAATTTTGAAAAACTTCCTATATGTCCCGAATATTAGCGATGTGAGTGGCGTCTGCCATTTTCACAAATCTCTCCGGCACCTGGGGCAACAGGAGACAGCAGCATTCTCCTGTCTACCTCTGCATGCGTTCCACTGTGATGTCACACATCCCGTAGCCTCTGCGGAGCTGCGCGGCACCCTCACGAGAGAGAGTTGGAAAAGGCAAATACCATTAGTACTATTGAGAGGATGATTTGACCTCATGGTCCCCTGGAAGTGTCCTGGGGACTCTCAGAGACCAGGGACCACACTCTGAGCACTGCTGTGCTAGGCTGTCTCCCTGTCCCTTGTATTACTTGGCCTTTGGTGAAAATGATCCGAGAATTCTGTGCCTGGCCCAGCTGATGGGGAATAATTTCCATGTGGCACATTTCAGAGCTTTTTCAGTGACCAAGGTCTTGAAGTTTCAGAGGGCACATTTGGCAAATGATGATTTTTTAAAAGATTTTATTTTAAAATATCCTACAACTGTGTTTGAACCACACACACACATTTCTTCAGCAGCCAGGAACAATGGAATATAGCACCTGGTTGACAAGAATGACTTAGGAAGTCACTAATAGTGGCCACTGTGGAGACACGTTGTGAAATGCCAAAATGAGCAGGGAGATCAGTCTGGGATGCTAGCCTCAGACGCCAGGTATGTGCAGTGGGCTGTAGCGGACACCGTCGTGCAAGCTCCAAGGCACTCCCTGAAACTCCCTTTGACGACATAGACAGTTTCGTGAGGAACAGAAAATCAGTGCTCTAGAGAGCGTTGGCGAACCCTTAGTGCACAGTTTCCCATATTCCACACAACAGAGCAGTTAGCCTTTCTTCCAGTTCTCCTTCCTCCCAGACAACCTAACTGGACACACATACAAACACACGCACACGCAACACAACTTGAGCCACACCACTTTCCCCTCCAACAAGGCTTTCACACTCGCAAGACCTAGGGCTTTGGAACAGGCGTCCCTCCACTTCCATTGGTCTCTAGTGCTTTGCCCTGGAAGGTCAGTATGGCTTTGTCTAGGGGCACGTGGTGTTTGTTCTTCATGGTTTGCAAACAGAATTATAGGAGATACCCCTGGCAAAGCAGACAAGATAGAGTAGCTGCATGATGTCAGCAGGAAGGTTGAATTAATCCAGGATGTGAAGCATGTCGGGAATATCTGCTGGAACCCGACCCTCGTGACTCTGCCAGTGACTCTCAAGTGGCTTTGACAGCTAGATCAATGACGACTTTGTTCTCCACTTTTCTTTTTCTAAAGATGTGGGAGAAGGCAATCAAGCTGAGCAAAGAGTTGGCCGAGACCTACGAGAGCAAAGTGTTCGACTACGAGGGCCTTGGCAGTCTCCTGGTGAGTCGGGGTCAGAGCCTGCCAGCCCCCTGCCCCACCCTGGGTGCTAAAGCGAGGGCTCACAAGAAGGTTTCTTTAAGCTTCAGAAAGGCAGGATAAACGATGCTCTTTGCAGTGGAAAAGTAAACCTGGATTGAAATAAAAGTGAAAAAAAGATGAGGTCCAAAAGCTGTCACCTCTATTTCCCCAGTTTCCTGACAGGGCTCAGGGCCCCTGTCTACAGCCCCCACTTCCGTCCCTGTGCCTTTTGTCCCTCTGTGGGCCCTCTGTGTCTCCCTGCCTCTCTTCTCTTGCAGTCACTTTGCCTTCAGGGAACACCATTCGTAATTCAGATGTTTTCTGACATCTTCTGTTCATCTGAATTGCTTGTTCTGTGGTCCACATCTTTGGGTCCCCGCTGAATGGCTGGACTACATATTTTGGAGCCTTGTTTTATTTCTTCAAGGTGCCATTGTGCACATTTGGTTAAGTTGCAAAATGCTTCTGTCAGAACTTAATCCCCAAATTTTGCCTCCCTGTGTCCCTTGGATGTCATTGGAGTACTCTGTTGGGTTGGCCAAAAGGTTTGTTTGTTTTTTCCCACAAGATGGCTCTAGTAGCACTTAGTTGTCTTTAACTTCATTAGAAACAATTTCAATAGGTTGTATTGTGACAGCTGTCGTATCAGCGTGCGTTTCAAAAAAACTTACCAAAATTGGTGAATTTTTGTGCAGCCATTTTAATATTGAAGATGGAAGAAAATATGTAACATTTTTGGTGTATTATGCTTTATTATTTCAAGAAAAGCAAAAACAACTGAAATGCAAGGAAAGATTCATGCAGTGTATGCAGAATGTGCTGTGACTGATTGGATATGTCAAAAGTGGTTTATGAAGCTTCCTGCTGGAGATTTCTCGCTGGATGCTGCTCCATGGTCGGGTAGACCAGTTAAAGTTGATAACAATCAAGTTGAGACATTAATTGAGAATGATCAACATTCTACCACGTGGAAGATAGCCGACATACTCAAAATATCCAAGCTGAAGAAGTTATTGGTGAAAATGAAAAACGTGTCTTTCATGTTAAGGAAAAAGCTAAATGGACTTTTTGGCCAACCCACTGCTTTCACAGTCTCCTGAACTCTGTGCTACGCCTGGCCATTGGCATTGGTCAGCTGTTTTAAAACAACGGAGGAAAACAAAAATAGTCTTCCAGGTGCCCAGTGGTAGGCCAGCAAAATATTAATTTGGTAAGGTTTGATAGAGGAGTCGCAGCAGGTCAGGTTACCCACCGTCATGCAATCATTTAGGTGAGGAGATGGTCGCAGCATCACTTTGAAAGGCATTTGCCAGGGTGTTGTTCCAGCCCCTGCCATTACGCAAAAAATCACTCCTTAATTTCATGAACTAAACTGAGGTGTGTTAGCAGTGCAACACGTCACCCGTCTAAGACGACAGCGGATGGAAACCTTCGCCGAGATAGAGCAGCATAGTCCCCGCTGGTCTGCAATGTGCCTTTTGTGCTCTCAGTTACCCCCAGTCAGCTGTGGTCTGGGAATGTTAAATGGAAAATTACAGAAAAAACCATTGATCCATTTCGAATTGCACGCCATCCTGAGTAGCGTGATGAAATGGCGCGTCATCCTGCGGCTTCCTGCCTGGGATGTCCCCACACTGTGGACGCTCCCCGCCCCTGAGTCACTTAGGCGCTGTCTGCGTTATGAGATCAGCTCCCCAGGTATCACGGTGCTTGTGTTCAAATAACCCCGATTTCATTGTGAACGCGCCGGAGTGCAGGAGGGCCGACCCCGGCAGTCCGGCCACGCCAGGGAGAAGCTGTGACGCGCTTCCTTTGTGGGAAGAGGGGACACAGGCAGTACAAGGTACTTTTAGAGAGAGAGGGGGAGACATGGAGCCCACATTCCTATAACTTTTATGACAATATATGGTTATAATTGTTCTATTTTACTGTTAGTTACTGTTGTTAATCTCTTACTGTGTCTAATTTATAAATTAAACTTTACCACGGGTATGTATGTGTAGGATAAAACATAGTATATATGCGGTTCAGCACTCTCTGAGGTTTCAGGACGTACCCTCTGTGGACCGGTGGGGGGTGCCCTGCTGTAATAAGGTAGCTGTTGTGGGAGGGGCTGAGAGACACCCACAGAGCCCCTGGGTCTGGCTCCCTAGTTTGCTTTCTTAGAGGCCGACTCTGGGGCCCAGGCAGGGAAGCCTGTCCCCAAGGGAAGAAATGAAGATGGGCGGGGCCAGATGCTGAACGACAGAACGTTCCCTTCCCTCCTGGGCACTTGGAGCTGAACCAGGGACTTTAATGCAAACCACCTGCACGAACTGGAAAGTTCTCTATCTTCTTTTCTCATATATCTCCACCTAAAGGCAGCCACCCTTCATTAATCTCAGAAAGTGCCTTTTAACTCAGAAAGTGCCGAGCCCGCTTCAGGAAACTGGCGAAAACTAGGCCCCGCCACGCGCCAGGGCAGAATGCACCTGTTTGTGCCCCTCTGCGGACAACCTCAGGGAACCGTGGGCTGCCAGGCCCCGGCCCTCCCGTCTGACACAGGGACAGCCCTCTGGCCCCCGGGACACTTCCCGAAGGCCCTTTATTTCCCTGTGCTACATGGGAAACAGCAGGAGCAAATAGATCTCTCTTCCCCACAACTGCACCCTTGTAACCTCCCAGTGGAATGTCTTGTTTTGTTTTCCAGAAAAAAAGAGCCTCGTTTTATGAGAACATCATGAAGGCCATGCGGCCTCAGCCTGAATACTTCGCCGTGGGATACTACGGACAGGGCTTTCCTTCTTTCCTGCGGGTGAGGGACCTGCGGGTGGTCTCCCAGGCCGTTAAGCCGGGGGTCTGGGGGAGGGGTCTCCATCGCTTTTCCAGATGGGCCTGGCGCGCTGCGGCTGGAGACCGTGTTCTCGCTGTGGGAGGTCGGGCAGCGCAGCCGCTTCCTGATCGGCCGCCTCTTCCCCCCACGCCCCGGCGCCTCCGGGATTCTGGCAGCTCTTTGGTAAAAGGACTTTTCCCAGGTGGGATGCAAAGGGGAAAAACAGACCCATCTGCTGCTGCAGGTCAGGCCAGGGAAAAGTGCGGATTGATGCATTTGGTTGTTTATTTTATTTCCAGCCTGAGCGAGTTTGAAAGCAAATATCCCAAGGATAAGACTGCAAAAGTTTGGCGAATAATAACGGTTTTGTTGTCATGGTGAGAAGGACCGTGTTTTTCTTCCTTCTCAAAATTTTCTATAATGTGATGCTGATGTTACAATCTAAAAAACAAACAAAACCTTCTCTTTTTCTCCCACAAAAAAGAAGTTGCTTTCAGCGCTTAGCAATGTTTAAGCATACATTATCCATCTTCCTTCCCCTAATTAAAAAAGGAAAAGGATAAGTGGGAAAGTGCTTTACACTCCTCACAGTGCCCAACAAGGAGGTAGCTTATTCAGTCATTAATTCAATAATTATTTACTGAGTGCCTACTAAGTAAATACTAAGCATTAGAGATATAGTGCTGATTACAATTTGATATGGTCCTCACTCTCTTAGGATTTTACAACCTAATAGGCAAGATACTAATTAAATAATCACACAAATGAAAGAAAAATTGAAACTGACCAAGATAGGTATTCCGGAGAGTAGTTACCCAAGTGAAATAAAAGCCTACGTTCACGTAAAAATTGTACACGATGATTTATAATACCAGAATTCATCATCTCTAAAGACTGGATAGAATGGAACCCCGATGTCCCTCAACTGGCGAAGGGACAAACGGACTCTCATATGATACAGCCAAATGATGGACTAGTACTCAGTCATGTGAAGGAGCGAGCTGCTCACACCCACAGCCACAGGCATGGATCTCAGATGCATTATGCTAAGTAGAAATTAGACTTTAAAGTCTACACACACTGTGATTTTATTTACGTAACATTCGGGCCAAGCTGACACGTAACTATGGGGATGAAAACAGGTCATTGGTTATCTGCCAGCTGGGACGAGGGGGCGCTGAGCTACAAGGAGGCACGGGGACATTTTTGGTGGGTATAAAACCGTTCTATATCTTGATTGTGGTCATAGTTGTATTTGTCAAAACTCACAGGATTTTGTACTGAAAAGGGTAGATTTCACTATATGTAAATTGTACCCAAATTTTTTTTTATGAGTTAGGAAAACTTCCCAGGGACTGTCAGCTCCAGCTGTGTTTTGAAGGGTGAGCTGGGCCTGAAGGAGGTAGGGGAGGAGGAGAAAGCAGTCGGTGCACTGGGGACAGAGGGAGCTGCGTGAGCAGGGCAGCGAGGCGGGGGTGCAGGCCAGGCACACGGGGCTGCCGCCAGTTGCAAAGGCGTTTTACCAACCTCCTGAGAGCAGTGGGGAGCCACTGCAGACGCTTCGTGTTGGCGAGGTTATGTGGGTTTGGCATGGAGAGCGGGCGGGAGGTGTGCGTCGGTGAGACATTAGAGACTCTCGTGGATGCCAAAGAGGTGAAAGGTTGGCCTAAGGAGGTGGCTTTAGAGGGAAATGGGAAGATTAGAATAATGGAGGTGAAGTAGCAGTGTCGGGTAACCGATGGGACATGTGAGTGAGGAAGAGCGAGGTGTCCAGAATGGTCCCTGGGTTCGGGCCTGCGTAGTCAGAGGGGCGTGGAGCCGCCCACTGATGTGGGAATGCTGGGAAGGACAGAGTCCCGGAGAAAAATTAATCCAGTCATGGAACGAATATTTCTTCAACTTGCACAATGTGCCTTGCTGTAATATAGGCATGGGGGCAGGGTCCAAAAACAAAAACAAAATCCTTGAAGTAATGAAGCTTATATTCTAATTTGGGGAGACAAAAAAAAACAAGATAAGTAAACTATTTAACATCAGGCGGTCTAGAACAATGTCTCATACCACACAGACGCTCAACAGGGATCATGGGGAAAATGAGTCAGGGAAGGTGGCTAGAGAGGCAGGCGATGGGGTTGGAGCTGCAATTTTAAATGGAGTGAGTAGGCAAGATTTCAGTAGGAAAATGGCATGGGAGCAACATCCAGAAGCAACTGAGGGAGTGAGCCAGGAGCTGTCACGAGACGAACAAGGCTGCTAGAAGAACAAGGTCAGAAGCCACGAGGCTGGAGAGGCGTGAACCAGAGGGCAAGGAGAGAGAGGGGTCAGGGAGCCGGGCTCCAGGTTGCAGAAGGCCTTCGAGATCTTCACAAGTCTTTTATAAAAGTTTGCTTTTGGACAAACATAGTGTGAGATAAATTTGGAACATCCAAAAGATAGTCACAATTTGATATATGGATGTGGAACGTAAAGGAGAGTTTAGGCTGGAGACGGAACTTGGTAGGTTATTTACAAGTAGTTAAAACTGGCTGTGGATGAGACAGCCATGGGGAGGGAAGAGAGTAAGGGAGGAGAGGGCTGGGTCAGAGCCTTGCTGTAGGTCCTGGTCTTCACTGTGCTATTAAGTGGGTGCTTAAATCATGGTAAGTCCAGGCCGACCATGCTTGTTATAGGCGACCGTTATGTTGCATGACCTGATGGCTGTGATCCAGGAGACAGCCGTGGCTCATGGGAACAGGAGGTCGAGACGTGCCACTGAAAAATGGAGGTCTGCCTCCGGTGCCGGGTGGCTGTGTGGTTTTGGGCAAATGACATAGCCGCCGAGTCTTGGTGTTCTGACCTGTAAGGCAGAGAAATCCTGCCCACATCACAGGGCTATTTTGAGAGTTAAATAAGCAGCAGAGAGGAGTGCTTCATAAACTTTAGTTTGTAGGCGTTCTCTATTGTCAAAAGTGTACAGGAAAATATAAATTCCTTATGAATGATATAACCTAAATGGCCTTTCGAGTTAAGGACAACTTCCCCAAGTTTAGACTCTTAGTTATAGTGTCTCCCCCATCCCAACCGGGCCCCCTCTTCTCCCTCTGGAAGTGGCCACTCCGCCCCTCCTGCTCCAAGGCCCATCCTCTCAGTCCTTGTTGAGCAGCCCCCTCCCCGGCTCCACCGCCCGGCACCAGCAGCAGAGTCCCGCCCCGGATCCTGCAGCCTCCCTTGCTCCCCCGAGTCTGTCTCGGATCCCTGCACTTGGCGGCGCACCCCACTGTCACGTTCGATTGTCTTCAAGACTTCTTTCGTCCTGTGGCGCCCTCCTTCCAGAACCCCCAGGGATTTCCCTCGCCTTTGGGACCTCTGCCTGCCTTTCAAGGCCTTTCACGTCTGGCTCATCCAAGCTCTGTCTTGGGCCTTATCCCTCCTGTCACTTGCTGTGCCTGCTTGTCCTCTCCCCTGTGCTCCTCTCCTCACCCTACCTGCCCTCTAGGCCCAGACAAGCCCCGTGTCTTCCTTGAAGCCCTGTCCTTCGTGATGAGCCGTATTGTGCTGACCATGTGCTGGTCTGATTTCTTTCTCAGCTGTTGCCCACCTCACACAGTTAGCCTAAATGAGGGAATTTTGTAGTGCAGGAAGTGGTCACATAAATCTTTCATCTATTCCAAAAGCTCTAGGCTATTTTTACTGCCTTCCATGTTTGGCCTCAAAGGTGTATCGCCTTTGCATTGTTTATATTATCTAAAATTATTACATGGACTTATTTGTTGTTGATTTTGTATTTCTCTCCCTCATGCCCAGCATGTTTACTGTTTGCTCAACACATATTTGTTATGTAAATGGGTGAGGGATCTTTAAAAACATTTTAGAGAACAATATACGGCCAAGTTTCAGTTAAAAAAATGCATCGTGAGGAGGTTGGCAGTCAGCACTGAGCCCTCATCTAAGTAAAGAGAGGATGAGCGGAAGCCTGCAGAGCGTGGCTGCGTTTGAACTTGGCGTGGGCAGCAACAATGAGGAGGCAAATTATTCCTATGCCTGAGGCCCAGGAAACTTCTTTTTTAAAATATCCACTTTTATTTATTTTATTAAATAGGAAAAACTACAGTTTCTCATATTGTGTGCAGTTATTTTTTTTCTTTTTTTAAAGATTTTATTTATTTTTAGAGAAAAGAAAGGAGGAAGAGAGGGAGAGAAACATCAGTGTGTGGTTGTCTCTTGAGTGCCCCCTACTGGAGACCTGGCCTGCAACCCAGGCATGTGCCCTGATTAGAAATTGAACCAGCAACTCTTTGGTTCGCAGGCTGGCACTCAATCTGCTAAGCCTCACCAGCCAGGGCTATGTAGTTATTTTCTATGGGACTTGTTGCCATACAAGGTTACTTTCAGGATTGCCTAGCAGCTGCTGTTGCTTGTTCCTGTCCCCTGTTACCGCGTCACTGTGTCGAAAGGCACATTGTCTTGACTGTCTTTGTACTTCCTTGTTCTGACGCTGTGCCGCTCAGCTGCTGGTCCACAGACTGTTCCTGTCAGGATGAGATAAGGTGCTTGCTGAGTATAAACCAGTGCCCTTCCTCCACTGAGAATGTCTTACTGTGAAAAAAAAACCCCACTAAACTAACCAGCATCCTGGCCATGCCGTGGATCTGCATTAGCACCCAAGGTCCTTGTTTTTCATGGCTCGGTGTAGATGGCGCCAGCCGTGGTTATGGGACTACTCTATGAGAAGGCTTCCCTGCGACTTTACTTCCTGAAAAAGCCCAGAGCTTGGTCAGATGTGATGGTTGCTGTGAGACACGTAGTAGGTGTTCAGTAAGAACTTGATGGTAGATTGCACTTCAGCTGGGAGGACAATGGCTTCCTCAGTAAAAGGCTCTCCGATGTCCCCTCGTGGTCCATATTTAATTTTCCCCCTGTTGTCTCTGCCCTGCAGAACAAAATCTTCATCTACCGGGGAAAGGAGTATGAGAGGCGAGAAGACTTCAGCTTGAGGTTGCTGACCCAGTTCCCCAATGCTGAGAAGATGACCAGCACCACCCCCCCGGGAGACGAAATCAAGTGCTCCCCAAAGCAGTGTATCCTTGCCACAGGGACGCCTGGCCCGGAGGCTCCGTCACCGGCTGCAGCGCAGCGCAGCCCAAGGGTTCAATCCCATCGCTGAGCGCAGAGACGACTCACGCTCAGGCCCCTCACTTCACCATTCAGGCTCACGTCCCAGTCTGTATAAAAGCTGTGGGACCCTCATGTCCTTGTCTCGTGATTATGAAGTAATTAAAGGAGAGAGAGGACAAGCAAATCTTGATGGGAAGGACTGCACTTCAGAGCCGCACGGGAAGCCTGCAGAGAACACAGACTTCCTGTTCTGAATTCTGGATAAAGATGTATAGCTCTTTTTTGTAACATTCCACAACTTACTGAAATATCAGTTATATGCATTATCAAAAAAAGAAAGCAAGGAAGAAAAATCTAATAGTAAGGACTCCATCACAAAGTTACTTTTAAAACTTTCTCTTGGGTTTCATGCCACAATAAGATGTCACAAACTGAACAGTATCTAAGAGGTAGGGAAGGTAGTGCCAGCATGGCGTGGTGGCTGAGCAAATGGGCTCTGGGGGCAAAGCGCCTGGGTTTGAGCCCCACCCTGTTGCTCATTATGTCAGTTTGGGCTAATTACTTAACTTCTATGGGCCTCAGTTTCCTCATCTATAAAGTGGAGATAATGATCATTCTTCCTCTTCGAGTTCTTAAAAAGATTGAGTGCATAAATGTACGTCAATACTAGGAACAGTGTTTGATAAGTGATAAAATGTCAGTATGCATTAGCTATTATTATAGACAGATTGGTAAATGTTTCTAGAAAGATGGGTAATAATCATAGATCACTAGACAGACGTATGTTTAAGGGAAGGGTAGTAGAGACCTGTTAACACACAGTGGATGCTTGGAAAAGAAAACATCCACTTTCTTTTCCAAGGGAGCTCTCTGAGGTCTTCCAGGATAAATCCTTGGGTAACAGAGGATCAGAAGACAGCAGAGGTGCCTCCTTGGTGTGGCAATGAAAGAGGTCTTCAAGGGATGGATTTGGAAACAGGAGTCCTGGGGCTTGGCCGTTGGTAATGTCCGCAGAGCCATTTGACCTTGCCCACATTGCTTCAGGTAGCCAGGCCTTGGGTCTCTCATCTGCAAGGTGGGAGGGCAAGTCTGTTTCCTCCAAGTATCTTATGGAACTTCTGTGAGGATCAAAATAAAAAGTAGGTAACTCATGTGAAAATACTTCATAAGCTCACAGTGTACAGGATAGCCCACGGGTTCTCAGGTTTTACGCTATAGAAGCAGCAATGCAGAGAGAGTCTGATTGAGCGGCTGTGAATCCTAGTTTGTGTTCAAATCCGTCTCCAGGGGGCTCGGGCATGAGTGGATGCATGGGTGGACGGCGCCCTTCGCTTAGAGAGACACTGCTAGTTCTAGACCCAAGTGCTTTGAAGTGTAGTTTAAGTGCTGTAGGCATTGAAACTGTGTGTCTGCTCTGGTGAGGACAGAAAAAGGTCACTTCATAGATGGGGTCACTGAGTCAGAGAAGGCGGCCCAGGCTAGGCTGTGTGTGGAGCCTGACTCCGTTTCCCAGCCACATGATCTGGATCTTCTCAGGGCCTCCGATTCTTCGTTGGTAAAAGGAGATCAATAACCTGGTAGTTATTGTGTTTATTGGAGACCACGTTTCAGAACACTGCATACGGTGCCCAGCTGGGGCCCTCTGTACACAAATGGCGTCCAGAGATACGCGAACTTTCTATTTCCCAGACTCCAGAGTCTGGCTCCTTCAGAGGAATGCTTGTCCAAAAGAAACAATGTAAGACAGTTTCCAATCACATTTTTTCTGGACATTTGATTGACACCTATTTTCCTCTAGGAAGGTCACTTGGTGGGTGACCAAAAAAAAATACCTAGGACGATGACTTGAAAAGGCACTTGGGGAATTCAAGAGGGGGCCCCCTTTTCAGTGCGCGCCTGGCGCTTGGTAAACAGGATGGCGGGGGTGGGTGAAGCAGGAGGCACGGGAGGGCTTTCAGCCTGGGACAACCTCACGCCAGCCGCTCTCCTTCCTTAACGGGCCCCTCAGACATGCAGTGTTTCACCGTCAAGCCCGTGATGAACCTGCCGCGCAGCTACAAGGATAAACCAGTTCCGGAGCAGATCTTGAAGTAAGCGTGCTCGCGTGTTTGTTTTTTAAAACCACTGTCTCTCCCACACCCTTTATCTAGAAGCCTGTCAAAACCCGTCTTAGTGCATTGCCGTTTGGAAGCCCTCCTGGTGTCTGAGTCCGTTCAGGCTGGTTCAGGCTGCAGTAATGGGTGCCGCAGACTGGGCGGTTGGTACACAACAGAAGTTGTGTTCTCACGGTGCAGGAGCAGGAACATCCAAGATCAAGGCGCCGGCACAGGCGGTGCCTGGTGAGGGCCTGCTTCCTAGTCCTAGATGGCCGCCCTCGCCGCGTGCCCCCTCTCGGTGGAAGGGGCGAGGGAGCTCTCTGGGACCTGTTATAAGGGCGCTAATCCCTTTCATGGGGGCTCCAGCCTCGTGTCCTGTCACCTCCCAAAGTGCCACCTCCTGACACTGTCACACTGGAGATGAGATTTCGACATAGGAATGGGGGGTGGGGGGGACGCAAACGTTTAGACCATAGTAACCATCCCTTCCATTTTTAGTAGAAGAACGTGGTAACTCAGAGGGACTTGGGGGTTGTGTTTTTTTCAGCAGACGGAGGGAACTCGGGAATGTCGCTTAGGTTTTGGAAGCCCTTAGCTTATTCTGTTCCGAGTTCACTGGTCAGTAGTGGCTACTTCCCCTTGCCCGCTGAGTTCCCCAACGACGTGAGGTCTAATTACTTCTGAGAAGCTAAAATGCTACACTAGGACTGATTGAACTATTCTACAACTACAGATGAGATTACAAACATGGATATAAACCTTTCTAAATTGTAAGCTGTGGAATAGGATTTGTAAATAATAAAATTAAGATGTATGGGAAAGCCCTGGCTGGTGTGGCTCAGTTAGAAAGCTGTTGTCCTGGTGCGCCAAGGTTGCAGGTTTGATCCCTGCTCAGGGCACGTACAGGAATCAACCAATAAATGCATAACCAAGTGGAACAACAAATCAATGTCTCTCCCTTCTCACCCCTCCCTCCTACCCCCTTTCTCTCTCCCTACCAGTATTCCCCCCCTAAAATGAATAAATGAAAAATTTTAAAAAAGATGTACAGTAGAATCAAACTACGCTGACGGCAGCCTTCATGTGGAGACCGCCCGTCTTGAGAGTGCAGTGGATGAGACTCGGTGTGTGGGAGGCATGTCCCGGGTTCCGGGCAGTCAGTCCAAGGAGAGCTTTTTCTAGGAGAGAGGGGACAACATTGTGGCTGTGTCTTTCCCAGCTACTACAGAGCCAACGAAGTGCAGCAGTTCCAATATTCCCGGCCATTCCGGAAAGGAGAAAAGGATCCAGACAATGAATTTGCTGTGAGTCCACCCCTTTGGGCCCCTAGAACGAGGTGGACTTGGCATCCAGTGGCGGCCTCCCCCCTAACCAGCTTGTCCAGCAGAGATCACATAGCTGGGGAAAGAGGCTCTACAGCTTTGTTACCAAGACACCAGGCTGTCACCTGAGTAGGAAGCCAGAGGTCTAGAGCCTGCGCTGTCCCCCTGGGTCTGCCCCCACTGTGACTGTGAGCAGGTCACACCCCTCTGGACCTCAGGTTTCTCCTCTAGAGGGTGAGAGGGCCCAAGGCGAGGGTGCTTTCAGCTTTTGACATCCACGACTCTTAACACTGTGAGAGACAGTCCGGCCCAGACTCGAAGGAGGCCCTGGAGAGTAGAATCTCACTTAAGTGAACCGGGGAGTTTTGCTCTTTAAAAGCCTGGGGACTGACCAGCATTTCCTCTCCCCCTTCTCCCGCCAGACCATGTGGATTGAAAGGACCACGTATACGACCGCGTACACCTTCCCGGGGATCCTCAAGTGGTTTGAAGTCAAGCAGATTTCAACAGTGAGTCATTTGAGACTAGAATTCAGAAAAATCTTTCTGTCCCCAAATATAATATGAGCCTTTGTTAAATGCCCCCGCCAGTTCTCACGCGCTCAGCCAGCCGCCTCTGGCCAGCTTCGTTTTCCAAAAGAGAAATAAAAGGCGCGTTTGTCTGATAGGACGCGTCTGTAAAACTGATGTGACAGCACCAACCCTAAAGGTCACTCGCCATGAAGGCCGCTTTCATGGCCAGAAGCGTGTTGTCTGCTCCGGGACCCTGCAGCGCCCAGATGTTTTTGGAATGCCTCCCTTGAGTTTCCTGTCCATCCATTCCCCTCCCTCAGAACATGTCCCCTCCTTGTATCCCCAGCTTGTCACATCAGCAGGCACCCTGGACTCTTCCATCGTCAGCTCTGCCCAGAGCTGCCTGGTTTTCCTGCTGATTAAGTGTTTTATTTCCAGCCCCTGTACTCTCGCACCCTGTTTCTAGCCCCTCACTCATGACTCGCTGATGCCACTGAAAACCCCTTAACCGGCCTCCCTGCCTCGGCCTTCTGAGGTCCATTCTCCTTGGGGCTCCGAGTGCGACTTCCATCATGAAAACCTCTCTGTGGCTCCCAGTGCCCAGAGTGTCAAGTCCAGACTCCTTAGCCCATGAACACAGGGTCTTTGCGGCTCAGCTCTTCCACCACATCTCCCGTGGAGTCCCCTGGAACGGAGCTGCTCAGCCCAGGCTGTGTCAGTTGTCTGAGAAATAGGGTCACTTTCTCTGCCCAGAATGCTCTCCTGCCGCTGCTCAACCTCACTCCCATTCGGATTCCGTTTGGGCACCGCGTTCTCCCAGAAGTTGTCTCTGAAACTCCCTCGCGGGCTGAGGAGCTCTTCCTCTCTGCCCCCGCCTCCTGCACTGACTCCTAGTGAGTCACCTACCGTGCCCACGTGTCAAAGTCCCATTGAAATCATCAGTTCCTCCCAGCCATGAATTATGTCTTAATAACTGTTGGAACTGTGGTGCATAACACAGTACTTGGCATGAATAAGCATTCAAGAATATGTCTTGAACAAGTCTGAGCTGAAGTTGGACATGTCCCATACCATGAGGGTAAATCATTTTTCTTCAAGGATGCATATGATTTTGGACAGAGATGTTTAGAATCAAGTCTGGAGTAGGAGGCCATTACCCACAATAATGGGTAACATGAGGAAGAAGACACGTTTTCCTTGAAACCTAGTTTTGAAGACATTTCCTACGAGGAGCTCTCTCTGATTCTGTAACACGTCTTATTTTATTTCCATCCAATATCGAGCCTGAAATTCTCACACATCCCCTTATTTCTGACTTCCATTAACCACAGCACCCGTGCTAGGGTGACTTCTGTATGGTCTGAATGTCTGGCTCCCAAAGCCATCCGCCCTTTCCCACCGAAGAAACAGCGAGCCTCTTGCCAGGGACCACTCTGGTGGTCCCAGAGTGTCTTCGATTGGACACCCTGTTCCTCTGATGTTGTTGTTCTCAAAAATGTATGAGGAAGCTTTGCCTAAAAACAATCTTTATTACAGATCTAACTTTTTCTTCTCAAAATTCCTGCAGATTCTTTGCCCCCAAAAATGATCGTGACTATAGTGCCAATGTTTAACCACCCTATACTTTCTAAGAAAATTCCTAAAAGCTTACTTTGCAACTTACCGACCCCATTTCAGATGCGTGTGGTGTCCCTAAGAAACATGACCTTGACCAGTGGGAAGCTCGCTCGTCTGTGGCTCAGTGGGCATTTCACGCCTGCGAGGGCTGCTGGGCTCCCTCCCACCCTTGCGGAAGAGCTCACCCTGTACCCTCTGTCACAGGAGGAGATCAGCCCCCTGGAGAACGCCATCGAAACCATGGAGCTCACCAACGAGAAGATCAGCAACTGCGTGCAGCAGCACACCTGGGACCGGACGCTCTCCGTGCACCCGCTCTCCATGCTGCTCAGCGGCATTGTGGACCCGGCCGTCATGGGCGGTTACTCCAACTACGAAAAGGTGGGCTGGGTCCCTGAACCCCGCAGCACACACAGGCCTGGGGGTCCCCACGCCGCTCTCTGTGGCATCGTGCAGCTGGTGACTTAGCTTCTTACCACTTCTCTGAGCGATGTCTCCTCCCCTTGTGTGTATGAACGGAATGAAGGAAAAGCCTGTCCCCTACCACGCAGCTCCTAGAGACCCTCAGCAACCCAGCCCAGGGTTAGGCTGCTGCCTGGGAGAGTCCCTGACCGGTCTGTCAGACCTGCCGTCCCTGGCTGACTCACCCCCACCTTTCCCTCACCCCCTCGCTCTCCTGGAGGTAGGAAGCCTACAGGTGGGCCCCACGCCTGTGGATTCTCCGGCAGCGAAGCCACACGTAGGAAGGGCAGAGCCACATGTTGTTTAGAATTAGCCTCCGGGAACCACCGTGACGTGATGGTCCAGAGCCATAGGCACAATGCTGGCCCTGGCTCTACAATTAAATCAGTTCAACGAAGTGTCACGTCTGTTGCCCCTGGGAAGTTGTGGGGGAGAGGAGTGACCCCACAGCACAGGCCGTGCGTGGCGCACTTAAGATGGAGATGACACGTTCGGTAAGTGGAAGTCAGTTACGTGTAGAGCGGACCCCTGAGTGACGCAGGTTTGAACTGTGCAGGCCCACTTACCCCTGGACTTTCGTCAGTAAGTGCAGTTGGCCCTCTGTATCCCCAGCTTTCACATCCGTGGATTCAGTCAACTACGGGCGGAAAGCAGTGTTTCACAGTCCCAACCTCAATTCAGCAATACTGTTTCCACTGAATCTGGGTGCGAAGGGCCCACTATGGAGTCAAAAATGTTAGTGGATTTTTGACGGTGGGTGGCAGGAGGGGGTCAGCACCTCTAAATCCCATGTTGTCCGAGCATCAACGGTAGTTAACAGAGGCAGGATTGTCATTGTTAGGTGCATTTTTGTGGCTAAAGAATCTTGGAGTCCTCTTCTCAAAAATGGACATTTTGCGAGGACTCCCCTGTTGAGTAGCCTGGAGACGGAGGGGAAGAAAAGGTGACAGACAGGAGGGCCGGTGGCCGTTAAGCAGGCTGATCCTCCTCCTCTGTTTGTCACCACACCCTGGCCTTAGAGCGGCCACTGCTGTGACCTTACTGTCCCGTTGGCCGCTGCATGTACCTGGGAGACGTAACCTCTCTGAGCTCCAGGCTTCCGACCTGAAAAAAGTGAGGAAGGTGCCTAAATGGCAAGAGCAGCTGGAGGCCACGTGTGTCAGGAGCTTTGCGTGGCACCCGCCACACAGCTGAGGCCCGATGGGTCCCAGCTTTCCGCCTGCCGCCTCCTGGCTACTTGGAGTGACCGCAGGCTCTGAATGTCCTTCGTGGGCGATCTTACAGTGCTGTGTGAACTGAAGGGCATTTTATCATATACCAGAAAATTGTTCTTAACTTTCAAAAATTTAAACTGCTTGTATTTGAAGGTGCACGAAGATTTACATACTGCTCTATACTGAGAGTCCTTCTAAACGTGAACCTGGCTAGCGCGAGCTGCTTGGAGAATGAGCCACCTTGCCTCCCTTGGGGACGCTCGGTCTGCATCTGTTCTGTTGTGTCACCCTTGTAGGGCCGCTGCCCGAACAAAGCACCTGCTGCCGACCAGGCAGCTTAAAACAGTGGGCGATGCGTGCCTCCCAGTTCTGGAGTCCAGTAGTGTGAAGTCGGGGTGGCCGCAGGATCGCTTCCCTGCGAGGACTGAGGAGGGATCTGCACTCTGCCTGCCTCTTAGCTTCGGGTGGCTCGCGGGCAATCTCTCGTGTCCCTTGGCTTGTAGGTGACCATCTGCTCCACGTGTCTCTTCACAGGATGTTGTGGTTTTTTTTGCCCCTGTGTGCGCATGTCTGCCTCCACAATACCCCTTTCTAGAAAGTCACATATAAGGTGTTGGTGGGCTCAGGACTTCCTTGTGTGAATTTGGGGCGGGGTAGGGGTTGAGCGACACAGGTCCACCTGTAACATCTTCCATAAGACAGAGTTCGCACATACTCTTGTTCTCCACACAGAATGGGCCGATCACTCTTATAGCTGTCTATCGTTTCAGGAACTCTTGGCTTTTATGTCCTGGGGTGGCTTTCTGCAGTAGAGCAGAAGAGGCAGGGGCTATGAAGGTTGGTCTCTGAAAGCCCTCTAGAAATGAGGATTAAGGTACAGGGAGAAGCTGTATAACTCCCACTTTGAACTCAGTGGATGTATTTATTACAAAATTCTGTTTTCTTTCCTAATGAAGTCTGTTCTTAAAACGATCTCCTCTATAACACCTATATTTGTAGTTTTGAGTTTTATTTCCCTATTACCAGTCCTTAGCCATGAGAGCTATGAAAATGTTTATTGATGATATTATAAGTGATGTGTTCTTGACATAAATGCACCTGCATTTAATAGTTTAAAAACATTTTTACATCTGTATCTCATGTCCTGAAATAGCCTTCTGGATAGGCAATTCTTAAGAAAGGACAGATATTAATCTTCATTTAATATAGGAAGAAACTGTGATACAGCCTATATCACACGGTAGTGCAGAAAAATCATCAGCCACATCTCCAGCCTGTTAATTTTTTGTTCTTTTCTTTATAACGCCTATATACTTAACTAAGGAACAACTTTTCGATGTTGCCATTTGGTCTTAGTTCTTCGGGAAAGACATTTTAAAGAATGATAACCTGCTCCGCTGCTGATTATTACGTGATTCGTATGTGTGTGTGTGTGTGTGTGTGTGTGTGTGTGGTTGCTGAGAACGTACCTTTGATAGGAACGCCATGATTCTAGAAAGACCACAAAACAACACCCACCTTTTTGAATTGTCACTGTGTATAGGGCCATGCCATCGCGCCATCCTTCCTGGTTTGTCAGGTAGAAGAGAAGGCGTTTCGCCCTCCCAGCTCCCTCCCTCCCATTGGGGCCAGACACCAAGCAAGGCGTGGGCTGCCGTTAATGCTCTGTGTGCTCTGCTCTTAGGCTTTTTTCACAGAGAAGTACTTGCAGGAGCATCCTGAAGACCAGGAGAAGATTGAGCTGCTGAAGAGACTGATCGCGTTACAGGTGTGCCTCCCAGGACCGTGTGGCCGGCCAGCTTCCCGCCGCGCTCCCTGGGCAGCCGCGGGCCCGAGGCTGAGATCCTCTAGGGTTCAGACCTATGAGCCCACTTTTAGGGTTACTTTCCCTTCAAAAAAAAAACAAACCCCATGGAAGCACAACCGGTGTATTTGTTTCTTGGGCAAACTGACAGGAGTAGCATCCACTAGACTGGACTGCAGAGTTTTGAGAGGGCCCTTGGAGAGATGAGAGTGAGTCCCCCAGTCGGTTTCCCAGCCTGCGTTCCAGTTGAGAGACATTGGCCTCCGTTTTCCCCTTCTCACGCCTTCAGGGAGCAGTGAGTCCATCGAAGGCTTAAACCTGCCAGCTGCTCATCCACAGAAATGGCTCAGTGGCTTTTCCTCATCAGGCAGCCCTTCCCCAGTTCAGGGCTCGCCCCTGTCCCTGGGGCGTGTTTCTGCCGCGCTGCACTGACAAGTGACTTTCTCCGCGGACGGGCGCTGCCCAGCCCCGCCCCCACCTTTCCCCAGCCCCCAGGTCTGGACGGCCCGCTTCCTAAACCCCAGTGCCCCGTCTTGTGCCCTTTCTCCCAGATGCCCCTGCTGACGGAGGGGATCCGCATCCACGGGGAGAAGCTGACAGAGCAGCTCAAGCCGCTGCACGACCGCCTGTCCTCTTGCTTCCGGGAGCTCAAGGAGAAAGTGGAGAGGCTCTACGGGGTTATCATGCTGGTAGGTTTGCCTAAGTAGCCTTGGAGCTTTTTAGTTCCTGTTACCTGGTATGGTACGGGCCAGCTTTCCAGATGCCAAGTGAGTCAAAACAGTGTAGGTCTGGCGTGAAAATTGGGGTTGGTGAGAGGAGGCGTGGTCGGCTGGGAAGGCTGCGGCCCTCCCCGTGTAGAGAGGGCTCTCCCCCCTGAGCCGTCCTCGTCGCCCGTGGAAGCTGCGGAAGCCGCCTCGCGGGGCCGCACCCCGGGCTTCTGGTTCGGCGGGTCTGGGGGCGGCCGAGGAGCTGCGTTTCCAGCCCGCTCGCAGGGGGCGCTGCTGGGCCCGGGCCCACATTTCGAGAACGGCTCGGAGAGAAGCCGGGGTGCCCCTGGTCCCAGGCACTGGTTGGTGGTCGCTCTCCTGTCCAGCCCCGTTCTTACGAGGTTTTCCTAATATTTTTATTTTGATGGCTAGGTTTACACTCTTCACACCTAGGAGGGGGAGAAAGAATTATGAAATACATTTTACACTGCATATCGCTGATTTCGTAATTTTGGACCATTCTCGCACTCCTCGCAGCTGTAATTCTCTGCTTTTCCTCCTGAGAAGCTGGGTGGAGGCCTGCCCGTGCTAGCCTTTTCTCTTCAGCAGTTGCTCGTGTGCCGGGCCCCGCTTCATCCATCTGCAGACCTCAGCGTGGGCTCCCCCTGCGCTATTTAACGGCCTTACCCTTGAACCCCCAGTTTTCACATTTTCATTCCTCACACCAAAACTCTGAGTTTCTCACGTGCACTCCTCTCTCCTAGCCCCAAACCTCCACCTCCACAGCCCTTCTCCCCAGAGGCCTTTTTCATCATCTCTTTCTGTCATCTGAATGTTCAATCACAAATTCCTAAAAAATTACCTCCTCACCTACCACCTGTTAAGAGCTTTCTTGTGGGAAAATTTGTCTTCGACACGAGTTCCTGGATGGTGGCGACTGTGACTTTCGCCAAATGAGCAGGGTTTTTATTAGACCCAGGGCAACACGGGCAGGTAAATGTGAAACAGTGGCAGACAGGGTTCAGTGACCCTATAGGATATTCTCGTGGCAGTAGATCAGTGTGGCTCTCCGTCCTGAGTAAGATTCACCAGGCTGAGCGTCAGCTCCGTAGTCTCAGTCTCCACCTTTTCTACTCAGCCAGAGTCCCATTTTTAAATGCCTGAAAGAAGGAAAGCTGGAAAAGCAGGCAGAGAGTCTTGCTCTTTCATTGGTGGGTGAACATACTGGGTATTTCTCTCTCAAGGGGATGGTGAATTTTTCTCTAGTCTTAGAAACAAGGCGGGTTTGACCTAAGTTGTGTATATAAGTGAGAACGTAAGTATTTCAGGATCTAACGGCCGGGGCAGCACAGGCATCAACCAGTCAGGATGGGGTGCCAGCCAGCCCACCTGGGCCCCCGCCGCAGACGGACCAGTCTGCAGGCGCTCCCGGGGCCGAGCCCCCGGCCGGCTCACCGCGAGCATCCTGTGTCCTCCAGCCCTCCGCCCTGACCGAGAGGAAGCAGAGCCGCACGGGGTCCATTGTGCTGCCCTACATCATGTCATCCACGCTGCGGAGGCTGTCCATCACCTCGGTGACGTCCTCTGTGGTCTCCACCTCTTCTAACTCATCTGACACCGCTTCTTCCAGGCCCGGATCAGACGGGTAGGCATTTGATCTTTAATTGCCAGGAGGGGTGGTAACTCCTTTCTAATATCTGTCTTTGGTGCCAAAGTGAGCGTTGGTTGATGTAAATACATTATCCTCATAAGGGAAGTAATTCAGAGTTCATGGGTTATTCGACCTTGGGTCATTCTTATTGTCTCCCTCATGAGGAATGTCGTTATTTAGATAATGATAGTGACAGTTATAAAAAATGGGGGGAAATCACCTCTAATCCTGTCATATCCTATCACCTTCTTAATCACATTCTGAGTTTTTTTCACAATAACTTGTCATCACTGCCTGATTTTTTCATCATTTCAATTTTCAAAAATAATTTTTAAATTTATATTTTATGAATAGTTCACATAATCCCATGATAGGAAATTCCAAATATACAAAAATACATATTTTGAAACACCTCCCATCGGTCCCTGACCGCCCCCCTCCCTTGCCAGCACCGCCCTCCGGAGCCAGGTGGGGGCAGCACTCACACTCTGAGCGCGCTTCCAGCCTGAGCACGCCCAGATGCACGGGAAGAACCGCAGCCCCCAATTGTCATTCTTACCATAGGAATGGCAGCACCTAACACTCTGTTTATCCAGCTTTCTTCAGTTACTAGATCTTTAAAATCATTCCCTTCCCAAACAGAGAGAGCCTTCTCTTTTCTTTGAGCTGCGGGTACCCCACGGTAGGTTGGCCCCATGAAATGGGCCATTAGAACCTGTGGATGGACATCTGGTTGCTGTGACAATGAGGAACCTTAAACATAAGTTAGTTTGTAGATATACAGGCACACCCATATGAGAAAAACTTCCAAAGTGAAATTGTTCCATTCAACCTAGATAGTTGCAATTTTCAAAGCTACGGCTGCACGGACTTCCCTAGAGGTTAGACCAGTTTCCTGTCCTGCCAACAACATGCAGAGCGCACCTGGTCCCCGACACATCGCCACCGGATTGTGTGTTACTGGGTGTTTTAATTTTTGCCAATCTGATGGGTGCAAAAATATTTTCTTGGGATAGGCTTTTTTCATTTTGATTTATCTTATATGATGTTGAGCGTTTTTTCATCTTTTTCTGTGAACTGTGGTCAAATGTTTTGTGTATATTTTCTGTTGGATGTTGGCCATGTTTGTAACCTGAGTTGAATATTTTCCCCAATTTCTCCTTTGTCTTTTTTTAATTTTACTTTTCAATTACAGTTTACATTCAATATTATTTTCTGTTAGTTTCCAGTGCACAGCAGAGTGGTTACAACTTCTTGTCTTTTGACTTTGCTTCTAGTTTTTTTATTTTGTTGTGCTGATTTTTGTAATGCAGTTAAATAAATTAATATTTGATTTTATAACTTCCGGATAGTATATCATAATTAAAGACCTTTCCCACTCTAAGACTATAAAAAAACTAAAACTAATTTTAGGGTTTCACTATTCACAATTAAATCTTGAGTCTTTGGAATTTAGTATCAACTGTGAGGTATGGAGCCAACACTTTTTTCCCTATGTGACTATCTGGTTCTCCCTATAACATTTACTGAGCAACTGTCTTTTTTAGCTGACTTGAATGCTCAACCTGATAAAAATAGCAAATTCCTATATGTTCTTTAGTCTATTTGTGGACTCCCCCACCCCATTTCTTTGATCTACCTGTGTGTTCATGCACTGGTGTTATGCACTTTTAATTACTATGGCTTTAAAAGACTTTTAATATCTAGTAATCCATTTCAAGTTTTGCCTGGCTGGGCTTCCTCGTTGTCACTTTTGGACTGACTTCTGTAGGATCCTGTTCCTCTTTTTATTGGGGTCACGTTGACTTTATGGACTAGCTTTAGGCACATCGGCGGCTTTTTGACGTGGGGCCTTCCTTGCCAAAAACATGGCATGCCTTTCCACACGTTCATATTTAAAACATTTTAAAGGGGTGCATTTATAATATGTTCTGTCTGGTTAAAGATTTTATTTTCAAATAATATTTTACTATTTACAAAGTTAATATATATACACGTAGACATTTTTCAAAGTATTAGAAACTTTTGAAAGAATAAAGGCTTACAACTTCATCGCTCAGAAACAACCACTGTCCCTGGCTGGTGTGGCCCAGGGGATTGAGCACTGGCCTGAGAACTGAAAGTTTGCCGGTTTGGTTCCTGGTCACGGCATGTGCCTGGGTTGTGGACCGGGTCCCCAGTTGGCAGCGTGCAAGAGGCAACTGATGAATGGTTCTCTTGCACAGCGATGTTTCTCTCCCTCCCTTTTTCTCTCCCTCCTCCTCTCTAAAACTAAACTTTAAAAAATATTTTAATAAAAAAGAAATAACCACTGTTAAGTTATATAATACAAGAAAAGCACATAAATACGTTATATTAGGGGAAAAGCATTGCAGATACCATTTTGTGACCTGCTTAATTAAATATATATGACGAATATTTAACTTCATTACGTATTTTAGTGTTGACTACAAATCAAGCCAGTTGACTCACCATTTGCTCATAGATTTACAATTCCATATTATAATAATTATGTCACAAAGCTAACCTGTCCAAATGGCTCCCTACCTGGAAATCAAATGATTAGTATTCCAAAATTAATTTATCCGTTCTTTTTCATTGACATAGATATCTCTACATCGTTATAATTATAGCAAAGATATAATTTGGTAAATTGCTTTTCCTCTTTGTCTATTATCAGCATTTTCCATGTTGCTATGTAATTTTATCATCAGTTTTTAATATCACCTTCCATGGTTATGTACCATTACATGGTACAAATATGCTGTAACTAATCCTTCTCCTACCCTAGAATATTTACTCCGTGTAATAATTTATAAACAGATAATCATAAAAGTTTATAAATTGAATGTAAAGCGTTTAGCTTGTATTAATATAAAATGCATTTTTATTATTAGGCATTGTAGCAAACATGTGTACAAGTGCATGTAGGAGTTTGATCATCTAGGGTACATTCTCAGATCACGTCTTGGCCTTTTGGTGAAGGTCAAGCAAAGGATGCATTTCCAAAGCATACCTGACCTCGTCAGGGATGAGATTTTTTCCTACGCTTCTTGATATAGCAAACAGATACCAATATGCAATGCCATGTACAATATAGAGTGATTATATAATTTTCATCATATATCCACCATTATTAAGTATTTATTCTACATTTAATCTTTTGAATTCCTAAATATTAAATAATACCTGATTCATTTGTTTTTTCTCTTCCATGGTTTTTCCCCATGCCATAAAGAGGTACTACCTCCTTGGCAGAAAGGATAGAAGTTCTGTTCATTAACCCCCTTCTTAACTAACTCTGTCCCATGCAAAACAGCCAAGCTGTGAAGCAGCTGTTGAAAATCAGAGGCACCGGAATGGCTGATACAGCAGGGCAGGAAGCAGAGGGCAGGGGCGGGGGTCCTCTCGATGCCGTGGCCCCGGCAAGCAGCGTATTGCTCTTGCTCAGACTTCCCTAGGGGGTAAGAAGTCATTGATAATGTTTCCTCCATTTATTTAGGATGTTTCTTCAAAGCACCTCAGGCTGATTCAGGCAGATGGCCCTGATTCCCATCCCCAGAGTTGTGCCTGTATAGTATTCATTAAAAGGTCACGGTGATGATAGGCGCTCCATCCACACAGGGTCAGTCCTCTGCTGGCAGGAAGTAAGGTGCATCCAGCCTAAGGCCCAGGACCAGAATTACCGGCACTTTGTGACACCCAGTCCATCTTGTTAAGGCAGCCAGGAGGGATTACTTCGCAGGCCGACTAACTGCCTGCTTAGAGCCCCAGCAAAGTAGGGGCTCCAAGCCTTCACTTTTAAAACATTTAACCTTTGGTATTTCAGGAAAATTATTGGAGTTGTCATTATAAGAAAAAAATGGCACAGACACTGAGAGGGAAGTCATGGGCCAAGGTTGGGTCAAGGAGTCCTCCCCCCGGGCTCTTTGGAGTTCATGTTGGTTGTCAGGTGGTCAGCGCCTGGTGACTGGTCCATGTCTTTGGCTGATAGGTCGATCCTGGAGCCCCTTCTGGAGCGCAGGGCCTCGGCGGGTGCCAGAGTCGAAGATCTGCCCCTCAAGGAGGACAGCGAGAACCGGATCGGCAAGTTCAAGAGAAAAGAGCGGAGCCTGAGCAAGTCCCAGGTCATTGCAGAGAAAGCGCCAGAACCTGAGCCGATGGTAAAGAAAAAAGAAAAGAAAAGAAATGCCCCAGAGGTTTTGCAGGGCATTCCCTGTAGCCAGGCCCACCACTGCTCCCTTCATGGCTGTGCATTACCTCGCCACGGCTCTCCCAGCACCAGCAGCCTGGGCGAGTGTCAGCCTCAGGCTGCGCCAAGAAACGCGGGTGCAGAGAACCCAAGCCTCTAAATCCGTAATGGCGCAAGAACTCGCGCCCACCCCATCAACACGTGTTGGGCACTTGGAGTTGTGGTTCTCGCTACTATGTTCCATGAGTCAGTCCAAACGCTGTCACTTCTCTTCCATTAATGAAAAAATAAACGGTACTTGTTCTTCCATAAGCCACATCGAGTTTTAAGTGTGGCAAGACCAGCTTTCCCTGAGAGTCAGGTTGGCTCCTTTCCGACCTAAAAGACACAGTCCATCTGTGGTCAAAGTCAAGTCCACAGCTGGCCAGAAGACAGTCTGTGGTTCAGGGAGGGCCTGTTAGTGTCTTTGCCAGGGTGCCCACCACAAGAAGATGTGGTGAGCTTCACAGCGGCTCCTGGGGTTATGCCCTCCAACAAGCCTCCGCTCAGCAGGCCAGGGTGTTCAAGTGTTGATGGATCCAGCCGTCCTCACCACGAGAACGTTTTCTTGTCTCCCCCACCCCCCATACCAGAGCCCGGCCAGAAAAGCACAAAGGCCAAAAAGTCTTCAGCTGTTGGACAGTCGGCTAACACCGTTTCATGGTTCTTCCACTCCTCCATCAACGCCCCTGAGCCCGCCTCCACTGACTCCTAAAGCTACCAGGACGCTAAGTAAGTTTTCCTGTACTCAGATCCTTTATATTCATTTCACTGGGGAATGGAGTATGTTTATGAACCTGGGTGGTTTTTTACCCAAACGGCCACATGGTATATGAGACAACTGTAGAGCTGGTTTAGGTCAGTTGTAGTGGGTATAACACAGTGAGACTAAGTCCTCGCCAAACGAAGGAGCCCTCCGGTTGCTGGAACTCGTTAAACTTTTCTTTATACTGTTCCAAAGGGTCTCACTGCCCCTTGTCCAGCTATGAAAGTACAATGAGGGAGATCCAGGCAAGAACCGAGAGGAAGCCAGTGCCTTAGGAACTGCTGAGCAGATAGCCCTGTGCATTGTATGGGGAAGGGTCCCAAATGAGGACAAGAAATAGACCTGTTCCATGAGCTGCCTCCAGCCAGGCTTGGGGAACCAGCAGGGCACGCCACCTGAGGAGAGTCCCAAGGAGCCCTCGGTACAGAGGACTCCTGGAGGGGCGGTCGTGTGCCCAACAGGAGACAGTAGTCAACCCAGAGTTAGGAGATGGTCCGGCAGGGTTTCCCAGAGGAAGTGGGCGTTGCACCCTCGCAGGGGTGCCCAACCTTTTGGCGTCTCTGGGCCACACTGAAAGAAGAATAGTCTCAGGCTACACATAAAATATATTGCAACACGTAATCACAAAAAAATCTCATAATGTCTTAAGTAACTTTCCGATTCTGTGTTGGGCCACGTTCACAGCCATCCTGGGCTGCATGCAGCCTGTGGGCCCCATGTTGGACACCCCTGGATAAAACAAAGAGTTCAGTTAAATTTAACCAGTGTTTATAGACCACCTATTATGTGACCGACATTTTCTTAAGCATTTGGGCAAGGTCAGAGAACAGATGACACCCAAAGTCCTAGAAAAGGTCCTCGTCTTCGGCTTAAGAGTAAAAACTCTGAACAAAAAGTGGAATTTTTACTCAAGAACTTGGGAAGCCTTCCAGTGAGCAAAGGGCACGCCGTGTGTCAGGAGGGGTCAGAGGTCATGTTTATTCTGTCCACAGAAACCAAGGGCTAGGAGCTTAGCATTAGCAATTTGATTGGCTGGGTTGATTCCAGTGTTACCCTGACAACCAGAAGTTCCATGAGATTCCATGATGAATTCTTTCTGCCTTCATCTCCTTTTATATCATTTCTAGGCTCCCCATCTTTGCAGACGGATGGGCTGACGACAGCCACTGTGCCACCTCCCCCGCCCCCCAAAAGCAAGCCCTACGAGAGCCGGGAGAGGAACTCCGAGGAGGTAGGGGAAGGGCGCGGGCGTGGGCTCTGGGCCAGAGGCCATTGTGGGGAAGGGCGGCCTGGGATTCTGCGGACGTTCCGTCAGCAGGTTTTCCCAGAGCTGCTGTCACTGTGGTCATTTTTTGGTTCAGTTCCGAACCCATAATAGGGCGGCGTTCAGCGGGAAGGAACCCTATGCGGGTAAGGCCTTTTCATCGGGTGGAAGGCAGCAGAGCTTGTCTCTGTACCTCACCTGGGTGCAGGCTGGGGAAATAACAAGTGGGTTCTGGTTCCCTTTTGGAGAGTTTACCTGTAAGTGGCAGCCATTCTGGCATGGCCTCTGACAGGTTTCCTTCGTTCGTTCAGCAGATGCTGACTGAGCGCCTGCTTTCTGTGTGCCACGTAGCCAAGTGCTGGGGATGTAGCAGTCCTGGCGAATGTCAGGTTAACTCCAGGCAAACAAGGCAGGATAGATCTGTCTTACTTCCCTCTCTACCTGCCAAGGCTGTGGGGATCAGCTCAGATTCCCTAGAAGCTAACGCAGAGTGTTGTTGGGAGGGCAGAAAGGGTCACTGCAGCTCTCCTCTGTCTGCTCTCTCAGGTCGCCCCCCCACTGCCTGTGCGAAGAGAGGCCAAAGTCCCGCCCCCGCCCCCTCCCAAAGCTCGGAAATCTGGCCTCCACCCTTCGGAGCCTGGGTCCCAGTGAGGATCTCGCCCGTCGGAACCTCAGCGTGCCGTGCCGGACCTGGCTTCCAGGGGGCAGGCTCCTCCCCGCCAGCGCCCCTGCGGACCACCTTGCCTGCCCTGGGAGGAGGTCCCCGCCTTCTGAAGGATCAATGCCTGAGGCCCGCACCGTCTTTAATCCACCGGGATTCCAGAACAGAGCCCGCCGCCTCCTGTGCGTTTCTCAAAGAGAGCGCCCCGGCCTTTGCTTGGTGTCAGGCTACGGCGCAGGGCTACATGGTGACCTGAGAAGCCAGGGCAGTTTGTCTGGGCGGTGGCTGTGGGGCAGCCACAGCGGCCCCGTCCTCGGACGGATTTCTTGCTTTGCTCCTGAAAAGCCGTGCTTGAGGCTCGCCTTTCTCACGTGGACCTCTGTGATCTCAACTAACATTGGGAGAGACCGATATCAAGTCCTTTGGTAACTGAAGTTATCGTAACTTTCTAATGCCTACTGGGTCTTCTTTGAGAAAAAGAACACCTTTTCCATGAAGACTGGCTGCTTTCCAGTACGCGTGGCTGTCGTGATTGATAGACCGCGGACCCCGGAGAGCCCCGAGCTCCTGTTCCCCCGCCACCGGCACCCGCTTGTGTAAGGGGGACGCTGGCTGGGCCCCTCCCGGGGCCCCTCGCACCCCCCACCAGCGGCCCTCCCTGCGCGGCACTTGCTCCTTCCTCCTGTGGACTCCTTAGAAACCCTTTCTTTCGTAAACACAGCGCCTTGTCCCGATACCTCTTCTGAACTCAAATCACTGGATAGAAAGGACTTAGAAGACCGGGTTCAACAGTTTCCAGTTTCCCTTCCAGCCCCCACGTGGACGGCTCAGCAGTCCCAGCTGCAGCCTGGTTTCACCCTGGAGAATACAGTGCAATACTGCCTTTCAATGATTTATTCCTCTTGACTGTGCATTTAATTTGCTTACATGTTTATGGTACTAATGTAATTTAGACAATCAAATATTACCTATACACACATCAACAGCCACACCAAGTTAGATGTTTTGAGCTAGAAGGGCCTTAAAAGTTATACAAACAACCCCCTTATTTAGTAGCTAAGGACATGGAGTTTGATCACATAATCCTGCTACAGATTCTTACAGGACCCCGGCTTGCCCCATCCAGATAACACCTGATAACATTTAGATCCAGGAGACAATGCTGACAAACTCCCCAACTCCTGCCCTTAGTTGGGTCAACCATGGAAATGGTCCCGATATTTCTGCACTGCTTGGGTGTTTATAGCCAAGCGGACAACCCATGGACTGCGGGTCCCCTCGGGGGACCTGGCGGGGGGGCCCCGCAGGGCCTCTTCTCCCCATGGCCCAGCCCCTCTCCTTTGAGACAGAGCAGAGAGGGAGGTCCCACCTCTGGGAACCAGGCGTTGCGTTCCTGCGCCTGTGTTTTGTGCTTGTGCAAACACCCCTCTGTTAGGAGAGACGGATCAGCTCATCACAAGGTCAGGGGAGGGATCCCCCACGTGTGTCCCACGTCCCTCCTGCGTCACTGGGAAGTGGGTGAGCGACGGGCTGGCCTCCCTCCCCAGGAGACTGCATCGTGGGACAATGGACGCGTCCTGGGCCTCAGAAGTAAAACCAGTTGGTTTCAAATCATCAGACTCCCTCAAATCATGTGAAATTTTCTGACCTTTCATTTCCTCACCTCTCAAAAAAGGGAACACTTGCCACGTAGGTTGTGAGGTTCTAATGAGATCAAATAGGAAAGTCGTAGGCACTCACCAAGCGGTCCCTCCTCCTCTGCACAGCCAGAATACAGGCTGGCGCTCGAGGGGGCGGTGTTGATATTCTTTTCCTTTTTTTGGAAGACAATTTGGAATGTGAGGGCAGGTGAGTTCTTTTGGAGCCTCTTACCTAATTATTTATGACTAGAGACACAGCATTAATAAGGGCAGAAGAGGATTTTAAGTGGAAAGAGCTCAACAGAATGAAGGAAAGGCCAGGCTGGGCTCGGGGGGATCCTGGAGCCGCTTCTGAGAAACTGCCCCACAGACTGGCTGGAGGGGGTGCGTATGTGTCCACTCTCCGGGCTGCCATTAAATAGGCGCAAACTCGGTCACCGTAAGCATGATCCTTCAGAGCGGTGGAAGCGAGTCCTGCAGTCTGGTCCTTCATCAGAGGTCGGGGAACCTGATACACACATGCTAGGCACCTTCCTACCCCACCTTTTTTTTAATCCTCACTCAAGGACATTTTTTCATTGCTTTTAAAGACGGGGTGGGGAGAGGGAGAAACATCGGTTGGTTGCCTCCTGTACATGCCCCAGCTGGGGATCGAACCTGCAAACTAGGTATGTGCCCTGACCGGGAGTTGAACCCTCAACCTCTGTTGTATGGGACGACATTCCAACCAACTGAGCCACATAAGCCAGGGCCCTTTTTTTAATATAACAATTTTCCATATGATTCCCATTCCCAATTTATGGAAATACAAGGTCTCTCCATCCTGAACAAAATGGATTCCAGGTAGCACTGTGAATAATAGATGGCAGGGGACACAAAGGTTGGTCCCCTCGTGAAGCCATTGGGTAGAAGAGAGTCATAGTTGACAAAGGTCATGAAGAATGTGTGTCCTGAAGTCACAGAGGAAGGCTGCAAAGAAATGCCTTGATTCTATTAAGAGAGATGAGGGGCAGGGATAAAAAGAAAGAACTGGTCTTCATGTTCCTTGGGAAGAACTCAGGAGCATTGAAAGACGTTGAAATTAGCCCCGAGCTGTCACAACCTTTGTGAATGTGGGTTTACGAGATATGTTTGTAATCTCATCTTTCCCTGTGCTGGTGACTTTCCTTGCTTAGAGATTTTTTCTTTTCAAGAAGTGTTTCATTAAACACATATTAGGCTCCTATTTAATGCCACACGCTGTGCTAGACCCTGAGGACATCGCAGTTCAATGTCTTCAGGGAGAGCAGGCCCGGTATTGAAAGGCGAGGGGCGCTCTGGGATGGAGGTGCCTGGTGTTAAAGGGAAGTAAGTGAAGCCCTAAATCGGCTGCTGGGCCACGGGGCCCCCCTCCACCTTCACACCTTGACTCCAGAATTGTCATTTTCTCCCATCAGGGAGACCCTTAAAAACTGTTGCTGTCACACTGCAAATCCCTAAGAAAACAAGAGCTAAAGCAGGATTTGAGACCACAGTCTACCTGTTAGTTCTTTCCAAGCTGCAAGGGCGCTTCCCCTCCAGCTCCCCCTGATCACGGGGCCATTTCTTATTTTAAAATTGAGACCTAACTTTCATACACATCACAGCGTGCAGACGGGCAAAACGTCACCGTGGCCACACGCCTGCCACCCCTCTCAGATCCGGACATAACCGACCTCACATGCGTTCCTTCTTTCCTGTCACTTTGCGGGCACAAGGAAAAGGAAAGAGAACCCCCCCCCCCCCCCCCACCCCCCCCCCCGTTGACACAGAACAGTGGTGTACTTTTTGGTGAGTCATCATGAGCTGTGCTTGGGCCTTAATTTTCTCATGTTTAAAACGCACACACAGATGTGCGTTCCATGATTTTTAGAGCCCTGGCAGCCCTGGCTTCTGTTCTAAGAGAACGGAAGAGAGCCGGGAGGAACGAAGCTTCCGCAGGCGTCCTCGGTCTGTGCGCCGCGGCCCCGGGGGGACGTTAGGGTTCTGTTGGAGAAGGTAAGTTCCTCTTCGGGTCGGATGACAGTGGAACCATCAGTTCTGATCCCCAAAGAAAAAGTTTTCCTTTCAGGTTGATGGTTTCTGGCTGCTGCTTAGTAACCCAGCCAGAGCTGCCCTCTGCTCCCTGTGGGGACTCAGCTGTTGGGCCTGTTCTGCGTCGCTCGTTCACACTTTGTCGAGAGCGCTCTGGCCGTGAGTCTGTAAACCACTCGCATTTCAAACATGGACGGTCAGGAAGATGTGCATTGAAGCAGAAAAATTTTGTTGAGATTTTCTATTATTTATTTTTTAAATTAAAAACGGAAATGTATTTTAAAGTTCACTGTGTGTTTAGTTTATTATTACCCATACAACAATGCAATGAAATCATTCCTGAACTTTTTTTTTTATCGACACCCCCTTCTGACACATCACGCCCAGAGCAGCGTCCCTTCTGTCCCCTTTTCATTGTGGGTTCCACCATTTAAACTTGTCCTGTGGGGTCAGAGTGTCCTCTTTGCCTCGAAGCAGTAAAACCTTCAAATCATCTGGTTCTTCCTCGGCCCCTACCTCCCCATCCATCCCTTTGGCCTCTTTGCTGACCGGTTTTCTGATAACAATTTATTCGATGCAATAGGTTCTGTTTCTTTACCCATTCACCACAGACAGTTGGGCAGAGGTGAAGGGAAGTAAAGAGGCTAAAGGGAGTATCTAATAACTTACCCGGGAAGGGTGGGAACCGATTCTCCAACTCGGCTGAACAGTGGTAACCCCTGGGGAAGGTGCTACTCCCCAGGCCAACGGCCGCGGGATTTCTGAGGGTGGGGATGAGACCCGGGCATCTCCCCGTGTTAGCCCAGTGTTAGGGCAAAGTTAAGAACCGCTACGTAGGAGGAAATAACAGCTTTAGAAAATGGGTATCCAAGGTGTGTTTCTTAAACTCCCCGCTGGTGGCGGGTCCGACTGGAGGGAGCACACAGCCACGCCTGCAACGGGGACAGCGCGGCTGTTGGAAGTGTTCACTTTATGCATCAGCAGAGATTTTTAAGTGTTTCAACGCTTTCAAACATTTGCAATCTGTGGCCTCTTAGAGCAAACAATGCTACGCTCTGTGTGCGTAAGAATCACCAGGCACTTGTTAAAAATGCCGACTTTGAGTCTGTGACCGCGGGGCGCCCTTTGGGATCTAGGCCCGCACTGGGAGCGCTAGTGGCCCGTCAGCAGCTTTAAGTCCTCCTCCCCCACGCACGGGTTCTCGGCTTCTTCCCGGTCGTCTCCGGAGTGCTGCAGCTTCTGAAACTCCTGCCAAAATGGTCTATGTTTAACCACTTCTTTTTGTTTCTGCATCCTTTAAGGCCATATATTTTTGAGAACTCATCTAATTAAATCTACCACTTGTTACATTTCTCCTCCTTTTATTTTGAAAGGCTGTAGCCTTTTTTAAAAGCTGCAATAATGAATTAGAGAGCTCTTCAGATTCAGGAAATCTGAAGAGATTGCCAGTTTTAATAAGTTAGAGAGCTTCCAGTTTCAATAAGGGGGCTGTGCTTCCTCTGCTTCCCCTCAGCCATGTGGGCATTGGAGATCTAGGACCCCATATGTGCACGTCAGCTGCAAACCGCTGGGCGCCACCCAGGCCTCTGACGTCAGCATCGGGCTCCCGGAGGAGTGTCTCTGTGGCGCATTCAGGGAGGCCCTCGCTGGCTGCAAAGAAAATGCCCCAAAGACTAGCTTTGGCAAAGGAAACCCGTGACCCCAAACAGTGTATGAAATAAGTTGTTGCCTTCTTGTTATAATAGGTAAACTGATAAAAAGATTGTAAATGATATTGTGTAAAAAAAAAAAAAAGTTACTGAGTGAGAAGTGGGAGCATCCCATCCTGCCTGATACGTGTTGATTAATAAAATGCTATTTTGCCTTTTGTTCTGTAAAGTAGATTATAGACCCCGTGACTGCCGAATTTTATTAAAGGGGAGTGAAGTTCTTTGACTCAGTTTTAGAGATTCTGGAAATGGTGACACTTGGGAAAACTAGCATTGTACACTAATAAATAAATATTTGTATTAAAAAGAGAGCGCTTCCCCCTCCCCCCGGACACACACAGCATGGACCTGCCTTGCCCTGTCAGGGTGTGCGGCCAGAGAGGGGAAGAGGAAGATTGTCCCTTTGGTTGAAGGAGGAAAAAGGGCCTAGGTCTTTGCCACATGAACACGGGCGCAATTTGTGGCCATGACACCAAGCAAGCCCTCTGCAATTGGAGTTGTCCCAATGGTCTCAGAGTCGCTTGGAAGTTAGAGGGGTACACGAGAACGTTAGCGTCGCAGAGCCCAGGGCCTCCTAGAGAAACAGTCACCAGTGCCACTAAGCTGACACAGGAGCCTCAGAGTCCCGTCTCAGCTCCGATTAGCAAGCCAGCAGCTTCCGGGTCCAAGTGCACTGGCTGCTGTCCAGGCCGCAGTGCGGGTTGCTGACCTCAGAACCTGACGCCGCGCTGCGGGTCTCAGAAGCAAAGGGTCAGAGCCCCGGTTTCTGCATGTCAAAGAGAAGACGGTGATACTGACTTTCCTCGGTTGTTGTGCGGGATAGTGAAAATAGGTGTGTGTCTAGCACAAAGCCTGATGCTCTCCTTTGTGGAGAATGAAGGGTGGCAATGCTATTTGACCAAGGGACATGGAAACATCTCAAGTGTCCTTCTCAAGAGACAGCGGAAAAACCGGGCAGGTGGACACTGTTATTTTTAGGTCTCGGCCCCCTGACTCAGCGTGCACCACTCGCTCTGGTGGACTTGCAGAGAACACGTGGGCCAGAAGAAGCAGTGGGCTAGGAGCCGCGGGAGGCCTCTCCCCCGCGCCTCTCTCAGCATCCAGCTGCCTTTCAAGAGGGTTAGGGGCGGTCTGGGGAGGAAGCCTTGGCCATGCCCCATCCGTCTTCTGAAGGGTATGGTCACAAATGAAGCTTCAAGTCCATAGCTCCCTGAAGCGGGATCACCTTTTTTTTTTGGCCTTGGCCAATAGGCGACTATTGTCCTTGTGGTACAGGGGGGTGGCGGAGGGCAGCCCTGAGGTTCCTGGTCAACAACAGTGTTGACCCTGTGTCCTCTCCCCTCTCAGCTGCCCCCGTGGGCACGGTGGGAGGACTCCCCCGTGGGCTGACAGTGAACCTCCTCAGCCAGACAGAGGTCTGAGTTAGAGAGAGACTTAGTCAACACATAGGCCACTTTATTCCCACTACTTCATTATGAGGTATGTGCAACTTGGCATAAGAATTTCTGAAATTCACACAATTTACAGCTATTAAATGGGTCACAAATTTCGAAGTCAGAATTATACATCAGTATTGTCAATTCTTCTGGACCCATGGATTTAAATCTTCTTCGGCCCAGATTCCTCTTCAATCAGACTTTCCTGAAAAATATATGAGTAACAAATATATCAAGGTTGATTTTTACCGGCTGAACTTCATTAGGTTTTTAATACGTTATTTCTAAAATATCAATATAGAAAGAAAAGATCCATTTGTCTTGAGTTCTAGAAAATGCTAAGGAGGTATATAATCATGTCTTCTAAAGTTGTTTATAATAAAATCTACATTAGTAATTTCAGGACAGATGTGAGGAAGAAGGCGACAGGAAGATCCGATCTATCAGTTTGCTGCTAGCCCAGCCTAAGGGCCAGCCTCCTGTCTCTAACGTCATGTTTGGGACAGGGCAGGGCTTGCTATGTTTTTATCATGCAGTGAGCAGGATTAGAAAAAGAAAGGAAATACTGATGGCTGTCTGCTTTTCTCTTTTTCCTGTGGGTGTGGAAGTTCAAGTGAACTTCCGAGAAAATGAAACCTGCAGCTCAGCTTCCACGGGGCAAGGGCAGGTTTCCCTGCCCCTGGGCGTAAGACAGGTAACTGTCCTGCCTCCCAACTGCTGCAAGTGAGTGGACCAGGGAGCTCAGGGAACACCGACGCCGACCTCAAGACTCAATTTCTATGTTTAATTCTCTTCATATTTATTTGAAAATCAAAAGCCTACATGGGGTTACTATATTTGAAAATCTAATAATATTGGGTTCCTATGTTTTGGTTCTTGGTGAGAATTTGGAGACCGTGATAGTCCAGTCAGAAAACCAGAAATCACATATGTGGGTCTGAGTGATAAATTTACTAGTTTGGAAACTTTTATCCCAAAGGAAATTTTATAAATAAATTGGAGCACCATTTTTGATTTCTGCATTTCCTAGAGAAAACGACATCGTACCAAGAATGATGGAAGAACCGCTGGAGAGGCACGGTCACCCGGAGGAGCATAGCCAGGGGCGTAAGTGTGAAGAACACGTGGACATATTTGAAGAACTGGCATGGAGTGTGGGGAAGAAATTTGTCTCGTCCATCACACCCAAAGCCAGAGCCACCGTTAGCAGGTAAAGGTCACAGGGCGATTCCAATTCAGTTTATAGGTAGGGAAAAAAGGTTCCAACCCACGCACTGCCCTGTCCAACCACGGAAAGGGGGGTCATGAGACAGTGGGGGGCCGACCCAGGAGCAGCTCAGGCCGTCAGGAAGGGGGCCTGGACGCGCGCAAAGGCGGCTGCCCTGGCGGACAACCTACGGGGCGGGCCCTGTCACTGCTGCGACTCACCAGCGCTCCTTTCAGCGCCCGGAGGGCCGAGCGCGGCTGGCGGACGGTGCACTCCAAGCGCTGAGGCTCTGCTGCTGGGTCGACCTCTTTGGCTATCTGAGGAAAAAGAGTGTGATTCTCAGAGACGGAGGTGAAGCATGAAATGGCATTGTCCATTTCCACTAAAAACTGTCTATGGAGAATGAGGTCAAGGCGCGCGCGGGACTGAGAATGTTGCGGGACTGGGGAGGCGGGTTCGGGAGCGCCCGTCCCTCGGGCGCTTTCACCGGCTGGGTCGGGGCCTGGGGGCGATGGCCGTGGGCGGGGAGAGAGCGTTTCCTCTCTGCAGACGGTGAGAATGAAGCACTTCTAACCTCCTGAGGGGACAGTACACCAAAACGACAACGGTTCATAGTGATGAATAGGGTTGATTTTTATTTTCTAGTGTTTAGTAAGTGTGTCACAGTTAAGGGACACACTTGTGTGGTTGGAGCGTCGCCTGTCCCGCAAGGTTGTGGGTTCCACCCCCAGTCAGGGCACACACAACGATCAACCAGTGTGCGCGTAAGTAAGTGGAATGGCAAATCTCTCCTTCTCTCAAAAAAAAAAAAAAAAAAAAAAAAATCAATAAATAAATTTAAAAAAAGAGAGAGTTGCTTCCTGTACAATCTCTGTAAAGGAAACTTCAAATTCTGGAGCTTATTTCCTAATAAATTACTTTTATTATTTCTCCAGAAATAAACATTTCTTTCTAATGAAAATGAAATGGTTTTAAGTTTCTCCCTCTAAGTTTCCCATTTCCAGGCCTATATTAAGTGTCCCAGTCCCAAATCACTCATCCTTTAGGGCCCAGTTTACTTCCCATTAATTAAAACAAAACAAAACAAAACGAGAATTGTTTTTTATTAATCCACTGGCATTTTTTCGATTAACCAGATAACAAATATGGCCTCTCTCATGTAATCCTCACATGACCCCAAGGAATCACATTTTGTAGATTAAAAAAACCAAAACAAACAAACAAAAACCCCAGCAGCCTGTGCCAGTGCTAGGACTGGAAACCCAACTTACCTGCGATTAAGTCCAGCTGACTTTGCAGCGCGTATTTTGCCTGCCTGAGCGTGCGAACTCCTCCGCTCTAGTGGCCTGTGACTTCTTTGTTTAAATACCCATGGTAATAAAAGGAAATTACAGAGCATACCCTTGATAAGGATATGTATTCATAAGTTATAAAAATGTGTTGCTGACCTAAATCGTAGGTATTTTTAAATGATGAAATAAGAAAGAAAAAAACAAAAGCAGAAGGTCTAAGATTTTCTTTGCAAATCTCGAAGAGCCCACCGGCCCTGGGGCCCTGGCTCTTGTTCCTTTGGCGATTCTGTGCGCTCTGAGGGAGGCGCCCCGGGCACTGCGGCTCCCTCACTGCGTGCACCCAGAGTTCCCTCTGGGAACTGCTCCTTTGCCTGGCCCTGCTAGTCCCCATCTGAATGGAAAGCAGGAGTGGGCCCTGACTCTGTAAGTGTCTTGCCGCCCCCAGATTACTGAGGATGGAGTTTCGAGTGGCACCGTCTGGCACACAGAGAATGTTAGCGCAGTTACTTACTATACTTGGTTATGGATCCCAATGAGCCACGTCTTGCTTTGCAGGTGAGAGAGACTTACCTCTTGGAAAGAGTCCATCAGATTTTCCGCATTCCTTTTTCCTCCAGGGCGCAACCCGTAGGACCAGTGCTGGCTGGAGCAGCCGGCCACACACAGCGTCAGCAGAATGAGCCCAGCCAGAAGTTTGGGAATCGGCTCCATTCTAAGGAACATCCATAAGCAATCAAAATAGGCCCAGGCTGAATGAAAAGTAAAGACCTCTTTGGTGAAAAGGCTAACAATCGCTGGAAGGTGGGGGTGGGCGTCCTGTACGGGTTTCACACAGACAAGGAAACACACGTACCTGCTGGCTCGCCTCGAGTTCCCTAGCCGCCGGGGGACAGAACCGTTCTTTTCAACTAAACTAGTCTATTTCTATTTTCATTATTTATTTTGTTACCCAAACCCTGCGATTCCTCTTTTATGAAGTTCACCTTGTTGTCTCAACCTTTTCCCTTCAGTCCTTGGTGTTCAACTGTATAGTCCCGAGATCAGGGGAATCGGGCCATCTGCTCTGAGGAGCAGCTCCTCCTAAAACTTTCTGGCTGAAAGAGGGGTTTTTGTTTTTTTTGGTTTTTGTTTTTGTTTTTTTTTTGACAAATAGCTACATTTTGATTAAATGGCTACAGTAGATACTAATGACATTTTGCCAAGTGTCTGTCCTCTAGCCTTCCATGCATTAGGGCTGGCTGGACCATCTGGGAGAGTGAGAAGAGGACTCCACACTTTTCAAAGCACTGAGCCCCAGACCAGATGCTTCCCTGGCCAGGGCGGTCTCAGACTATCTGATGACGTGTGGAGTGTTCACAGAGTCTTCAGATTAATTTTCCTTTGGTGGGAAGAGGCTAAATACAAAGTCAAATACTGGTCGAAGAGCTGTTGCCATTCCCCAAAGGTTAGACGTCTGTGGCCAGGGCTGACAATGTCCACGAAGGTCAATGTTTCTTAGATACTGTCATACCTGGATTTAGCCTGTATAATATAAAAGCCCTGTAGACAGACAGCAGCATGCAGTCTAAAAAAAAGTGCTAGAAATACAAAGCATATTACCTGTTTGAGAGCAAAGAGCCCAAAGAACGCCAAGCTTCCTCTGGAGTATGTTGAATATTGTGCCTTTTTGTCTCCCTCGCTCCCTTTTTATATGAAACTTTTCCCAGGGCACCAAAATCTTTCCTGCTGGTAAATTGCACTGCACATGGACTAATTTTTAATAGTATTTTTTTAAATCCTCACATAAAGCCCTTTAATGGTGTTTGTAATTGGAACACCCACTGGTTTAGCTGTGAAATTTACTTAAATCTTTGCCATTAAAACCTCAGCTAAGACTTTTATAGCTGAGGCCACAATTTAAAGAGACTAAAAGCTAGCGAGGCTGGCTTCCCTTGAAGAAATTGACAGGCCTCTCAAGAGTCCAAGGAAAGTAGCTGTCTTAGGTTAAGTAATGTTAAATGCTCACATAAAAACTTCCACCAAGGAGGCCACGAGACAATTATCGAAAGATGTGAAGATGCCTGGGAGCTGGTCTCAGCTCTGAGATTCCTCATTTGTAAAAGGAACTGGTTTATAAATAGTAAGTGATTATTGGCACTACGCCAAGCCCATGTAGAACCCTAACGTATATTGTATGAGTTTGAAAGTCCCCCAGTCTCCTATCCACCGGGCTCCCTCCTTGACTTATCTCGAAAGCCTTCTATAGCACCAAAAAGGTAAGCAGAACCATTATAGTTAGAATACACTGAGCACAAAACCTCCTGGGGCAGACTTAGCTCAGCAGTTTCACCCATTTCAGCGAATGCTTACTTATCCAGATAAAATATGCACATCACCGGGCTGAAAGCGGGGAGCACAAAGATGAGAAACAATAGTTTCCTGGTAAGTCAGCAAGACGGACCTCACTCCTTATTGCCGGTCCTGCCAAGTGGATAATATCATCATCCAAATTTTAGAGACAGGTGCTTCAACCCAGCAGTGAGTCTCTGGACATGTTATTTACACCGCAGAATTATTTAATTATTTTAGAAAATGCTTTTAGAGGGAGGGGAAGAGAGAGAGAAAAAGGGGGAATGATGTGCCAGAGAATGTGGATTGGCTGCCTCTTGCTCGCCCCCTACTCGGGACCAAACCCACAACCCAGGCTATGCCCTGACCGGAAACCCAACCAGGAACCCTTTGCTTTCTTTGCAGGGCAATGCCCAACCCACGGAGCCACATCAGTCAGGGCCACGGGACAATTATTTAAAAGAGAGAGAACCATTCATCTTTATTATTTACTTGAATACATAATTGTCTTTCCTTAACTTACCACTGGGCTGTAACTCATGATGAGTAGAACATGTTAATAAATTCATAGCATTTAGTTAGCGCTCCATAAGTATAGGTATGAATAAGTGAAAGTAAGGATCCTTTAACCAGATTAAACCTAATGCTCCCTGTGTTTCTGCAAATATGTTTAATCTGACAAAGAATTAAAATTTCATGTAGAATCAGCTTTAATGACTGATAAATAGTAAAATGGCTAAAAATAACTGGGTATTTGCTCATTTTTGAGCTGGGATTGGCAGTTTCTCCTTGGGTAGGACACTAAGCCTGTCAGTCATTGCTCAGCGTCCTCAGGGACAATTACATTTGCAAGGATTTTGGAGCAGGAGCGAAGCCGCCCTGCCCAGAGGCACTGCCTTGCCTGCTCCTCCGTCTCCCCGGAGGCTGTCGCAGCCTCGTGAAGAGGTAGAGAAGGGGACAAACTTCAAAGTATAATTGCAAATAGAAGGGAATTAAAAAAATAAAACATACCTGATTATTTTAATTATTTACACACTTTGAATAATTTAAGGGCCATTTTGATACGGAGTGTAATCTCATCCCACTATAACAGGAAGGAAATGAAAGGCTGTTTTTCAACACTTCATCAAGTTTGAACACTGTCCATTTAACTTGTCCAACTGATTGCTTGTTTGCTCAAAGAGATGTGCTTCTAACTGTCGCATAAGCAGGTATGGTCTCTGGTTAGGACTTCTCTCCCTATTGTCAGATTGATCACTTTTCTCTGGTTAAGCATCACCGCATTTCTTGTGTATTTCTCTCAGTTGGTATTCAACTTCTGAATAATGTTTTGAACTTTTTAGATGAACACAGCCATATGCTCTATGAATTCATCACTATGCTTTATGTCTTTGAAGTCTGCATTAGTATTGTTGTAGGTCACAGATATGAAGGGCAAAGACCACATTTATCTTTCTATGGCATCAGAGAATCAAACATGCATCTAACAGAATTTTGGTGTTTAGTGACAAACTCTGAACCTTCTCATAGTTCCCAGGACAGACCTAAGTTTACCATGGGGCTGCATTTAGTTAATTGTGTTTCAATAATTGGATTTTATAGTTATCTTTTAAAAATTAAAAAATCTCCTAAATGTTAAAGTATGGCTTTACAGGGAAAATGGCTTCATTTTCTGCATTAGAAGAAACATCTTAAAATTCTTACAATGCAACGATGCCTTAGTCATCTTGCCAAATGCAAATCTTTTTCTGCCTGATGTGGAACCTCAGCAGGAAGCGCGTCTGCACATATCTATGCGTCAGGTGAACAGGTCAGGAAATTAACCCTGAATAAGGTGCTCAGCCCAGAAAACAAAGTAACTTTTTTTTGTAGAGCTGTACCTTTAATTTTTAAAATAATAATTCCTTGGAGATGAACACCAGTCTAGGGCTTTTCATATATTAAAGATGATTCAAAGTTGACCTGAGGGCAGATTTACAGTATAAGCAACCAATTCATAAAGTGGACTGGAGAAAATATTCTTGATTTAAAATGGTACCCTTCATAAGGAAATGAATTTACAGTTATTTCCTACTAAAATCCCTTTGAAACTAGTTGACAGAACTAGACTATATCACAGCATAACATACAACATCGCTCTGAACAATTGCACAGAATTTTAAATTTCATCAGTGGAGATAATCTAGCTGATTTAGGTTTAAAACCTTTTTCTAGCCCTTCTCCCCAACAACCTCATTTTTGCCTCTGTTTCATCACTAAGCTAATGGAAGTTATACCATTTTGTAACTTCAGAATGTGTTGGAGGGCGATGTATTTACACAGCCTCATAAAGCTAACTGGTAATGCTCATCTGCTAAGGTGTGATGCAAACTGAATGAATTTTAGAAGGCAGTCTTTCCTTTTTGTAAATTTCTTCGTTGTTGTGAGCATGGTTTTAAGGGGATCATAAAATAATGCTTAAACAAATAAATTTACTTTAATGGCACTTTCAAAGAACCCACAGTAAGTGTCATGCTGTATCTCTTTTCAAAAGCAAGACAAGACGCTCCTTTTCAACATTCCACATTGTTTATTAATGCAGTATACATGAGACCAGACCCTGCAGTTTCTGAGAACACGTTTAGCTCTTTCAGATTCTTCTGCACTCTTCGGTTATGTATACAGAGGTACCCTTCAGTGGATGAACATGTTCTATAATTATTGAAAATATAGTACAGAGTGAAATGATTTAAATATAATTTAGGCACATATTGATTATGAAAATAGATATCTCTTAATACAATACTTCTCTGTTTTGGTAAAAATAATAAAGCAAAGAAAATAATTCATTGCTGAAATTGCTTCCCTTGGCCTGTAAAGGTCTGACCTCCTCCCACCATGCGTATATACCCTTCCCTGGAAGGAAAGCTTTGCATATGTGTATATAGAAGACGAGCTACATAAACAGTAAAGACATGCCATCCTCCCGAAGGAGACAAAATGGTTTTTAACTATTCACTGTCTCAACCAGATGGGTCTGGAGAACTGAGAACCCGTTTGGACACAGCTTATATCCTGCTCTTGGGGGAGAGGAAAGGACACGGTTACCTGGTCAGGAAGGACAGGCCCTGTCTCTGCTGCGGCCGAGACAGAATGACCAGGAACATCGGGCTGACACACATTCAAACCAAACCAAACCAAACCAAACCAGAGAACATACGTACAAGAACCACAGGTGCTGACGGATGGGTATCACATTTTGGACCAGCCAAATGCTTGTTTCTATTTATGTTTTTTTTTGGTGGCTATGATCAAACAGTCAGTTTAAAATCCCCCATTCCACACTGTACAGGTTTAGCTGCGATTAATTGTGGTGCCTCCTGAGGGGACTTTGTCCTATCCATAACCATTCTACAGCTCCGCTGCAGTGGACTGACATTTATATCTGTTTTTAAGCTGGTCCTGCTTAAACTATTTGGCCATTAAAATAAATATTAGTAACGCACCTTGGGTTTTTGCTTTTGCGGTATCTTCCTGTGCTGGTTTTGACTACACAGGAGGAAAGGAGGCCAGCAGCGTCAGTAAATAAACCTGCCTGGCCTGGTGCTGAGTGGAACTCACTGAGAAGGAAACCCGAAGGAGAGCTCGCCTAAAAGCCCCACCCCGAGGCCCACTGGGACCTCAGCGGAGCATCACGGACGGTGATACCTTTCTTTCGACTGTCTCCGTCAGCAGGAATGGAGGATTTCTTTAATTTAGCTACTATTTTGTTTTTAAAAAATAAACCGTATAAAAAGGAATCCCAAGTGCAAGCCTCGGGGCGTTGGGCGCCACCGAGTTCGCACGGTGTGGCGGGTAAAGCCGGCGAGCCATCGCTACAGCTTCTCACAAACCTGAACAACCTCTTGAAAATGTTCATGAAGGTTCACAATTTAAATATCCATATACCTCTTGAGGCTCAATAAATACAATTGTATACGTTGTGCTTCTCATAAATTAAAATCCTCAAATTTCAAGCCAAGATGGTATAGTATTTCCACATCATGCCTATTTAAAAGCGAATATAATAGATACTATTCCTGGTCACAAAGCCAGGCAAACCCCTACTCCACTCGGAAGGCAGCACCCTAATCGAGCTTCCCTACGTCTATTGAATGAGTGCTTCTCTGGGAAAGTCAAAACATGGGAAAAAGTCACTTTTTTCCCTGTGCAGCGCTGAGAACAGGCATAATCCTCTAAATGTTTTTCCTTTTAATTTCCTTACAGTGTTATTTCTTCTAGACAGCTGAGCAGAGAAATAAAAGTGATAAGGAAAACATTTTTTGTCTTCAGCTTCTCCCTGCAGCCCTGAGATTCTCATCTGACACTTTGCGACATGTGTAGCGGCGTCAGCATCTCTTCAAAGATAGCGCCCTTCACGTTGGACCCTCGCAGGTTGGCCTCCTGCAGGTCACACCCGGACAGGTCGCAGTTCTGAAAGGCAGAAACAATACCCAAGTAACTAATACAGAGATTTAAGGCTTTACCTGTTCCTTTTCAACAATGACTCCTGGGCATGTTAGGAAAATGTTCCTAATAGAATAAAACTCAGTTATTTCTGGAAAGCTTCTGTTTCAGAAGAAAGTCAGATTTTCTTGTATCTGTATTTGTTCTCTCTAGTTGATGTTCTGGCTGACCATCACAAATACATTACACACATGCACACAGGTTAACAAGGACGCATGTCTCTTCTGATCATGTATTTTAGAATCAGTCATTTAAAATCCAGAATGGATTCCAATGTAGTAAATATTATCTAAACAATTTTACCACAACCCAAGAATAACAATGAGGCATAGGAGGGCTGGGGAGACTATTTTTAAAAATCTTAGAGAAAGATTTTATTTAACAACTAAACTGTGTAACAGATTTTTCCGTTCCTCAACCCCAACATTTTTATAGCAAGGAATTACCTTTTTTAATCCCCCAAATTACAGGTACAATTCAATGAGTTTTAACAAATGTACACAACAATGTAACCCCCGCCATCGTTGAAGCTGCTCTCAAAATTCTACTGAGATCTACTGAGATGCGACAGGGGTTCTGAATAAGTCCCTGGGGACAGTGGGGATAATGGTGAGAGAGTGGGTGACTGCACATAAGTTTTCAGGACACAGTGTCAGCAGCTTCCTCTCAACAGTTGACCTGATCCGTCTTTGCGATCGGCTGGGCAGAGGGAAGCCTGGGCTGTTTAACCACACTGACTACAGGGCGGCTAAGATCAAGGAAAAAACATCCCTTCAGGTAACAGGAACCAACAATAAGAAATTAACTAATTCTGCTTAACCAGGTTTCTATCTTCAGCCTTAGGCTGGTTCTTTTGCCTTTGAGTTGAACAGGACCTCCTACTCTGCTTAGAGCTATCAGGAGGACAAGACAAAAACATTTTTTAAAAAATCAACAGCAAGCTGAACTCTGATGGACAGCTCCATCTCTGCCAGCTCTTCTTGTACAGGGATAGGGCTGTACTGTTCAATGTGATAGCACCACACGTGGTCATTTCTATTTAAAGGAATTAAAATTAAATCAAATTTAAAAATCCAGGTACCACTTACACCGGCCATGTTTCAAGGGTTCAGCAGCCACGCGTGACTGGCGGCCACTGCACTGAGCAGGCGCTGAGCGCGCCCAGTACTGCAGAGGGCAGGCTGCCGGCCGCACCGCGCCCACACGGGGCCACGATAGCGCGGAGTCGGCTGGGAGGCCACGTGTAGAACACGGTGCTGATGAGTAGGATGACTGGGCCAAATTACAGCCTCACGCTGAGATTTAAAAAGAATATGATGCCAATTCAGAATAGGCTTTCCCTAACCCTGGTGTCAAACCTGGATATTGTTTAAATTTCCCAAGCAGTTCAAGAAGTAATTTGATCCAATTGTTTGAAATTAAAACTTAAGAAAAACAACACATTAAGTGAATAAAGCATCTATCAAACTTATCTCTGTGCGAAAAAAATAAGAAAAAGAAATGAAATCAACTTTGAACGTCAGATGAACCTTCTGATCCGGAACCGGCATCGCTGACCAGGTCCCGATCTTCCCCGGGACTTCACGTGGGTTTCAACAAGCAGCTGCCAGGTGACGCTGTCCCTCTGGCTGTGCTGGCCTGTCACCTGAAGTTTCTACCAGCCAACTACTTTATGACTTCAATAAATTTTGCGTGAGGTACAGTGATTCTAGAAGAAAACCTCTTTAAAAGTTGGGGACTCACCTCTAAATCAGTTCCTGCCAGAGTGGCTCCTCGGAGATTACAGTTCTTCAACTTTGCATTTTTTAAGGTTGCAACTCGTAGGTTAATTCCTGTCATTTGACTTCCTTCCATATCTACGCCTTTTAGATTAGCACCTAGAGTGAACATGTTTTGGGATTAGTTGAATTTAAAAAGTATTTACAGTCACTTAACTTCAAAACCACCGCAACAAGATGCAAAGGGGGAGAATGACAACAGGCGCCGTCTGTCAGCTTTTGGAAACGGTTCTGAACCAGGGATCTCAGTGTCTCGACCGACTTACGCGGACGCAGAGTTCACTGTTTGGATGTGTTAGCGCACAGCATGAATGGAGAATGTTTTAGTCTGTATTTTTGAGAGAGGACTTTAATTTGGTCTTATGATAATTAGCACTTTTATAATTGCCTCCATAAGTTTATGACAAAGGAGATAAGTGCTATGTCCTCTCGGTACGCAAGTAAATAGAGTGACCAGTGCACAGATACAATAAGGCAATAAGAAATTCACAAACAATACATTAAACCTAAATATGACAAAAACCGTCTGGATTTGTGCACACTGAAGTTCTTAGTTTTGGTCAGTAAGTGAGTATGTTGTTTTGTTTGCAAATTTAAGACGTTGACATCTAATTCTCCAGCTGAGGCCTCATAAATGTTAGAGGCTGGATCCCCTGAGCTGTCTGTGTTGCTCAGCGTGTGACTGCTCGGCGCTGCTGCCCGGTGCTCCTCATGTGGCGCCAGAAGGAAGCCACCCATGGTTATGTCTGACCCAGGACAATGGCTTTGCGGGGCTTTTTTCTTCACGGTTCGTCCTCCCCTTAGGAAAGGTAATTAGAGATGGAACCTCACCTTCTAAATTGGCTTTAAGACCAGAAGGATCTTCAAAATTACACTGTTTCAGGGAGGCCCCTTCTGCGTTAGAGCAGAGCATCTTGACTCCCTGGAGATTTGCACACTGGCAAAGAAAAGAGAGACGTCCATGTCTTAAGGTTCAGAATTTTGTTTGGAAAATAAAAAATTAGCTGAAACAGTTGTTAAACAACAATCTGTTTAACTGCCGCAGCTGGAAGTCTTTTTTCACAGAAATGGCGTGTTAGGCGGCTACGGGCAACCAGGAGGAGACCGGTCAGGCACAGAGTCCCACCCGCCGCAGCAGGACGGGCAGGCGTGTCCGCGGGCCTGGGGTTTTGCTACTGTTTTTATACATCCCATAAGGCGAGAAAAATGTGAGCTGTTCTAAAAGGGCTGACATTAGTACAGACGAGGGGCTGGGAGGGGCTGGCTCTGCGACAGGCGCAGCAGAGTGGCTGGGCGAGGTCTGCTCCGGGCTCCAGGGGCACCTGGCTCGCCCCTCCTTCGGGTAACCTCAGAAATAGCCACCTGCAAATCAATCCTGAAGTCCGGAAGGTATACAGGGACACGAGCAGTCTTTCACCAGAGCTCCTGACAGCTATTAATGGGCTAGCTTCTCTTTCTTTCACCCTCGAGCTGCTGTGATTTTAATTTAGAACATCTCAGAATTTTTCTCTTGTCACAGTAAAAGAAAAAAATAGAAAAGGGAAGAAAAGCTCAATACGATACACTGACAATTATTTTCTGTTCACAATAAAGACTTTCCCGATTGAACTCAAGACGGACTGAGAAGTGTGTTAAGAAATAGCTCTTTTAAAAGAAACAAGTCAACAACAGCATACCCACTTTCAGTGAAACTTCAAAGTGCGGATAAGGAAGCTGGGGAGTCCGAGCTCTGATACACCTATTTCTATTTTTATAAACCGCCCTGGGCATGACAAATGGCGGTTGAAGTGTACAGCGAAGGGAAACATAAGCTTGTTAGGGGGAATGATTTTCTCCTCCTTATTACAGTAGCAGTCAGTCAATGACATTCTGATGTTCAATCATGCTATGACTACCTTTGTTTCAAAGGTCAGAATACAAAAGTCAGTGGTTAAAGACAGCACCTGGCTACAAATCAGTAACAAGTTGTTAATCACGTCTTTTTGTCTTGACCATTGCCATACAACACTGTCAACCTTAAACACCCAAATCATAGTGCAAAAATACAGAGTAAAAAGCTAGAAAATGGATGTTAGAATTTTAAATTATGTCAATGTATCGCAAAGGGTTCAGTGCCATTAGGTCTGAATTTTGACAACTACTAGATAAGATAGGAAGCTATTTATAAGGGTGACATTAACATTAGACCTTCACAAAACTGTGACCATCAAAGTAGATATGAATGTTAAAGTGTTTAAAATCAATTCAGACACTATGTAAGTGATCATTGTAGTTGTTATACATAGAACAGAGAAGAAATCTAAAATGCTAAGGCTGATCAAGTTATGTTATAGCCACACCCACCAAGGACACCCTTGTCTCAGAAGTGTCACTTCCTTGCCCCATGGTCAGTTCCAGTGGAAGGGAGGTAAGCTACGGAGCACTGAAACCACAGTCAACGCACAGATGCACACACACCCCTTCCACACCTGTGCATTAACCCGAGGCCGTGCAGAAGCTCCAACTGACAGATAGGATAATGAGGCCCTAGAAGCACCAAATAACTAAAAGATAACTGGATGTTTTTGTACTGAAAAAATCCAACAAGACAGGAAGCTGATAGAAATAAATGTCTCCAGTTCCCTGCAATGTTCCCAGCTGAAACCGACTGTAAACATTATCACAAGTTCCCGAGGAGATTCGGTGAGTACTGCCCACGCTCAAGGCTGTACTGTGGAATCTCTCAAAGAAACAAACAGGTGAGCAGTTCCGTTGAGTTCTCTGTCCCCGCGCACAGAGAGTACGTCACCCTCTCGTGCTCAAACGGGAAAGCAGGCCACCGCCAGCGGCCACTGCGCTGCTGAGCCCACCAGCCCGCAGCTGACGGAGCTGTGCCCTCTCTCTGTACAGGGGCACTGGGTTTTGAGGACAGCAGTTGGGTTATTACTGTTATTTTTTTAGTATGATATTGGTGTTAACATTATGATTTTAAAATGGTCCTTACCTGTAACAGATAAACAAATATTTACAGGTGAAATAATGAATTGCTTCAAAATAATCTGTGGGGAGGTATAGACAGAACAAAATGGTTTACGTGCTGATACTTGATGAAGCCGAGTTACGGAGGTACAAGGTTGAGTTCTTCACACTACTCTACTTTTGTTTACGTCTGACATTTTCCAAATGAAAAATTCATTAAGAAAATGAGGAAGAGAAAACACATGCTTCTGAGTCTAGTTCCAACTCTGCGAACACACTAGCCTGGGGGCTTGGGCGAGTCTCTGGTTTGCTTCTGCCCGTGAGCCGGCCGGTCACACTCCAGGTCCCTCCCAGCCCTTACCCTTCGGTGAGTCTCGGGCGGGGAGATGTAACAGATGCCCAACAGCTCGCTCCTCGCCGCAGCTTCGAGGCAGCAGGCTAGAGCGAGCAAGGGCCGGCGGCGCACGCGGAAGAAACGCTGCGGCACCCCGCCGGCACCGAGGGTCGGCACGGGCGGGACTGCCGGACAGGGACGGCCCCTGGCGTCTCCCGAGAGGCGGAGGGCTGCACGGCTCCGGTGACGAGGCCACGCGGCCCGAAGGGGCAAACGGGGTGGGAAGCCAATGCGCGCGGCGGCTCCGCACTGCACTGTGCGCGCCACCGTGCTCCGTGCGCCCTGCGTTTTGCGGGCGCTGCGCAGCTGTTCATTAGCGGCCGCCGTCACATGCTGAGGACAATTAACAGTGAGCTTTGACTCTCACAGCCGACACGCTGTGGGCAACGCTCTTCAACGTAAGCCATTTCCATCCCTAGTAATTACATTTACAATTTTACAGCACACCAGTTTATCAAATATCTATATTTTGATCCTCACATCAGTTATACCATATGGATAAAACAAGTATTTACAGATGAGAGAATATGGTTCCGCTTCACATTTAGAAATACTATAATTAAACAGAACTCAAAAAGAGTTGTATTGAATGATCCAGACTATTTAAGATTTTTTCGGGTTTTTTTTGTTTGTTTGTTTTTTGTTTTGGGTCCTTAACCCAACACAAACTACCAACCAAGCTACCTCTTCACATTTCACTATTTAAAGATTAGGTTCTTCAAACCTTTTCTTTGTGCCGTTCATCTTTTGCTTATTTTGCTACCAATTTGATCCTTCATCATAAAATGGAATAAGGAGAGAAGAAAGAAAAAGAAGAAAAAAGAAAAGAAAGAAAGGTGTACTAGATGTGTATTGGTAGACTTTGTTACTAGATCTGACATAAGGTTCATGGAAAAATAGATTGTGACTAAGGAATAAAACGAAAATTATAAAATTTAATAAATATTTATTCAACTACTAAAAGCAAGTACTATATTAAGTGTTAATTCGAAAGACATACGAACTTACAGAGTTATGGGCCTTGGTATTAAGGAATCTAAAGTTGTTAGAAGTTAGGAGATTTCACTGTTGGTTCTACATGTATCATCTAACCCCAAATCAGCACAGGTAACGGTTACATACACACGTGCATAGACCCTGAGCACACACACCCCCGTACACATTCCTACATGTAAACAGACATACATACATATGCAGAGGGGAGGAGTGAGCCGAAGTTACAAAACCAACCCATTTCACTTTCAGAGCCTCAGTTTTTTAAGTAAAAGCTTCAAGAAAGACAGATGTAATTTTTGCCCTTTGAGAACGCGCCACAGACCAAAAAGGGAAAAGGACCTGCAGACACAGGCAACAGCGGGGTGACTGAGGGGAAGGGCGGTGTAAGGAGATCAACTGGTGATGGAAAAAATATATATACAACTTAAAAAAAGAATGCTCAATAGACTAAAAATTCAATTTCCTCTTGTAACAAAAATGATGCTTACGTCAAGCACTGATCCGGAGAGATCAGCTCGCTCAAGGTTTGCACAGCAGAGGTTGGCATGCGCGAGATTGCAGCGGCTTAAATTGGCCATTTTGAAGTTAATGTATCGAAGGTCCAAACGAGAAAGATCAGCACCACTGAAGTTTAAACCCTGAAATTAAAAAAACAGAAGCTGTCACAACATTTAAACCATCTGTTGTATTAAATTTAATTACTATAGCTAACCACCAAGTTTTTTAGAAGCAATTGGTGGTTCAGTCATTTGGAGTTTATTGCCAGACACAATCGAATGGAACACAGACACAGGGAATGGGTGTCCGGGGAACGGGCGGGAGAGGAGAGGGCTCCCGTTTAGCATGAGAATGCAGCCTGGCTTCTGAAGAGGGCTCTCTGTCAGCCACAAACCTGTTCACAAATATTATTTTTGTGAAACCTAATTATATTTAAATTATTTTATTAATTCGATAATTCAAGATGTCATTTTTGAAAAGGCAACATTGTGGTTTTTAAAACCTTTAATGCTATAAAACATAAAAGTAACTGCCACAGTCTAGCCATACATAACTGTACAAACAATTGACTTTTTATTTTATTGCTGAAATTTCTATGCATTACTCAAAAAGTTCTACATGCAGTAAAATTGGACCATAAAAAAGGCTATTACACATCTCTTTTTTGCTAACCATTTTGGGATTACATCAATGCTATGGCTCATAATTAAATTATATCTTGCATGAAGAAGGAAAATGAGGCCAAAAAAAAATCCTAGAAGAATGCAAAACATTACTCATGGATTTGCTGACACAAATAGCTCATGTAAAAGCCTGCTTTAAGTACCTGGCATCGCAATTCCGATTTGGTTGGAGTGGCTAGCAGAAATCGGACAAATTCCTTTCGAGATATTGGTGAATGATCCTCTGGTGGTTGAGAATTCTTGAAAAAAGATATTAAGAAATTAGTGGAGCATTTTGGGAATAGCTACAATAAATGTAATATTGGCTAGTACAAAAAGAGCCTTACCTTTATGGCCACTTCTAGCTGTTCAATCAGTGAGTCGATACCAAAAAATCTGGCTTCTTCTAACACACCTATCATAATAAAAATGATTTGACTTTTACAGAAAACTTCGTTTTAGTATGGATAGAACTGTTTACATTAAATTCCCACAATAAAAGAGAAATTCAACAAGTAGGCTATCAATCAGTATAGGAGAAAAATAACTCATGTTTAGAACACAATAGCATATTTTAAAATATTTGTAAAACAACATAAGTAGTTTACATTCAACAAAAGAAAAAAATGGAAAACTAATAGAATGAACGGCTTCCATATTTCAAAATCATTTCTGAAAAGTGCTTAAAAGAAGACACAGGGAAAAAATCCTTCTATCACACATTTAATTGATACGGTAATTTAATTGTGGATCCAATAAAAAATAATTAGTTCACCTAATCTTAACATTCCATTGACCTATTCCAGTGGAGCAGATCTGAATAAGTTTGTCACAAATATCTTATACTTACTGAACTAGGAAATGATAGAAATGATCAAAGTAAACTTCAAAGCAAAAGTCAAAAGTATAATTCAGAAACCTTTCTTACAGAAGAATCAAGTTTAAAAAAGATTTTTTAAAATAAAGCTTTTATTTATTTCTTAGAGAGAGAGGGGGAGGAAGGGAGAGAAACACACATTGTTTGCCTTTTGCACATGCCCAGACAGAGGACCGGGGACTGAACCAGCAACTTGAGCATGTGCCCTGCCCGGGAACCGAACCAGTAACCCCTTGGTTTGCAGGACGACACTTAACCAACTGAGCCACACCAGCCAGGGCTTTTTTTCTGTATCAAACTGGGTTTCAGAAAATTCATGTTAACTTCAGGGATACAGATAATGAAATGTTAGAAAAGTTCTCAAGCTAGTATAATAACTGAATTGAGGTGATTTTTAGCTAAAAAAATGAAAAAATGATTTAAGTCAGGGAAAGAGTGTTTTGAAGACAAATGAAAAAAAGTAAAAGAAAGACATGATTCACTGGAAAAAGTGAAGGTCCTTAAAGGCAGGGAATGAAAGAAAGAATAAAGGTAAACAAAAAACATACTGATGAGAGCATAAATTAGGAAGAGCAAGTAGTAAGATTGTTTAAGTGGGAAGAAGATGTATAAATTATTGTAAGGTTATTTTAAAGTGTTTAATTACTTGGGGTAACTTGTAGCCAATGTAAAAAGTTTGGTGGGAATTGTACTAATTAAAAACAACGCAATGTAAGATGAATCAGGTGAGAGCTCTAACAACTGAATAAAAGAGCAACGGCAGAGAAACGCGAGACAGGAAATAAAAGCACAGCCCGCACCACCGTGCGCACGGAGTCAGAGGTGGCGCAGGCAGGGAGCTCTCAGCGCGGTGACACTGGGAGCCCGAGGAGCCCGCAGAGCACCCAGCGCTGAGGTTGGATGCAATCAGATGGGGGGGGGGGACATTATAGCGAAAAGCAGCACAGTGACACAGCTGCTGAAAAGAAAAGGTTTTGTAAAACCTGGTCATTTTTATAATAATCATTTTTGCATAATGGCTAAAATAAAAACGATTTACAACACAGATTGTAAGCTAGCAGCCCTGGAGGCTGATTGTGGCATATTTAACCTGCAATGTCTTCAAAATCAGATTTCACTGAAATTTTAGATTTCCAGGCTTTCTTTGAAAGTATCAAGGCTCTGGCACCTGAGGCCCAAACCCTTGGCCACATTCTGTGGCAGGTGTGTAGGCACATACACTCCCCACCATGCCTGAAGCCACCAGATCGGTGACTTGGAGGCCTAACCTCTGCAGTGCGGCCGGAGGGCTCGGCGAAGGACAAAGGCATCTGCCTGCACTTCTCTCTGGGAGAGAGCTTGCTGCCTTTCCAGCCCTCACCCTGAAGCCAGATGCTTCGGTTCCTCCGGTTTGTCCCTGGTGCCTCCCAGCTGCTGTGCCTTGAGTAAGCAAGCCTGCACCCCAGGCCCTGTAAGAGGACGCCTGGGTCGGAAGCACGTGGCCCTTCCTCCCGGGTGGGAGGAATCCCGCTGATTTTCACTGTGCCCAGTGCCGGTGCTGGGTGGGGCCCTCGCGCCTCAGGGGGGCTTTGGCAGCAGAGATGTCCCTCCAATCTGTAACTGCCACACGTGGGGTGGACCAGCTCGTCTCCTGTTCCCTCCCCTCCGCACAGCCTTCCTGTGATTTCTTCTTTGTATCCTTACTCATGGGCGTTCTGTTGAGCTGGTCTTCCGATGGCATCGGGGCGGCGGTTCTCTGCTGTAGCTGTCCCTCTGATGTGGCTGTGCGGGGTGGGGCATGCGTCCGCCTCCCCCTCCATCTTGACTGGAAGTCTCTATGCGTGTATTTTTAACACTCCAGGGGGCGCGGAGAGACTCTCCCCAAGACTGTCTGCCTGTGCCTCTATCTATTTCTACACTTACAGGCCAGTGATTTTCAACCGGTGCGCCCCAAGAATGTTTAACACATGCAATCCCTGACTATTTGGTCAGGGGCACTGACCGCTTTTCCCTTAGACTGTCAAATAAAAAAATGACAACAGCCAACACAACAACAGCCATCTGGTGTGACTGAATCAGAATTATACCTATTTTTTTTCAGATTGGCAAAAAACATTTTTTTATTACTGCTGTATACACTCATGTACAGCTGACCCTTGAGCAATGGAGGTTAGAGTATCGACCCCCATGCAGTCAATGATCTATCTGCATATACCTTTTGACTCACCCAAAAGTTCAGTTGTTCTTGGAACCTGTGGGAGACTGGTTGCAGGACCCCAGCGGACCCCAAACGCCGTGGGTGCTCAAGTCCCTTGTAAAGATGGCACGGAACAGTGCAACCATCAGCCCCCCACAAGCAAGGGTTCGCAACCATGGATCAAAAACACTGGTTTTGGTCTGCCTTTGATCAGCGTTTGGTTGAATCCGAGGACGTGACCCCGCAGACCTGGAGGGCCCGGCGCGCCCCTTGCTGCGAACACTGCACGCGGAGCGGGCCCCTGCAGCTCACACGCGGCGCTCGGGGGCCGCCGTGTGAGGAGGGCATTGAGGCGCCCCTTCAGTTAATGAAGATATACTAAGTCACTAAGCAAGTGAAAACGTAATAAAAATCATAAGCTTACAAAAATGTGAGGAATTATATCGAAAACTCACCCAGTAAATTAATGCCATCGTTTACAATGAGCTGTCCGTGACGCAAGTAGTTCAAAATGGGTTCAAAGTACTCAGGGCTTCGGTCAATTAAGAAAGCTCCTCTGTGATCTTGCTTATTTCCCCAGGCACCTGTTATCATTGAGATGAAGAAAGCCCCCCATAACCGAAAAACAAAGTTAGACATTTATGAAAGAAAAACTGGGTAACCTAACAGTAAGTTTTTACTTTTGTAAAAAAATATCGGTATCACTAAAACGAACGGGAGGACCAGAGACTCACAGTCAATGCGGCTACAGATAGATCACACGAGGCGGGAAAACGACGCAGGGCACTCACCTTTGTCCTTGAACATGTGCGCCAGCATACTGTCGGGCTCTTTACTCACTAGGGTGCTCCTAGGAATTCAGGGGAGAACATGGGTTTCTCCATTTGTCTTTATAAACAAACATGTTTAAGTCAAGAGCATACTCGATCCTAGCTGCTCTCTCGGAAAGGTGCATGCGGTGTGGGGACAGAAAGGTGCCTGCTCTAACCTGGTGGGGCGGCGTGGGGACAGAAAGGTGCCTGCTCTAACCTGGTGGGGCGGCGTGGGGACAGAAAGGTGCCTGCTCTAACCTGGTGGGGCGGCGTGGGGACAGAAAGGTGCCTGCTCTAACCTGGTGGGGACAGAAAGGTGCCTGCTCTAACCTGGTGGGACAGAAAGGTGCCTGCTCTAACCTGGTGGGGCGGCGTGGGGACAGAAAGGCACAGTGAGTGGCCGTTTGTCAGAAGCCTTCTAAATGGGCACTCCCTTTGACTTATATACTGTTTTAGTTTCCTTTAAAAGCGAATCTATCCATCTAGCAAGCTATTATAGCACAATCATCTTAATCTAAACTTGTATTTTCTTATCCCTTACTAATATAAGCAGCTGTAGTCTCGATGAATTTCAATAGTATTAACTACTCCTTGCGTTGCACATACCTTAGTGAATACCTAAAAGGCACGTTCTAAAACACTGAAATCATGCTTTTCATGCCTTCTCTGGAAGGACTTGTAAACCGAATTTCTTTAATTTAAAAGAAACTCTCTAAAAAATGGTTTCCAATCACACAGTATATTTAAGCAGCATTTCAGCATCTTCTAAGGAAATCTGCATACGCAAGAACAAAAGGCGCACAGGGCCCCCGACAGGCACGCGCACCTACCGCGTGGTGGTGAAGTACCGCCCCCCAACGTTCAGGGTGAGCCAGTCCGTGTGAGAGCCTGACAGCCCTTCGGGTGGTTTAGACTCTGTCTGAGGGTCTGCCAACGACATGTAGAAAAGAAGAAATACATTTACATTTGGGATTTGAGGAAAACGGCAATAGCATGATTTTTAAAACTAAACACACACATAAAGGTGTACCAGCAGTACTAGGACAGCAAAGCCCATACCCAGAGACAACATCCTAAAACAGAACGAGGTGGTAAGGTGTTCCCATCAACACCAACGGCTGGGAGAGCAGCATGGGGTCAGCATCTCCGGAGGAAGACGCTCAGGGCAACAACAGGGTATGGGGGTGAACCTAAGAATTCCAAAGGAACCCTAAATACTCACTTCTCAGCTCGGCAATGCATTTGAGAAATGCAGACTGAGAGTGGGAGGGCGAGGCCCACTCTGACCATCAGTGAGGCAAACAGTTTGCAGTCAGAGCTGAAGAGGGTGACAGGGAATTCTCAGAACCCACAGCCAAAGGCCAAACGCCCTTGCAGGACAAAGTCCCACACTGCACGCAAGACGCTGGGAAAAGAAGCCAAGTTGAACGGAACAGAGACAAAGAAAGTGGATTATAGCTAAAAGTCAGAAAGGTACAATAGTGTAAAGAATCACAATATATCAGAAGATGAGTTTTGTATTTTTTTTAACACGTCATAAAAACCACAGAGAAGGGAACTCTAGAGCCATGGCATGAGGAATCTTTCCTCAGTCGGCCCTCCCTTCTCAAGTTGCGGAAAACTAAGTTCTCATAAAACCGGGCAACAGAAAAGGACTGAGATCAAATTCCATGTCAAGTTTTTAAAAAGCCTAAGAAAAATTACATTCCTATGAAATGTGCCAGAAACAAATGCCCACAAAATAGATAAAAAAACAACCTAATAGTCCAAAACACTCTAAAAGAAGTGAATAACAAATAACAGAAGGTATGAAAGAATAACATAAACCAGAATTACAGAATTCAGAAATGAGGTGAGAGAACTCAGGAGACAATGGGAAATAAAAAAGAAAAACAATTTTGGAAATGAAGACACACAGGAGTAAATAAACACAAGAGGTAATGCCTCAAGTAAATGTGTAATTATGTGACATTATTACTCTCTCATTCCCAATGTCCCTGAAAATCAAGATTACTGATATGGAAGAAAGGAGATGTAAGATAGAAGTTAAATAAAAATCTTACAATCCCGTTACATACCTGGAATATTAGCATGAATCCATGAGATAATATGACACATACTATGTTATAGATGAAGGTTTATATTATAAAGTATATATACACCCACACATTTTTTATCTGGCTAGCATGTATTTCCAACTCTGTCCACTACAAAGCCTAGAAACCACGGTGAACCTCACTAACAGAAATCAAGGCTTCTTGGAGAAATCACTAGTCGGGACCTAGCACAGAAGTGTAAGGTGAACACTTTGCTATCCCAGACAACAAGGAAGCTATAGGAGACCAACTAGGTTGTGTTAAAAGGCCTGAAGAGGTTTCCCCTGCCCCAGAGCAGGATAATCCAGGTGTCAATTAATGCAGAGGATGAAAATATACCAAATATTTTTAAATCCAAGAGTTCATAAGGATAAAACAAAAACGAACACCAACTGACCGCTTTTTATTCTGTTGTTGTATGTATGCAGTGAACCAATTCAGTGACCCCTGCCTGCCAGCCAGAGATCAGAAGAAACATTCCGCGCCCAAGCAGGGAGGGCGGGAGCGCGCCCTGGCTCCTGGGCGGGAGGCTGCCCGCGCGGTGCTCCCGGGAAACACCGCCACTCGCCAACTGCGGCTGCGGCGATGGCTCAGAAAAACACCAACGCGTTCAGGGTGTGAGTGCGTGGAACTACAGATATCAAACACTTGTTAGAGAATATTGGCTGTCTTTAAGCCGTGTGCAACTGTGGAAGCTTTCTGCCGAATCAAAGGGCAGCGTAGGCCTGCGTGCACGCGGGTGTGGTCGACACCACGTGATTTTGACGGATGTGATCTGGCCACTCCCGAGGACGGCCAATCGTGACTTCCGCTGCAGCGCATGCTTAAAAATATGTAACAGAAGAAGGAAAACGTGACAACTTCTGCGAACGAGAAAATTTCAAAACAATTGTAGTTTCTACAACCCAAACTGCCCTCATGTGGATACCCTCATGTCATAGATAAGGAAGCTGTACACATCTAGAGCATTTTAAAGGCATGGAAAACATAAGGTATCCACAGTAAAATATAATCTACAATTCAAATAAAAAACTTCACACACACACCCAGTGCAGAATCGAAAAGGGTATGAAGATCTGAATACTACCACAAAACACTTTTAATGGTAAGCTAGGTAACAGAATGACATCTATTAACCTTTTTTTTTGGCAGACAAAATTGGCTGTCAAGGGAGTCACTTACCGATGAATGGCTCTCCTTCACACACAAACAAAACATCATCATCCCTGGGGGAGAGCAAAATGGAAAAAGCCACCATCAAAATGCAGAAAGCACACTCATTGTCTGCTGAACACAGGAACTGTTCCCCAGGAGTATGCAGATGAGACAGGCTTTGCTATCGATCTATAGTGTAAAATTGACTATATTAAGTTCCCAGTGCCTTCTTTGTTTAAATGCGACTTAACAGTTTTTGGATTTAAATTCAAGTAAGGTCCTACGCATGAACGTACTTTTGAAATGGAAAACAAACAAAAGAAAACAAAACCCACTATACAATTACTAGAATTTGGCTTTCCTATAGATTGAAGGATGTACTGTTATGTTCCAAAGGTATGATTAAAGCCAGAGCCAACTCTTTTTTTTTTTTAATTTTTACTTCAGTTCTATAATCCTAAATAAATTACTGGTTTTTCTCCCAAATCATCAGCTGCTTTGCACTTTGGAGATGAAAATAAACTTCTGTATCAAATGTTGAAAGAACACAACTAAAAATAACTGCTGTGAACACTCACCTACTCTACACCCACCACTCCCCTCAAAAGGTAAGTGACCGGCACACAACCCGCAGTCCTGGGTTATCAGCGCCCGCCCTCCCACCGGCCCCAGGTCCTGCGGTCACCGTCCAACCCGGAGGTATTTCACCCTGCGGGAGGCTTGTGACCTTCTGTGCTGCAGGAATGTTTATTTCCTGTAAAACATCACAGGGACTCACTGAATTTTCCTCAGATGCACAGTCTGTGCTTGTTAAGAAATTCAGGTTGATGTAAATCATTCAACAACGTGACTCAATTATGCATAAAAACTGAAAGAATCTGGAAGATATTGAAAACCTAAGAAATTCTACTTCATTTGGATTTTAAATCTGTACCTCCTAAGTTTATAATCTTTGCTACTTGCTCACTATGCCAGTTAACTTTTTAAGACTAGTATGGAATTCATTTTCTTCTCATTAACAGAATCGACTAGTAATTGTAGGACCTATAAGTCATTTAACTTCTTTTCAGCTGCCGAAGTTTCTTCATTTATAAAATGCAGGACTAGAAGTGATTAATTTCAAAGGCAGAATGTATAGTATATTGAAAAGCCATTCTGACCTGGAGTTAAATGAAAGTGAAACTGTGAATACTATTATAATACAGAGCATCACTCCATCAATTTTACAAAACCCATGCGCTGCCAGTGAAATGAGACAACATGGGCAAAGCAAATGCAACACGCCTGGCACACGGTCAGCGTCTGCGTTCCCTTCCCATCGTTGTTAAGCCTCAGAATTTTCCGACTCCATGAGGATGGAATGAGGTGAACTAGATACTTGTTGTAAAGAGATTAATTCTGCCTGGGACATTTAAAAACCAAAACCAAAAAGCAAACCAAAACCACTATTGTGGTGGATCACTGATGAGTTAACTCCGCTTAGCAAGTTCTCACCGAAGTAGATCTCTGCAATATTTATAAAACCCAAGGCATTTGTAGGAAATCAACTGAACAATAAGAAGCACATAAATTAAAGAGACCAATTAGATTTCTAACGTTAAAAAATGCATGTCTTCTTAGCTCCATCTCTAATACCATAAGGAAATTTCGCATAGCCATATATGACCTATGCAGAAAGACTATCAATATGTTGGAATATACTGAGGATTTTCTATCTGATCTATACTCCCTAAGTTCAAATGGTTTAAATCCCAAAGAGCAAATTCTAGGCAATCATTTGCCAAAATCCCTAACTCTTTAACAGTGATGAAACCATTGCATCAGGGAAATTAGCATAGCACCAAGAAACTCAGAGCTCATGGTAGAAAGCCTATAAAAAGGTGAAATTTACCTGATCAAAGCAATATCATCAATCAGTCCTCCTTTCCCATTATACACACTAGTGGCTTTTATGCCGAGTTTACTGCTGGCCACAGAAAGCAAGTCGGATAAAGTTCCATATACAGCGACCACCTGTAAAACACACCAGATTAATTTGAGCAATTTACATAAATTTTTCATCATTCATAAATTACAAGCCATCACACTGTAAACAGGACTAAAGTATTAGGTTATGATGTAAAAGGAGATTTTGAGAGGTTCTTAAGAGTGTCCCTTTTTCTTCTATGACTCAATGATTTACTTAGTGCCCAATATTGCTGAGGTCTGAGACTGGAGAATCAGAAACTGTGCCTGAGCGAAAACAATCGACAGTCACCAGGCACGTGCAGCGGCGTTCCAGTCCTGCAGCCCCGCACTTGACCGTGGAGTCTGGCATGCCCAGCTGTCTGTTGGCCTGAGACAATCATTTAACCTCTTTAGGCTTCTGCTGTTTTCCCCGGAAACGAAGAGAACTGTCACACCTGCACCAGAAGGAGGTCGTGAGGATGAGAGGAGGTGATGCGTGGTAGGAGCTCAGCCAAGTGCCTGAGACCTAGGAAGTGTTTATGATGGTTTTACAGCATTCTTTGGCCATAGGAATGGTGTGTTTTTAAAATAGGAATGATTTACTGTTGTTTATTAAAACATTGATTACATCAACTGCCATATGAAAGGTATGAACTTCCCACCTCATACAATTCTTCAGTAACTACTTACTTTACAAAAGCCAGACTTTAGCTCACGTCTAAACACGGCAGCTGCAGGGCCTGATCTCTGCAGCCGATGCGATCTGTCCTGCTTTCGGTTAAACAGTGCAATATATGGGCAAGGGATGTGCAATTGGTTAGCGCTGAGACTCTGTATGGGCAGTGAACTGCTTGCTCCAGCCAGGACTGTAGCTACGGGTTCGCAGAGGCTGAGCTGTGCAGCGGTACCATTATCAGTTGGGACTTCCCAAAGTTGCAAATAAGAAGCAGGTGAGGCGCTGAACATAAAGCAGCACTCCCAGCCATCTCACTTCCCACCGGATGCGGGATAAATGGGCCATAGAGAATGAGAACCAGGGCTGGTCCTTGGCTCACCAGTGACTGGAGTGCAGTTAATTTTTAGTTAATGAGTGAATTGGTTAGCAGGGTATGGAGGGATTTGTTTATTAGTAAGGAGGGTGCAGTCTTTCAATAGCAGAATACTCAGATTCCAACTGTTCTCCCTTGTATCATAAGGATGAAAAGCCGGAAGGGTTGCAAGCTGAGGCATATTGGGGAACGGTTGCAGGCGAGCACAATTTAAAGGGGACTACGTGGATTATTAAAATAATGTACAACCCAAGGGTCCATAAAGAGATGAATGGATAAATAACGTGTTATATACATACAAGGGAATATTATTCAGGTATAAAAAACAATGAAATTCTGCTACATGTTACAACATGGGTGAATCTTGAAAACATTATGCTAAGCAAAATAAACCAGATAATTAAAAGGACAAATATTGCATGATTCCATGTATATGAGGGAGTGAGAATGGGCAAATTCATAAAGACAAAGTAGAATAAAGGTTACCAGGACAGAGGGGAAAATGGAGAGTCACTGCTTAATGGGTACAGAGTTTCTGCTCCAGATGATGAAAAAGTTTTGGAAATAAATAGCGGGGAGGTTATACACATTTTGTGAATGTACTTAATACTAATAAATTATACACTTAAAAGTGGCTAAAATGGTACCTTTTATATTATATTTTTCCACGATAAAAAATCCAAAGCACTTGGCAGTGTCTTGCATACAGCAGACACACCATAAACAATGGGAGCTTGAATGAAAAGTGCCCCCTGTAATTCCTGCATTGTTCACCTCTGTAACAGAGCCTGGGGGCCTAACCTTTATGGCATATACATGTTCCTGGGAGAAAATGAAGAGAAATAAAGTACATAAGGTATGTGTACAGGGTGTGAAGAGGGAAGACAGAAAAAAGAATTAAAAAAATGCAAAGGAGCAAGAGATTGCCCAAAGCAAATGTGAAACAACTTTCACAGTCTGGAAAGCACTATGGGCGGGAGGTAAGAAAATCCTCCCTTTCAACATCAGCATCCTTGTCATAGCTGTCACTACGCTAGAATCTTCTAGATAGACCTTTCTCTTTCTCCCCGTATTTATTTCTGCTTCTTGTACATCTCTACATGGCTTTATTTAGCCGGATTACGCCCTTTTTCCTCCCACTCACATAAACTTTCTCTTCAGCATTTCCTTTCGTTTCTCCCTCCATTGGCCATATCATAAAATGGGTGCAAACTGAATACATTTGTCTATATAATGCACTTCTATTTAAACATTAGAGCGGAACACTGTACCTTTTCAAAAACACACAAAATTGAATAGTTTTCTACTTCCATATGACTGGCTTATCATTTTTCCTGTGGGTCAGTTGTCTCCTATTGAGAGACAACTAAAAATAAAGGCCACCCACCTGTTCTAAAACTGCCCTGGCTAATTTGGAAGCCACTAGCTAAAAGAAGCTATTTAAATTCTAACCTGTTAACATTAATTAAAAATTAAAACTCCGTCCACCCATCACACTAGCCATATTTCGGCTTTCACAAGCCGCATTAGCTAGTGGTTACCATACTGAGCGGTGCAGGTGTGGAGTATTTCCACCCTCACAGACTCCCATTGGACAGCGCTGTTCCAAAGAGCAAAGTAAAATGGAAAACAAAGAAATATGTTTCAGTCCTGTTCGACTTGACCATGCCATAGCCATGCACAGCAACACCGTGAGGGAATCCAGCTCTGCAACCTGTTTGTTTTATTCGAAGTGTTGAGCAGCTGCCCTCTTCCCCTTCTTCCCCACTGAAGTCAAATTTGATTGTAAGACAGGAAGAAACCCTGTACATAAGTTTTGCAATTTTCAGGGCAATAAAAGCACAAGGAGATTCCTTGTAGGTTGCAAAAGTAGCTACTCAGGAACACATTCTAAGTATCAATTGAGTTTAATTTTTAATTTATTACCACCACAATCGGCCCTAATATAGTATCAAACACAATTTGTCATTTGACTGAAGTATTTCCTGATCTGACTTTCTATCTAGACTAAAAAGGTTAAGTGAAAAGGTTTTAATTTGTAAAAAGCCAAGCGCCCCCCTCCTCTCTGTAGGCAGATAATAACCACAGCCAGTTCAAAAATGATCCACTTGATGAAATGTTACATTGCCTGGCTTATGGTAGGCCTTTCACAAATATTTCTTAAATTTGGATGAAATTTTCGCTGCTTTCAGAGTGTTGAACTCGAGTGTTTCATTGCTTTTTGTGTGTCAGTTATATTTAGTTGTCTTCTCCACTGACATACTAAGTTCAAACACAAAGTACACCGTATAAATGCAATTATAGATGACATTCATGAAACTACTAAAAGTGGCTGACTTCGGATAATGGAATGGCTGACTTATTTTCTTGTGAGTTTTTCTGTTTTGTTTTCCAGATCTGTTACAATAATCTTGGGTTACTTACTCAATAAAGGTCTAAAGTTATAATCTATTGTAAGGTCACCATTGCTCTAGATACTTGTTTTTGAAATAAAAATTTTGTTTTGCATTGACAATTAATCTAGCAATTGACAATACCCTTTAAGTGAGATAATCAAACTAGATTATCAACTAGATAATAAACTAGAGAAAATAAAATTTAAATTAATGCAAAGAATCTTATAATTCTGTAAATTTGAAAATTTCTCTTAAGTTGAACCAATGTATCTATTCTCTACTTGGAGGGGATTCTTGGCATGTTTTTCAACCAGATCGCTTTTCTTTGACTCTGTTGGGCATATTAATACAAATGAGATGCAATTTTATTGCAAAACTAATATTCTTTTATATAAACTAAGTAGAATATCAGATTTAAAAATAGCATGCTTAAAAAAGTTTCAAACAGACTGGTACACAGTACACCTTTCTTTATCAAACAGCATGGCTGGGAAAAAGCAGCATTGGAAATCTGTGGATCATGGACATAGGTTCTAAGTGTGACACACCATGTCTCCTCTCGTCCCCACGGAGAGCCTGAGCCTTTGTAGAGACCGTGCTTATGAAGGTTATTTGCTTCCTGTGTGTTTTACTCCCCAGTGTGGACCTGAAATTTCCATGTCGCTGTGACTATTCCCTTTAATAATTTAAGCACTATACCTGGAATGGAAGCATTCTGTGGAGTAAATTGAGAAGCATGTCTACTAAAGTTCATGACCACTATAATATACTATTTAACTTAATCTCTTCTAAATTTCAGATCCTACGACAAGTAAAAGCTATCAACCAATTGGGAATGTAAATGGTACACTATGCATAGCAGGACTTTTTAGTTTAATGGAAGTTTTATATTTGCCTTTATTTATTAAAAAAAGATTTTATTTATTTATTCTGAGATGGGAAGAGGAGAAAGAGAAACATCAATGTGTGGTTGCCTCTCACACGCCCCCTACTGGGGACCTGGCCCATAACCCAGGCGTGTGCTCTGGGAATTGAACCAGCGACCCTTTGGTTTGCAGGCCGGCACTCAGTCCACTGAACTACACCAGCCAGGGCAAAACGTGACTTTAAACATTAAAAAAAGAAAAGCCCTGGCTGGAGAGCTCAGTTGTTAGAGCATCATCCCGATATGCCAAGGTGGAGGGTTCAGTCCCCAGTCTGGGCAACTACAAGAATCAACTAATTAATGCATAACTAAGCGGAACGACAAATCAATGTTTCTCCCTCTTTCCTCTCTTCCTGATCTAAAATCAGTATGGAAAAATTTAAAAAAAGTAAACAAAGTAAAGAAGGATGATCAGGGAAAATTTTCTGAAATTGTCTTTATGTGCTAGAAAATATTTTTAAATGCTTGCTAATTGGGATGACCTCATCTTATTATTAGCTAATATTTCAAAGAAAATATATAAAGTTATTAAATAAGATTCAAACAGTCTTCTTTAAAAATCTGGTGCTTTTGACTTCTCAGAGCCAGAGAGGTCCACTATTTTTGAAAAATCTCATAGTTTGTGTTAGGAGAAGGGGTAGCTCTGCCATTTTCTCATTGCTTATTTGGGCTTGCAGGGTTAATATTGTCTTCAATCTGCAGGTTTTTTGAAGGAATCTTTTAAAGCCACTCGGCATTTTGGTGAGGGTTATTTAGTTAAAAATGGAAACTACAGATCGTAACCTGGTCCCTGTGAGTTTCCACACATCACAAGGTGCCAGTGAATCCATCCAGCGAAGAGGTGGCCGTGTGAACACACCCCCTCCCTCTCAGAAGACTTGGGACCCGCTGACACGCTCGGTGACTGAAAGCACCTGTCTTTCCAGAATAAAATAAAATCAAGTTTTAACATTATTTTTTAGTTTATAGGAAAAACTGTAAGTCAAAGGTATAACATTTCTTCTTAAACCCCAGTGGATCTTCTCGCACAGCCTCTGGGGTGCACCATCTCATCAAGGAAAGCACTTTGAGAGAATATGCAGCCTTCTCTACTTCAAATACGCACTGGTTACACTTTATTGTTTATTCACCAGTCACACAGAAAAGACATGGCGAGCAAACGATGCAGTCCCCTGAGGTGACTGTGCCTTCCTAACCCCGGGGTTCATGGCCCAGTCTGGTAATCACTGAACAAACTTTATAGGACACTAACTTACTTGAAAAAACGTTCTTATGACCAGAAAACAAAAGTACAAGCTAGGTAAACAAGGAGATAGGGGAAGTGACACTGATATTCCAACCGGTGGATGGGAAAAACAAACTCTATTGATAGTAATGCTTTTTTCCAGCACGTTTTTCATGAACATTATGTCATGATTATGCCATCCTGGCTAACTACAGTCACTTTCTATAAAATTGCAGGTTGTTCTGTATTATTCTGCTCTCTTTTGTCAAATAAGATTGACTCTAATACTTCTGTTTTAATAAGTGAAAGGGAACCACTTTGGCATCTAATATGTTTTCCAGTTGAGTGGTAAGGATTATGGCCTGACTTATTTTTAATATTGACTCATACTATTATTTTCTAGTTTAGGTTTTTATGATCTTTTTTAACATTAACATTTATCTTTAATTATCATTAATGAGATGTGCTTTTCCAATCTTCTGAAGCTCTCTAGCAAAATATTTTTAAAGGAAATAAAAACTTAAATCCAAAAATCTAACAGAGTCAACACTAGATAACTTAAAAAAAACTTATCAAAGATAATATGGCAAGACTAGACCAACCAATCTTTGACAAAAACAAAATTCAGTGGTTTCACAAGAGATTTACAGCAGAGTTAAATATTTATGCCTGGGTCTAAACGCCTTGTCTTTCATGAAACACCTTGTCCCTCATGAAATAACACAGCAGAGATACTGGATAAAAAGGTCAATCAGAAGTCTGCTTTTGAGAACACACTACTTAGGATATACTAAATCTTTCTTCTAGTAACGATATAAGTGTTAGATTGTAAATGTATTGAACAGACAAGACAGGCCGAGAAAAAGTTAATAATGGTCAGAAATAATGTAAACCTTGGCAAACATCTTTTGAGGCAGCATTTATGAAAATTCAAAAACTTGCATTTATGCCAGTCCTGTTTTATGTGAGTATTGAATCTCTAACACCAGAACACAAAATTAGAGTCAACAAACCACACTGAGGTTCAAATTTTTTGAGCATGTTTACTCAAAACTGCAGAACAGTTGGAAAATAATTTTTTATACCGTGGCACAATTACACTATTTAGAAATTTAGCATGTTTCCAAAAATATGCAGGAGATAGAGTATTCCCGCAAGTAATACGCGGCTAATGTACCTTAACGTTAGACGCTAAGGCTTAGTTACTTCTAAATGTCACTTAGCCACACCATAAACGCCTGCCTTGAACACTCACATTTTCCAAAGCCGCCGAACAACTTTCATGGGTGGGGCAAGAGCTGAGGAGGAAAAGGATTCATTTTGGCACGTTCCGGCGTTCGAACAATATTTAGTACCACACCCTCAACAAAGGCCTAACACAGCAAGGAGTAATGTCAAATCGATCCGTTTGGCCTATTGTCACAGTCCCCTAAACAACTCAAATAAAGAGAAATTAAGAAAAAAAAAGTACATAAGTTTGGCGGCAGCAGGGCTTGGGGCACCTAAGAGAGGGAATCATCAAGAAAACGCCCCTAATTTTCGAGCCTCTCTTCGACCTAGGATAGAAGAGTATTTCATTTATCCACTGATAGAATTTAATTCTTTTCACCCGATCAATCTCACATGCCTTAGTTGTTACCACCACTTTCTGGGGCAGACCATTAGTCAGCACGAAGGTGGAAACAGGCGCCTTTTTTAGCTAGGGGAGGTGGGCAATGGGGTCTTCGGGGAGAAGGTGGAAAAGGAGCGTCAGCACCTAGCGCTTAGGTGACAGCCGCCCTCCCAAGCCCTCTGTTCGCTCGGCCCCATACCTGGACTTGGGAACCATTAAGCACAAGCTGACCTGCGCTAGTCCCCAGGGCGGCTGGAGAGTCGAGCGGCAAGCTCGAGGAAGGAATCCGGGGGTTGGGAAGAGGCCGCGGGGACCCGACTGTCACCTCCTGGATACCCCCTACCCCGGCGCACGCCCACCCCCGACCCCTCTCCCCAACTTCAGCCCTCTGCCCTGCGAGCCCACTCCGCACTCCGCTGCCCTCGCCCTCAGCAGCCGGGCCCGCCTGCCTCCTCCCGACCGATCCCCTTACCTTTCCATTCTTGGGGCTGCCGTTAAGGAACAGGGTCACCCGCCTCATCGCGCTGCCCCCACTGGGTCCTGAGTGAGTCGCCACCCTCCCACCTGGCTCTCCTCCCACCTTTTTCTTCTCCCGCCCTTCCCCTCCCTCCACCCACTCGGACTCTCCTCCCTTCGCCACCTTCCTTCTCTTTTGGACACACACACAGGCACGCACTCTGTCCCACACCCCAGGGTTGGCCGGTCCTCCTGCCCACCCCGCCCCTGAGCTCCTCAGCCAGCCTCGGGCCCTTCCCCCAACCTTCCCCAGAGTGACTCTAGCTCCACGAATGAACAGGCAGCGCCGGCCAGAACTCAGCCAATCACCGCCCTGTATTGGGTGGGCTCATACTAACTCCGCCCAGGTGGAGGGAGGAACGAGAGGCTGCAGTCTGGCAGACGGGAAGGTTTGTCAGCCAATCAGAGCAGAACCTGGAGCCCCAACAGCGTCTCAAAGCGTTACTGAGCAGGCGCAAACCCAACTCCAGGTAGATCACATCTGCATACGGAGGCGGGGTTTAAGGAAACTAGCGCTAGAAGTGATTCACAGAAGTCAGCACCTCCCGCCGTAACCCCTCCCATCGCTCAACCCACAGAAGAAACGGCTGCCGTCGGAGATGGCTGATTGGGTTAGAATCAGTCCGTCTTTCTCTCAGGATTGGTCCAATGAGTCTTTTCGAAGTTTGCAGCATCCAATCAAAAAACGGAGGGGTGGATTCAAAGGTCTAACCAAAGGGTTCCTCCGCAGGACTCTCACGAGAAATAGTCCTCACGGATACAGGTTAGCAGGTGCTCTCTCAGCTGAGTTAGTCACCCGCATCTAGTGGTCGCTTCTCTCTGAGCCCACGAGGCTACTCGTGTTCCTGGGTCGGCGAGGTAGAGGCCTGGGTGGGTTCGGGGTGCGTGCGGACACGTGCGGGTGGTGGCGGCGTAGAGTTCGTGGATTAACGCCGGGATGCCGAGGAGGCGGGGCGGGGGATTTGAATCCGGCGGCGGGCGGTGGCTGTGGGCGGCTAAAGTGTAGGTATCGCGGCCTGCGGGGTCGCGGGGTCGGCGGCTCGGGGCGAGGCAGCACCCCCGGCCACTGGCTCTCCAGTAGCCCTTCAGGACGGAAGAGCCAAGGTCTAAAAGGCGGGACAGCCACGACACTCAGGTGCTGCGGGGCGTCCGGAAGAAACCCAGGCGGGAGGAGAGCCGAGCTGCGGGAGTGAGAGGTGGGGCGAGGGCCCTGGTTTGGAGTCCAGGTGTAGTAGAGCAGTGCTCTTTCTCAGAAGTGTGTTCTCTTTAGCCTGACCCACGGAGACCGTGGTTCTCCTGCCCCCTGGGCTGGTTCACCCGTGTGCTTTTCAAAATGCCGATTCCTAGGGCCTGAGTTAGAATTCCTGGGAATCCACAAAGCTGGCCTTCAGCAGGGTACCCAGATGATAAAGGTGTTTGCTAAGATTGAAAAACCATGGCTGATAGCAGTTTTCAACCTTTTTCATCTCATTGCACACGTAATTATCAAAATTCTGCGGCACACCAAAACATATATTTTTTTGCTGATGTGACCAAAAAATAGCTATGTTTTTGATTCATTCATACCGGATGGATGTTGTGTTGGTGTAATTTTTTTTTTTTTTTAATTTGATAATCTAAGGGAAATGAGGTCAGTGTCCCTGACTAAGTAGTCAGGTATTGCATGTGCTAAAAATTCTTGCAGCACACCGGTTGAAAATCCCTGGCTTATAGTATGGGGATTGCTTTGTTTCATGCTGAATAGCAGTTTCCTCCATTTAATTTGAGTTCCAAAAGTACTCTTGACATCTATTTTCATACTAGTGTAGATTGTATTAAAAATCAGTGTTGAATGAGGATCTTCATTAAATCACATTAATCTGGGGAATTGGGTTCTTTTTCTTTGTTCTCTTCTCTCTGTTTTAGATGGATAGCAATTCAAAAGACAGAGAACCCTCTGAAACCAAGGAGGCTGCTATTAATGCTGGTATGTGTGTGATCTGTTGTCTCTTCGTGAAATTTACAATTTTGGTATCTGGCTTCATAAAGATCTTAGCCCCCTCAACATGTTGTCTGTTTCAGAAACTGCCTCTCTCATTTTGGGAAATGAGAATCTTGTAACTCCTCAGAATCATGCAGCTGAAGTCATTCCTAATCCTTGTACACCAGATAATTTTAAATCACCTTTGGACTTTTCCACAGTAACTGTGGAGCAATTGGGAATTACACCTGAGAGCTTTGTAAAGAACTCTTCAGGTAAGAGAAGTTGTCATTCTATTGCAGTGTTTTTGAAGTTTAAATGTAAGTTTATTTTTTAAAAAGATTTGTATATATTCATTTTTACAGAGAGGGGAAGGGAGGGAGAAAGAAGGAGAGAAACATCAATGTGGGAGAGATACTGATTAGTTGCCTCCCGCACGCCCCCAACTGGCGACCCCGCCTGCAACCCAGGCAGGTGCCTTGACCCGGAATCAAACCGGTGACCTTTCAGTTCTCAGGCTGACACTTAATCCACTGAGCCACTCCAGCCAGAGCTAAATGGAACTTTAATATAACTTAATTTTGTTCACCTATCCTATTTATCGTACTACTTTGCATCTAAATTGATTGAGCCTTCAAACTTCCTTGATCAGAGAGACTTCTGTGAACACGCTCTGTTCATCTAGCATAGCAGGAGACCGAGGCCCCCAAGCATAATACTGTTTCTAAGCCAGAGTTGTGCTTTGTGTCCCAACTGGAAAAGAATGTGTGTAAATCACTTTTTGACCCAACACATCGGATACAGGAGTGTGTGTACTATAAATAGTGAGACATTTTATGGCCCCATATGGCAAAAATAAGAGAAAGTTGAAGAGCAATTAAGAAAACATTATGCCCTGGCCAGTGTGGCTCATTTGGTTTGAGTGTCGTTCTGTAACCAAAAGGTGGTGGGTTTGATTCCGGTCAGGGTGCACACCTAGGTTTCGGGTTCGATTCCCAGTCCAGGCAGGTATGGGAGGCAGCTGATGGATGTTTCTCTTTTTCCCTTTCTGTCTTTAAATGCAATGAAAAGAGTGTCTTCTGGTGAGGATAAAGAAAAAAGAAAATATTATGTTGAAGGATTCAAGTTTGCTCTTTCAACATTACAAACAGAAAATGGGCTCACACTAATCATTAAGTGGTAGAAATGAAATTCACCTGTGAAGTCTGACTTAGATGGAGGAGAAATATGGGGAGGAATTAGATTTAGAAATGAAAGGTAACGGGGGGTGTGGAAGTCAACGGGCGCTAGACTAATGCATGGTTGAGACAAGACCAAAGTGGCACACCAATCCATGTTTTCTTCTCAAGAGCATCACTCCTAGGCCTGTAACAGTCTAGATCTATTTTTTGTGCTTAGGCATGTGGCCAGAATTTGAGGTAGTGTGCCAAAACTAGACAGGTGTCTAAGAGAAACAACCTGAAGAATTGAAAACAGGAGTGTACCTGTGGCTAGGTGGAGAGATTTCCTTTCAGCCCATGGAGAATGGTAACTATTATAAATATGTTCATGCATTCATTTCACACAACTGTATTTAATAAATACCTTCTGTTTATCAGACACTGTTCCAAGATCATGGAATAAATCAATGGACAAAATCAAAGGTTCCTATCTAACTGATCATGTATGAACAGTTTTACCTAAAATTCTCTATTTAGATTTCTGTATCGTGTGTTTATCATGGTCTTTCTCAGGCTGGTATATCACTGATCTTCAGGTCATGATTACTGATGATGGCTTTGTTTTAAAAGAGAGTTTTTATTCTAGGAAAGTCATTGTCCTACCTTAAAAAATCCAGACGACGCTCTGCAGTTGGCGTCCGGGGCTCTCCTGAGACAAACAACCTTATTCGTTTCATTGCTCAGCAGCAGAATTTAAAGAATGCAGAGAAGTCTCCTTTGACACAGAATTTCCCTTTTCCGGTATGATTTTCTTTTAAGTTCTATCATGAAATCTTTTAGGGAGAATGTTTTGCTCTGTTACAAAGCTTTTGTAAAGGGTTCCTACCTTCCTGATTTGGACCTGGAGAGATGGTATTTTTTTCTATATCAGAGTGTGCAGTGAACAGAAATGATGATGTATATCCAGTTGTACACATGGAAAATAATACAGTAATTAATAAATAATAATACAAGAATAAAGTCTGTGGTTTGCATACTCATAAGTGCAAACCTACTTTTGCCCACTGCTGTATTAAAAGTTATAAAATTCTGGATAAAAATGGCTTACTAGAGGAGCTTTCCATTTTATTTTTGCAATTTTTTTTCTAGTTAAATGCCTGTTTTTCTGTAGTGAAGTGAGACAGCATTCTGCAACCTCTTTTAATATCTTATCTCTAAGTGTGTAATTTTTTGCGATTACTATATATTGGCATACAGGGCAAGAGCTCCCCCAGGACAAAATGTATTTGGTATAACCTTGTGGAAGGGAGCAAACTATTTGTCTGCTGATGGGGAACTATTTACATAGCTTTGCAGATTTTTAGTAGAATAATACAGGCTCCTAAAAAGTCAAATAGTCGTATAAGTCTTGCTTTGAAAGACATAGTCCTCAGTTTATCCCTTTTGAAGGACAACTGCTTTTCACTCTTATGGCATTGGCCTTCGTATTTTATTTTATTAGTTATATTTATAAATAATGTTTATTCTATTACAGCTGTCTCAACTCTTCCCCGTTTACCCCCATCCACCCATCCTATTCCCCGCCCCCCTGCCCCCACTGCCCCCCCGCTCCCACAGTCAATTCCCACTCTGTTGTCCATGTCCATGGGCCATCCATACACACTCCTTGTCCAGTTTCTTCCCCTTCTTTCTACCATTGTCCTCTTTCCCCATCCCCTCTGGTCACTTTCAGTCTGCTCCATATTTCCATGCCTGTGGTTTATTTTGTTTGTTTGTTTATTTTGTTGAATAGACTCCACTTATAGGTGAGATCATATGGTATTTGTCTTTCATCAATGGGCTTATTTCACTTAGCTTAATGTTCTCCAGTTCCATCCATGTTGCCGCAAAAGGTAGGAGTTCCAGATTCCCTCCCCTCTTTCTTTCTCCCTTCCTTCTTTCCTTCCTTCCTTTCTTTCATGCAGATTGACTTTATTTATTTTTTTAAATGTCAAAGTTAATTATAAAATATTAAAAAATTTAAAACCATTATAAAGTCTCAGCAATTAAACCAACATGACACCAGCACAGAAATAATCAAGTAGATCAATGAAATATAATGAGCATTCTAGAGACAATCATATATACCTGTCCAACAATGTAATATATGATTAAAATGATATTTCAAATCAATGGGTAAAATAGGGCTTATTTAACAAATTAGGACCACTATTGATTGAAATAAAACAAATATAGAGCCCTCTTTCACACATTATACAAGAGTTATTCAGGTGAGTTAAAAATCAATATGTAGAATCTATGGAGTTTTAGGAGAAAATACAAAATAATATTTTTGTTCCCCTGAAGTAAAATATTCAAACCCAGAAGTTACAAAGTAAAATATTGACAATATGACTATATTAAACATTTAAGACTGTACAGTAATATACATATAAAAAAAGTTGAAGGACAAGTAATAGAACAGGAAAGTATTTGCAACACATCTAAAAACGGGGTAATGGTTGGTTTGGTTCTTTTTTTGTGTGGGTTTTTTTTTTTTTTTTTTAAGGGAAAAAAATTCTACAAACCTTTAATCAAGAAATAGATAAAGAATACCAAAAAGTCATTTAAAGCTTTTTAAAAAATAATAGAAATAGGCAAGAAATATACAAAAACAGGTTTAGTTTCAACGAATAATAAAGGAAAATTGAAATAACACATTATTGTCACAATCAGATTAATACGTATTAAAAAATACTGGTAATATCAAGTATTGGTGACTGTGAAAGGAACTGGGTACTCACAGACTGTTTTCCTTCATCTTAAAGCAGTCCCTTTAGCATATTTTGCAGTGCTGGTTTGGTGGAGGTGTATTCTTTTAGCCTTCTTTTGTCTGGGAAACTCCTTATTTCACCTTCCATTTTAATTGAGAGCCTTGCTGGGTAGAGCAGTCTTGGCTCCAGGCCTTTGCTTTTCATTACTTGGAATATTTCTTGCCATTCCCTTCTGGCTGGCAGTGTTTCTGTTGAGAAGTCAGCTGCTAGCTGTATCGGGACTCCCTTATATGTTACTACCTGTTTCTTCCTTGCTGCCTTTAGGATTCTGTTTGTCTTTGCTATTTGCCACTTTAATGATGATGTGTCTTAGACTGGGCCTTTTTGGGTTACTCTGGAATGGGACCCCCTGTGCTTCCTGGACTTGTGTGACTTTTTCTCTCCTCCAACGAGGGAAGTTTTCCATCATTACTTTTTCAAACAGGTTTTCTATCCCTTCCTCCTCCTCTTTTTCTTCTGGTATCCCTATTATACGGATATTATTACCCTCAATGCCTCTTCATTATTTCTGAGTCTTTTTTCATTTTCTTGCTCTTTCTGGGAGCTTTTTTCTACCTTGTTCTCCAGCTCGCTGATTCGATCCTCTGCTTCATCTAGCCTGCTTTTGATTCCTTCTGCAGTGTTCTTAAATTCAGAAATGGTATTCTTTATTTCCTCTTGTCTCTTATTGGTAGTTTCTGTGTCCTTTTTCATGTTGATATAGTTTGCAGTAAGTTCCTCGTTTCCCTGTAGTTTTTTGTGATTCTCTCTGAACTCACTGAGCTCATTGAGCTTCTTTAGAACCGTTGTTTGGAACTCAGTATCTGCTAGTTTACTTGCCTCTATTTTATGTAGTTGTCTTTGTGGGGATTTCTCCTTTCCCTTCAAGTGGGGGGTATTTCTTTTTATTCCCATTATTGTGAGACTCTTCTTTTTTGTTTTTGCTTCTTAAGTTGATTGTCTTGATTTCCTGACTTTGTGGTGTGAACTTCTATGGTAGGAGACCACTGTTTTTTCTTTCTGGATCTGCCTCTGATGATGTCAGATGTTGTCCCTCTCTGACCTTGGGCAGTCTATTTGAGACTTTCAAGAATCTACTGTCTGTGGCTGTCTCCTTCAGCTGTTAACCTAGTCACTTTGCACTCAGCAGGCTGCCTTAGACAGCTCAGGGTGGCGGAGTCCCTCCTGGGGGCAAGGTTATTGGGTCCTCTCATGCTGCTGTGTATGGGGGAGGAGTCCGCACTGGGATCCCCACGGCTACTCTCTGCATTCTCCCCCTAAAAGCCTCCTTCACCAGTCTCTCCTCAGGTGGCTCCAGCCCACTCTGCCTCCGCCTTGGCCAGATACCAGGGTAAGTGGCTGCAAATAAAAATTTATGCATTGCCCTTTAAACAGTTCTTTGCATCTCCAGCCACCTGTCTCTGGCAGAGAGCAACCCTGCCGCTTTTCACAGCTGGCTGTTTTCTGTGTACTGTTTGGGCTCTGGTGCTATAGGCTAGAGATCCCCACTTTTGGCTAGACCCTGCTCTTCTCAGGGGTATCCAGCTGGCCGCTTCAAGATCCTTCTGGAGCTGCCTCCCGTGGGCGCTCCGCCTGCCTTCTCGAGTCTCTCCCGCACTCCTTACCAATTAGATTGCTCTAAAGCCGATTCTTCTGTCTCCAAGGTTACAAGGCTCCTGTCTTGCCATTTTTCAGTTGTTTGTTCCAAGTGATTTCTCCACAATTGAGTTGTAATTCCAGGCTGGTCCTGGGAGGAGGTCAGTGTGACTTCCACTCACTCCTCCGCCATCTTGATTCTCCCGGCCCTCGTCCACGTTGCCACTTCCTTGCTGTTCAGTTTTAGGCAGCGTGTACGCGTGAGGCTGTATAGTGCAGTGCAGTGGCTCTTAGAGGTTATCTGTCTGCAGCTCGCTGGGGATCCCTGAGTTACGCTGAAGAGGGAAGACTGATTTCTGTAATAGGCTGGAGATGCTATTTGCCTTTTTTTCAGTCTTGAGGTTTTTTGGTTCCTGGTGCAAGAGTAGTGGCAGGTGACTGTTGGCATCAAGCTGTCATTTTATACGTCACTGACAAGGATTCACAAGAAATAATAATGCCAGTTTCACTTAAAATCCTTGATGAAGCAATAAAAATTATAAATTTTGTTAATTTTCAGTGGTGGGTATTATAGGATGAAATGGGAAGTATGCATGAAGTTCTTCTAAAGTACGTACAGAAGATGGAGAAAAATTGTGTATAACTGTTTCAGCTGTGAGCTGAACTAACCACTTTTGTTCTTGGAACATAATTTTTCCTTGAAAGTGACTGACAGACATGGTTAGCCACACTTGGGAATGTGGCTGACGCTTCCTCAAAAATGAATGTGCTACTTCAAAGAAAAACAGATATTTCTTACCAATGAAAAAATTTGAGTTTTCAAGAGGAAATTAGAATTTTGGAAAAAATTCACTGCCATTAGCTTGATAACGCTAGACCTTTTTGATAGATTAGTGGGAACACTAATGAATGTGGTGTTTTGTTATTGCATAATAAAATGTGTCAACATTTGGGAGATCTGCATTGCTGAGTGAACGCATACTTTTCATATGGCCAGTATATGCAAAATGTACCTTCAAATTGCAAGACCCATGGGTTTTAACATAAGAGAACATGAGAAGTTCATTTATAAGATTTCATATTTGACATTGCAACTAACCTTAATGAAATCCTTGTTATGTTTTGTATTCTATTAAAGAAGAATGTCTACAATTCTGAAAAGGCTATTAAAATACTCTGGATAGTTACAGCCAACATAAACTAAGTCTTTGGGGTTCGCAGTACTTTTTAAGGGTGAAGACTTCTGAGAACTGGGGTAAGAGTAGAGACGAGTACGGACAGTGGAGCTGTATTGCTGGGGTTTTGTTCTTGGCCTTGTTATTAATTGTGACTTTTGGCAAGTTATGTTTCCTGATGTATAAAATAGGGGTGGTGATAATAACAAGGGTTTTAGGAGGGTGGATAAATTAGTAG